TCAGAACTGTCCTTGAAGAAATCTGAAAAAAGGAACGGCGAAGATAAACGTCTACGTGATCTTGTGGAAAGGACCGCCCAGGAAGTTGTCCCTCGCCTATTAGGCGATGACCGCCTTGGGTTCGACAAGGCCGGGAATGGGAAGCCGGTGACTCCTGTCATCGTCCATGGAGATCTGTGGAGCGGCAACACTGGTGTTGGAAAGATATGCCGAGCATCTCGGGGGCAAGCTGATGAAGAAGAGGAAGAAGTGGTAGGTGATGTGGTCTACGACCCATCTTCATGCTACGCGCATAGCGAATTTGAACTGGGTATTATGAAAATGTTTGGTGGGTTTGGAGGCCAATTCTACAAGGTATATCATCAGATTGTGCCGAAGACCGAACCTGTAGAAGAATATGACGACCGAATTGATTTATACGAACTGTAAGTCTCTCCAACGTTCCATTCACTCTCGTGATTATCAATCAGAATCGTATGAAATTATGATGAGAAATACTTATCTTGTTATTTCTAGATATCACCAGCTCAATCATTATGCCATTTTTGGCGGGGGTTATGGCTTGTCTGCCATGTCCATGATGCAAAGGCTGTTGAAAAAGTATGGAAAAAAGTAGTGTCTAGATTTGCTCCTCTTGGGAAGGAAAAAGGGGGTTTCTCATTCTCGCCATCGGAAGGGATTCAAGGTACACCCTTTCCAGCTCTCGTTGCCTTTGCCAATTCACTTTGAGCAACATCATCCGCATAGCGTTTATAAATAGGCATGGAGTGTTCTTTATCACTCATGGTCGAAGCCACGCTTTCCCTTGTCTCAACTGCTGCCAGCCAGATTCTCCACCTCCTCCAAACAACTTCATCTTTCCCTCCTTCTTTCGGAGCCGGTATACCCAGCCCCCCTTTCTTGAAGTGATCAATAATCCATAATCTAATCGCCAAAGGTGCAAGCATTATGTCCGGTAACATGAAATCGCTTCCGTGAAAGAAAGGACCAATCTCATCCATTGCTAGAATGAATTCTTTTAAATGGCCCAGGAGCTCTTCTCTAGCTTTGTTTAATCCCTCCTCTTTACCCTGGTATTGAAGAAAACGATAGAAAGAAGGAGTTATTCGCGATGTCACATAGTCGATCCAGATACGTCCTCTTGCCTTTTGGTATGGGTCTGCCGGGTGCAGTGGCAGTTCGGGGTTTGGGAATGCATCTTCAAGAAACTCATTAATCACAGTGGATTCATACAATGGTTTAACGGCAGATGATCCATCGGGCTGGAGAGTTGGGCAGGCAAGGGTCGGTACTAGGCCCCGTGGGTTAAGCTCAAGAAGTGATTCCGGTTTCTTGTAAGGATTCACTTCTATATATTGATATGGTATTTTTTTCTCCTCAAGGACGATCCATACTCGCTGGACTATAGTTCACTTGAGCGTTAGGACCGCTTTTTATCAAGGTACGTTCTTTATACAGAAAGGCTCGAGGAAATATGCCATACCGAACCTAATTTCCAGTTAGTATCATTCAATAAAGAAATTCTCCGTATAAGAAGAAGTTGACAGCATCCTTTCATGCCTATCTGTTCTGAGAGAATGAAAACATAGAACTTACGGGCAAAACCAGCCTGAATATAACTTGAATGGCTGCTCTTTGGAGTGTTTGTCAACAACCTCCTTTGCCCAGCCGGTTGCAGTTGGATGGATGTCAGCATCAGGGGGGGATCCCATTGTTTCTAGATATCCTCCCCTTTTTTCCCTTGAAGATATTGAACAATCAATCTACGTATTTGATAATCTTAAAGTCTTTTATACTTCTAGCAATAGTATTTTGCATTATTAATCATGAGGTCATTGTTAAGTCGAGCAGTCTTGGAAGTACAGGCTTAAGGCGCAGCTAACTAAAGTTTCTTGCATGTTTACAGCGATGCTAAGATAATTCTATAAGGTACTTGCTTATCAATAGCTGGGACCATGTTCTAGGATGCTGAATTTGTTGAAGTGGTATGGAGGTTGGTTATCCCTTTTCTATAACTACGCTTTGTAGAATGGTTTTAGTGAATAATTACAAGCAAATTTGATAGGACTTTCTATAAAGTCAAGGGGAAGGGCTAGGAGATAGAGCGAAGGGACCTTACCAGAAAGAAAACATATAGCATTCAAAAGCTGCTGCCTCATATGGGTTTCTATGGCCATGCCGTCCCTATACTAGGTTTTCCGCCTTCATCAGTATCTCCTTAGGATAAATTTTGAGCCCTAGCTTTGGAATCCATAGAAAGGAAGGGGGAAACAAAGACCATCCGTGTTACGTATTCCATTCCGTTGTCTATATAAATACCGGATCCTATGATATACCTGTAAGGACTACAATAATTTTATATTTTTTTATTAACTGCGAGTCCCATAGAGCCAAAAATGTCTGGCTCCCGTACCTAGTCCACAAACGATATTATATGTTTGAGTTAGGGAATATAAGGACCGGAACCACGTGTCTTTTGGAATGTTCCATTGCGAAAGCTGCGGAGTCCTAATGGCTTCAGAAGAAGCCTACCAGGAACATACATGCGAAGGAAATGCTATAATATGTCCGAAATGCCGCTTGGGCTTTGGTAGTTGGTATAGTTTCAAGCAGCATGAAAAACACATGCATTCATGGTATGTCCATATGCCTGTTGGAATGGCCTGAAAGCCAAAGCTAACATGAATGTAGGAGTGTCCGGGACCGTATTGAACCTCGTGTTTCCCCTACGCAATCACCTTCGAAAGTGATTCAAGCCGGCAAAGGCAATCTGTCAGGTCATAACAACTCTTCACCATACTTTTCTTCTAGTGGCCATGGTAACCCGACTCAATCTTCGGCCTGGGATACGAGTGTACACAACTTAACACAACCAGTAGTGGGGGATCTTCTTGACCTGGATGACGATGAGATGTACGAGGCGCAGGTTGACAACACAGCGGGTGGAGTCAATAGCACATCCGAGGAGGGCCCGCAGCCCATCGCTAGAAACCGCAACTGTAGCTACGCAGTACTGGACATGAAATCAGGCCGAGCTGTCCCTGAAAAGGCCGAGCTTGAGAAAGGCAGTACTTCAGGGTCAATATCAGCTAGTACTCTGGACCAGCAGTCCCTGATAGACCGCTTCCATATCACTACTGTCCAGACACCCCGGAGAGTCTCAGCGGTACGCCATAGGATTATCTGTTTTCAATGCGAGGCGGGCTTCAGTACCATAATAGGACTCCAACATCATCAGATGACCGAGAATCACAACTATTGCGGCCTGTGCCATGCTTACTTTGCGGATGGGACGTTCCTGGACAAGCATATGGAAGTGGCGCACAATTTTAAATGTCCTACTTGTGCTTCGGTATTTGCAAGCATAGGAGATGTATGGGCTCACCAGCAAACGACGGAGCACAGTTTTTGTAGCGTATGCCGTTGCTACTTCCAAGATGAGAGCGCCCAAAGCAAACACAACCTTATGTACCATATGCGTATGCCATGTCCGACTTGCCAGCAGGTGTTTCAAACACAGAAAGAGTTAGAAGAGCACCAACGGGCAAGTCAACATAGCTACTGTGGTCAATGTGACGAGATTATGGGTAGCCAGTCCAGTTTCGAAACGCATGTGACAACATCACATACTTACAAATGCACAGCCGCGAAATGCCTCTTCGCAGCAGCAAAGTTGGATGTCCTGAAAGATCACCAAAAGCGGGAGAAACATAACTTCTGCTTGCCATGCAATCGTTCTTTTACAGATGCTCTTGCCCTTACCAATCACTCCAAGACCGAAAAACATCTGAGAAAAGAACGTATCGAACAGAGCGAGAATAGCCAGGCATCCGGGTGAAACATACACGGTGTAGTTGGTGCCGGGGTATACATTGCTATTTTTCAGGGGTATTCGTCCTGCCAGAAAAATGGTCACTCTTATGAAGATAGGTTTAAGAGCGTACCATATAATAAATGAAAACTTCAAAATTGAATTGCGAACAATCCTTGTAAGGAAAAATAAATAAGTCGACTGCTTGTAAAAGAATATAACAAGAGGCTGCGGATGTTTGAGGATTTGGCGCGGCAGAGCTTCCTTTTCCGGAAATACATTTTGCCGCGCGCCAACCTTGATGTCGGCCGCGAGCTTCTCAACCGCGCTTTTTCTTTAAAGCTAGTCGGTCTATTCCGTGCTGATAGATATATTTCAGCGCAACTACATTTGACTTGAACGCACCAAACAACCGGCATTGAAAGATGTCGCCAACGGCGAAAGAGGGTACCCCGGAGGCACAGCCAGCTGATGGACCGCCAGTGGCACCTCACCCGTCCTTTATACAGGTCGCCAATCCTTATATATTTGAAAAAACGGTGCAAGATTGTTTTGCGTCCACGGGGGTTAACCCTCTCCGGGAAGACAGCAATCGACTCCAAGGAATTACCTGGATAGATAATGTCCGAAAAGCGTTGCATCTGTATGTCTCCTTTTTTGTTTTTGGCCCTATCCCTTGTTACTTTGCTCAGCTCGCTAAGTTATAACTCCAGGCCTGTCAGGACGTTCAACACAGCGTCAATTTACTACCACAAATTCCGGCTGGTTCATCCGGACAATGAGTATAATTATATAGTATGTATTACTACTATGTTCTTAAAGGCTGGCAGTTACTTTTGGGGGACATTTTGCTCACGAAGCTACGCTCACAGGAAGCGGCCGCTGCTGCTCTATTCACTGCATGCAAGATCGAGGACACACTGAAGAAGTCCAGAGATATTCTATGTTGCTCATATAATCTCAAGCTCCCTCCAACGGAGCAATTATCTGCAGATGACCCGGTATGTACTGACTGAATAGGAACTTACACTTCCATGACATAATTTTCTTTTGCGCTCTTTCTAAGTTTGGCATTTGCAGATTTTTGAATCTCATTCTCGGTCTATTATCGGCCTTGAGAGATTGATGCTGGAATCCTCTGGATTTGATTTCCGAAACCGTCATCCTCAAAAGGTCCTGATGAAGCTGACAAGACAGTGCGGCCTTGATAAGGATTCAAAAGTGGGACGAGTCGCATATACTATCAGCCTGGATTTGTACAGGACTTTTGCCCCTCTCAAGCAAACCTCCGCTACCATGGCGTTTGCATGCCTAGAGCTAGCAGGCAGGCTTCTCGGGGAGCCTGTAGACAAAATACATTCAAAGGAAGAATATAAGCTATGGGAAACGTCAAGAGCAGAAGTTATGGGTATGAACATGTTCCCGGCCCTGCCTTATTATCTTTTATTATTCTGACCCGGTATATTTCCAGAAACCATACTCGATCTACTCGAGCTATACACACATAACCGTTCGTCAACATCCATTGGCCCCGACTTTAACCTCGACTTGTTCTTAAACATCCGTATCCCGTTGAACGAAGAGGCAGACTCCAATAAGATCCCACGATTTGCCTACTGGAAGAAGAGGAAGGCAGAAAGTAATGGGGTATCGAACGGGATCTCCTCGAAGAAATCCAAAAACAGCCATCACCGACACAGCAAGGACCACCACGATACGCCTTCCGCGCCACCGACAAACCCAATGATGCCTACTGCCGCCCATGATTCTGTTGCAAAAGCCAATGAACGCAGCCGAGATACGGCAATTCGATTCATGCTGGATCCCGAGCAGGCGCAGGCTGAACGCGAGACTGTAGCAGCATACTTCAAAGTTGAAATGGAAGAATATGAAGTTGAGGAGTGAGAGCCGCAATAGCTGTGAAGATACATTTGAGTGGGACTTGGGCCTCAAACAGGGGTTAGATAACGAGAAACCACTACGTTATCTGCCACGCCGCTGACGGTGTGACTGATATTGACAACCTCTTCCTGCGCGCGGGTGAAGACAGGCACACATACACACATAACGGCTATTCTGGGTATATGATATTGTCGCTAGTGCTGTCACAACGGCGCCGTGGCCAAAGCTTTCTTGCCCCAGAATCTAGAGCCATTTTGAGACCTGGCTGACTGTGATGATTTGGACGAGAGCTAGCTGACTAGCCTCAATATCAATGCCCAGCCCGTGAAGCTGCCTGGAGATGGCATGTTATGGGGGAAAATCCTTTATAAAACGAGGGTCACCGCCGCCTCTCCATTACAGAAAACGTGTGTTCTGTCCATCAACGGAGACACATAATAAACTGCTAGCTATGGAGATGCTCAATATTTCAAGAGCCACAGGGAGTTATTTTTGGTTGCATGAAGATAGGTATAGCAGATGGGTGCGATTGAAATTAGAAACGATACCAGGAAACAATGCAGAACAAGTTATTTATTTGAGAAAAAAAGCAGAGATATTTTCATTTCATAAGAAGTTGCCATCGAGTTTCTGGCGGGAAATAATAAAATTGCTGTAAGAGATGATTTGAGAAGGTGATCCACATTCGAACGAGAAGCCTATACAGTATTGTAATGCACCGGTTATCTTTTGGGAGTTGGAGCGAAGGAGAATAAAATGATGCAATAAAAAAAGATATTAGGAGAAGGCCCAAAATAATTTCATCAAGTGAGATGTTGAATGATACAAGTCAGAAGGGGAAAAAATGTGAAAAACCAGCGGGTAAAAGCACAAGTCGTGATAAAGGGCCAGGCAAGCATCGCGGCCAGCGACCCATTCTAGGACCAAAGAAAAGAAATCATCGACGGAGCCGTCTATAATCTCCATTCAAACACTCCACGAGCTATAGATACGTTAGCAAGTTCTGCATGTATGTATGTATATCTATTGCATTGATTGAGGTACTTACCGATTCAGAGACAACTCCTTGGTTGTACAAGTACTTGCTTAGCCCCTTGATAAGCTCTATCTGTTCATCAACCGTTAGTCCGGTGATGGCATTCTCGATAACTCCTCCAACGCTGGCCTTGTGAACGGCGATAAAGCTGTGGTAATACATGTAGGCGAACAGGCCCATGATGAACTGGCAGTCCATTCTGTCGGTGATACCACCATGACCAGGAATTGACTCTCCAAAGTCCTTGATTTTGAATGTCCGCTTCAGGCCGGAGGCGAAGAAGCCGCCGAATGGTGCAATAAGGGATGCAAACGTAGAGAGAACGAAAACATGGAACTGGACCGGGGCAATGTGGAAGGTCCTGTTGATGTGGGTCCATTCTGGCATGGTATATGGCTGGGATTTGAAGCAAGGGTTTGGAGTGCATTCGAGGCCAGTCAGGAGGTTGGAGCCCAAGTCGTTGACCGGGCAGGTGAAGTATTTGTACTGCTTTAGGACAATCGTGGCGCCATAGCCAAAGATAACTGTGCATACCCAGGCACCGACAAAGCCCTCGACGGTTTTCTTAGGGGATAGCTTAATCAACTGGGTTCGGCCAAAGGTGATTCCACAAATGTAGGCAAAGATATCGTTTGTAATCACGAGGGAGACAGGGATACAGAACCAGATTAGTCCTTCGAAGATGTTGTTTAGGACAAAGTGAGCCTGGACAACAATGAGATATAGGGCCATATGAGTCCATGCAAACTGAGTGAACTGGAACTTGTAGTGTCCCTTTTGTAAAGTCGCAACAAAGAAGACAAACCCTATGATAGAACTTGTGTTAGTCTATTACATAGATGTATTTGATACATATATATATATATTTATATATGCATGGGTCCGGACTCACCTATCAAGTAGAGCATGAAGCTGATAAAGCGGTGATGCGTTGCAAACGGGAGTAGGATCCTGTCAACCAGAAGGATGTGTTTAAAGTAATAGAGAACGCTCTCTCCGTACAAGAAGTACATTGTTGTCACAAGGAAATACCAGTTCAGAGACTTTGTGAACTTGAGGTTTCTGGCTTTGCTGGGGACATTGGCTATGGCGATGACCTCCTTGAAGGAGACGATCTGGACGGCGGTAACGACGATGATCAGATAGAGGTGGCCGGCGAAGATGATGACGAAGAACCCGGCAATCATGACAAACGTCCATATCGTCCGGGTGATGAACGTCTGTCGCTTCTTCTCAGAGTCAGAGAGAGACTGCGGCTGCGCCGGCTGCTCTTTTGCGGATGTCTTCTGCGCCAGCGTCAGCAAGGGCGTCTGCCCAAAACAGGGACTACAGGTGAGTGTCCGCATACCGTGGCCTCCATCTTCTGGGGTAGCAAGTTGTTGGTATCCTCTCTGCTGGGGCTCTGGAAGTCCGAGGCGTCGCTGTCTTCCGATGAAGGGTAGTTGGTAGCCTCAGGGCTCGTGGCCAGCGAGTCTTGCGCGCGGAGGTTCCGCCTGCTTTTGCCCATAATTATTCAGACCTGGCAGCTCGTCGGGTTTATCATCAATCAACCTGCGGGTTCTGGTCAGAGAGAGTTAGCTTTTGCACGAAGGTATCCTTTAAGATTCCGCAGGCGAGATAGATGCATGTCGATCCGGTACGTTAGACACAGGCTTCGTTGCTCTGGCTCTCTTCGGCGGATTCTTTTGTAGCACGCGAGGGCCACTCAGGGGCGGCGGGGAGCCGGGGGAGCGAGCATAGTTACCTGGACAGCGCAACGCCCTCTCTTCGAAGCAGCGGCAGGCAAGGACCGGGCGTGTCTAGCTGGATGAGCGGGCAGGACGGCGGACGGCGGAAGCTGGGATGCTTTCACAGGCAAACCAACTTTGGTGATTTTGGGTGTATTTTTTTAGTTCGTGAGTTTGGTTAGTGAGTTTAGCTGGCCTTGGGTGGACCTAGAGACGGTTGTTTTTTTGGCAGCGCTGGAAGATTGGTCAGCCTGCGAGATAGAAGAAGGTGAACGACGACAGCGACGGTGACAGCGACGGCGACGATTTAACTGACGAGATAGAATCGATGTGAAGGCTTCAGGGGCTTGTCGACTGTCTATCCAAGTGCCCAAGAGACAGCAGAGCTCCAATCAGAGGGAGAGGCCAGGGGTTCGAGCTGACGCCTGAGCTGCGCCTCTGATCCTCCTCGACTCGCGCAGTCGCATCTTGTCGCCTGGGATGAGGCAGACGGCGACTGGTCTGATGGGATGGAGGACGACAAGGACGATACCTTCTGGGACGATGACGGGGTCGACGATTCCGCGTACGATGCGCTGGTTGAGCTGGAGCAGGATGCATACCGAACCACGCAGCAGGAGACTATAGACGAGCAGCAGCAGCAGCAGCAGCAACTGCAACTGCAACAACAGCAAGCGGCAGCATCGCGACCTGTCCGGCCTTCACTACTCCGTCATTCTACTAGCAATACCTCGAGTAGCACTGTCGAGCAGAGGAGGAGACGGCGGAACCCTGCTCAGCATCTCCGGCCGGCGCTGAGCTTTGGTGATACGGACTATCAGCAGTGGGATGCCAGCATACTCGATAAGGAAGATGGACTGGACCTGGTTGATGAACAGGATGCTTTACTGGAAACTCCGGGAGAGTCTGGCGAAGGAGACAGCCGGCAGCTGGGCTATACCCGTGCCTCTCTTGCGCCGGGGCAATGGCGTCGAATTACGGCGGATGAGCCTGGTATGATGGTAGAACCTATGCAAACGGACGGGCTGGCGGGAGGCCATGCGGATACCCGGTTCAATGCCAATCCACTTGAGTCTGTGCAGATTGAGGAGCTGAAAGACCAGATTGAACAGGTATGGGTTCTCTATCTACTGACTTGCTGAGGATTACGGAAAAGAAGAAGCTAATTGTATATCTGTAAAACACAGCTGACCCGGGATCGAGAAAGGCTTGCTCAAGAATTGGCAGCAGCAACAGCTTCAGAGGAAGCACGAGCTGGCGAGATTGCCATTATACGAGCTAACCAGGTAAAGCTCGAAAAGAACCACAGCCGCCAAATATCTGCACTGAAAAGTACCATGGATGAGGAGACCAGAAAACACCGAGCAGAGTTCGAAGCTGCGCTGATGGATAGCAAGCGGCTCGTTGCTGAAAACGGATTTCTTAAACATGATTTGCAGGAAGCGGCATACCGAGCTTCCAAACTGCAGCATAGCTTCCGCAGCAAGCCCAAGGATGATAAGCCACACCCTGCAACTCCAAAGAAGAGCAAGTCTCTACCTCTCAGGGATGGGTTTGACGATGACGAGCTCCTGGCGGCGTCCCCTTCAAAGTCTGCCGGAAGGAGGTCTAAACGTGGAACGCCAATGACGTCGAACAAGCGGAAGCGTGTAGTTGATGATTCCCCAATACCTGTTGCACTTGAGCTGAGCCGGGCTCTCGAGGGTAATGCTGACGATAGTGGGAAAGGTGATACTCCTGGAGAAGAAAAAGAAGAGGCTGCTGAAGAGCGTCCTCAGCAGCAGCAGCCCAAACGAGAAGACCGTAATATGCGGTTTATGCGGCTTATCCTTAATCATCGGACATATCCTAGAACAGCTCCTGATGTGGAAGTGCTTGCGAGCATGTCTTTCCCATCCGACCCGGACCGCAAGCTGTCATCGATTCTCATACAATCGATTACCGCGCACAGCAGCAGCAACTATGCGGTGGACTATACCAAGGCCATAGCTTCGTTATGGTCTCGTGCACTGAAGGAACACTTCCACAGCCCGATTGGCATGTTCATGTCAATAGTGAAATTCATACTTCACCTGGATCTCCATAAACTGGCTCCATCCGTCATTGAGCCTGTTGTGCCGGTGCTACAGAACTCTGGATACATAAACGGCGTGCCTCGATTCACCAGTTCTCCAGTATCGCATGAAAACATGGGTAAAATCCAGAAGACACCTCAGAGGAAGCTGGATCACCGCGTCAGCTCAACAGAAGCTCTCGAGATACTCTACCTAATCGTCAGCGGATGTCAGCAAAACAAAGAAGCACTAGAGCTTTTCTGGCGCTGCGTGGGATCCGACTTTATCCTCATCATGCTGAATTCCTACCAGCAGCTCAACGATATCATTCTGACGTTGAAGATTCTAGCCTGCGGCCAGTTAGCCAATACTTTTGGACCGATCTGCGACTCGGAGTCCCAGCAGCTCGAGCATGAAAAGTACATCATTGACAGGGCAGCTAACCTGCTTAGCGAGCTGCCATCTTCCGACGAGGGCGAGAAACCGTACACGGGGTGGGAAATCACCACTCTGCGTGTTGAAGTGATGCTGTTCCTGAACGAGATTGCCTTCTCAGCACCGGATCCAGAACATAACCGCATTGGTAGAATGATTGCCTCCCACCCGAGTGCTCTAGCCCGTGCCTTTCGATCCATGCACGACGAGCTTGATGCTATGTATTCGAACCCTCCAGAGCGGGACTTGCATGCCACCGTGGTCAATGGCCTGACTCGTTTGGTGTATGGAATTATCAAGCTGTTTCCGGACCAGGTCGACCTACCTTCACGACTCCGTGCTGTTCCGGGAGCTGTTCAAAAGCATCTTGTTGTCCTGACCCGTCTAGCATTCAGTGAAGGGCTGTTGCTGGAAGCCGGAATATCCGATGAGACTGTGGAGATGGCACATGAGATGCTAGAGGAGGCCATCAACCCGCAAGAGGCGGAGGCCCTGGTAGAGGCATTCCGATCAAGCAGGGTAGATGAATGATCTGATACAATGCCAACCACTACAGGTCTGAGTCTTCTTTTTATACTGTGCTGCACATATCAATGTTACGCAGTTGACAGGCACTCAAAGAGAACAAAACATGTCCCGCTTAACTGTCCGAAGGGAACTCCCGTTGACTAGGCCGTCCTGTAGCAGCAGGTTCCGGACGGTTGATATATGTCCTTTACTACAGGAGATCTCACTTTAAATCCCTTCTTAGACCTTCCTGTTCTTCTTCTTTTCTGCTTTGGCAAGCAAGAGAAGATATCAACTCAGCTTCCCAGTGAACCCCAAGCAGTAAGTTGTCTGCTTTTGACTATAACTAACCTGCAAATGCTTGCTAACCTGTGTCTATTAGAAAGAATCAAACTTCAAACAATCCTACCTATTCTCCCTTTTGACTATACAAAGACAAGAGTAAGGCTTTTTTCTCTATATATGGTCAAAGACCAGAAGCAGAGAGAGAGAGAGTGAGAGAGTAAAAAGGGACTGACAAGCTGGATAGAAAGATGGCCTGTGAACAGTGGGTAGTATACTACTCTTGCGGCTGCGAGGTCACTTTGAGACGAGATACTCCCGACTGCGACGGAAGCTGCGGCGACGACGACACTCTCACCTTCCTTCCTGACCAGAACTCGGAAGACGTCTGCGGAGCCTGTGACCGTGGTCCGGTGTACATGTCGCCTCCAGCAAGCAGCTCTGAAGCGGAGGACGACGATGAGGACGAGAACGACGAAGATGAAGGTGATGAAAACGATGAAAATGAGAACGACGAAGACGAAGACGAGGATGATGTGGTAGTCATAGATGACGATGACGATGAGTAGCCATACAGCAACCGCTCTTTACACGGCCACTTTGACCTGGGGGGTGCATGGAAATTGGATCCTTCGACGCAGCCTCGCCCAGCAGGGTATCTATCATCTGCAACAACCTGCTGCTGCTTCGATAACCAGCTGGTAGTTACATTTACCGGACAAGATGAATAACTGAATATCAGACAGACATCATCGCTCCTTTCTCTAACCCCTAAATACTCCGCAGAAGGTCGTACAAAAAAACAAGCAACAACATGTAAACATCCACCTCTCCATAGATATCTCCATCTTATCCTCATCTCTCTCACCTTCATCTCTTCATCTCATCTCCATCATAAAGATATAACGGCATGACCCCTGGGTCGGATCAGGGGCCTCCTGTCTAGTCAACCGCCGCCGGCCTCGATTGGCTCCCCCTTAGATCCGCTTTCAATAATTCGCAGACGGACAAGAAGCAAAGAGCAGGATGACGGATGCATGCCGGATATTATCATTCCATCAGTTTATCTATTTAACTAGCTGGACAGCAGGAGGAAGGAAAAGAAAGAAAAGCAGAAACATGGTTCTTCCCCTTTGCGCTGCTGCCTGAAGGAAAACAAAAAGGGGGCGTCGCTGTCTCTCTTCTTCGCCTTCATCTTCGCCTTCGCCTTCGACTTCGACTTATCCAGGACTGGACTCGGTAGTTATTTAACGACTACTTCTCTTCGCCTTTCTTCACTTTTCTAGGCGTCTTCTTCTTTTCGTGCTTGGGTTTATCTTATTATCCGGCCCATCCCATCTACCCCTGCTGATCAGGTCGAGGTCGAGTCCAAGTCGAGATGGATCCAGCGTCGTACGTTGATCCGAACCTGACGCAGCCGGACCTGCTGGTGCTCAAGTGCCTGCTGCGAGACGTCGAGGGCCAGCCGGACAAGACGCAGACAAGCAACGGACACGCCAATGGATCGAGTGACGGCCGGACGGGAAGAAGAAGCAACGGTAAGTTAAGGCAGGCAGGCTCTCGGGGTCGCGTTTCTTCTTCTTAATTCTTCTTAGCTAACTCAGCTCAGCTCAACTCCAAGCATCGCCTAGAAACCACCACGAAGACGAGGCAAAAGCAGACGCAGAAGACGAGAGAAAGACCATCGAGCATCTGAGGAACCTGAACGACCCGAGCCACGATGACTTCGATCCCACCGTGTTCGTCTCGTGGGACACGCGGAAGCTGCCCTTCCCGGCCGTGGTGCAGCAGTGGCTGATCAGGCCGTACATCGCCAGGGCACGGCAGCTGGTGCGAGTCGAGACAGACGTGGCGATGCTCACACACCTGCTGCTGTACTTCAGCACCTCCGTGCCCAGCGCAGTGCTGCTCTTCTACCGCTTCAGCTGGCTGCATGGAGTGATACATATCTTGGTGCAGGCGTGGTACATGGGCACCTACACGCTCATGATGCACCAGCACATCCACATGGGCGGCATCTTGGACCGGAAGTACTGGCTGTTCGATATGGTGTTCCCCTATATCACTAACCCGCTGATGGGCCATACGTGGAACTCATACTACTACCATCACGTCAAGCACCATCATGTCGAAGGGAACGGGCCCGAGGATCTGTCTTCGACGATACGCTACCAGCGAGACGAGCTGGCTGATTTCCTGGCGTATGTGGGCCGGTTCCTGTTTCTGGTCTGGATCGAGCTGCCGATGTACTTGTGCAGAAGGGCAAGTATGTGATGGCGGCCAAGGCTGCGGGGTGGGAGCTGAGCACGTACTTGATGCTGGGTGTGCTGTTTGTGCATGTGGATGCGCGGGCGACGGTGTTTGTGTTTCTGCTGCCGTTGATGCTGATGCGGATTGCCATGATGGTGGGCAATTGGGGACAGCATGCGTTGGTGGACGAGATCGATCCTACGTCTGACTTTCGCTCCAGCATCACCCTGATTGACGTCCCGGTACGTATTTCTTTGATGAAGTTGAGTGAAGAAGATGATGAATATGAATACTGACGAGAACTAGAGTAACCGGTTCTGCTTTAATGATGGATACCATACATCGCACCACCTGAACCCGCGACGACACTGGCGAGAGCATCCCGTGGCCTTCCTGAGCCAGCGGCAGCGGTACTCGCAGGAACAGGCGCTGGTGTTCCGCAACATCGACTACATCATGATGACGGTGAAGCTGCTGCAGAAGGACTACGACTACCTAGCCCGATGCATGGTCCCCATCGGGGAGAAGCAGATCAGCATGACGATGAAAGAGCGAGCGGCAATGCTGCGGACCAAGACCAGGCGGTTCAGCGAGGAGGAGATTGCTCGTTTGTTCAAGTAGGCATCCAAAAAAGTACATAGAAGCATAGCATGCATGCATATATTCATAGACCGGGATATATTTTATAGAGGCATTCCAAAAAGGAAAAGTTGTTAGATATTATCAATAGATATATACTATATACAAAACATTAAGATGGGTGATTTTCATACTCTCTATCATATATATAAAAAAGAAGGAAAGCTCTACAGGTTGAAGCAGTTGGCGTAGAAGGAGACGGTGGCAGGCCAGTCCGAAAACATGCCGGCAACGCCGACATCCTTGGCCAGGACATCGATGACACGGTAGATATCACCGTCGTTCTTGACGGCAGAAGCAATGGAGGAGTAGTAGAAGTCACCGTTGGCCTTGACTTTGTTCAGGGGTCCCGAACGCTCAAGGGACCAAGTAGTGAGCTTGATGCCGGCCTTCTTTGCAGCCACGGCGTAGTCTGAGGGAACGATCTGGTTGTTTCCGTCGAGCTTGAGCAGGGCATGGAAGGCGGGCGAGAGAGTGCGGATGCCGGACTGCTTCAGCTGAGCCATGATAGCAGTGGCCTGCTTGGCTCCCTGGGGGGTATCCGGACGAGAGTCGAGATACATGGCCTGGCGGGCGTAGTCAGCTGCATTCTTGTTCCAGAAGTAGATGTCGTTGATGGAGAAGGACTGGAGGAAAACTCTGTCCGGATGGATGCGGGCTTCACGGTACTCGTCGATGAGCTGCTGGGCGTACTGCTCCTGCGAGTACTTGCCCATGAAGGGCATGGGCACCTCGGGCGCCTTGAGCTCGGGAGTGAACTTGAGGCCGTAGCCGTCGACGATGCGGATGTACTCCTTGTGCGAGTACAGCTGGCCGCAGGCAGAGGAGTACAGGTCGGTCCTGAACTTGGGCGTGCCGTCCATGTACTCCGCAACGGTGGTGGCTGCCGGGTTGGAGCCGTCCATCTTGCCGCAGAGGCTCTTGAACTCGGCGAGGGTGATGTCGCTGGTGCAGCACTTGGCCGTGGCCGGTCTGCCGCCGGACGCCGGGCGGAAGGGGACAGAGCACTTGGCCGCGAGCTCCGGCACGGCGAGGATGTTGGTGGTGGTGTGCAGGTCGCACTGCGAGTGGCGGCAGACGAGCTGGAGGTCGCGGGTGAAGGCGACGTCGCACTCGAGGATGCCGGCGCCCTGGCGTGCAGCCGCAGCGAGGCCGGCGACGGTGTGCTCGGGGAACTGCAGGGGCGCGCCGCGGTGGCTGATGGAGAAGTCGGAGGAGTGCAGCTTCTGGTTCTTCTTCTTGTACAGGCTGGCGCAGGCGGCGAGCTTCTCCTTGAGCGGGCTGTCGGACATCAGGCTGACCAGGTACGATGGCCGCACGCCGACGTCGACGTTCTCGATGCGCTGGGCGCCGTGGTTGCCGCTGCTGCTGGCGGGCGCCGCGGCCACGGCAGAGGCCATCAACAGGATGCTCAGCTTCATCTTGTCTTCTTTTTGTCTTTGTCTTTGTCTTGTTCTTGGGTATAGATATCAGGAGAGGCAGCGGCAGACGCAGAGACAAATGGCCAAAGAACAGAGACCAGAGAGCAGCCTGCCGTCTATTTAACGACGCCCGCTGGCTGCATAGCTATCCAAGTCTCCTCGCGCCGCCGGTCTTTGAGCTCTTGCATACGCATCCTGCCCCGTCACACATGGAGAAGGCCGCCGCCGTGATTGGGAGAGACGAGGACGGGGAGCGTCCAGGGGCCGGCGGAGCGAGCCTCGTATCACCGGGAGCAAAGCAGCGACGAAGCGAAGTAGGCGGCCTTTTAATATATGCAATAACGGGCACTTTGTAGCCGCGGATTAAGAGCAGTTTAAGGGCATCCGGCGATGGAGACGAGTCCACAGTAACAGCAGTGATACTCCATAGTAGCAGCATTTAGTAGCAGCAGTTGGTGGTAGCAACCAGTAGCAGCAGCTAGTGAAGAAGCCACCCGCGGCGCTAGGCAAAGGCACGAGCAGAGCCAGTGATGAAAGCTTCGAGAAGAAGTAAACCAAGTGCTCCGTAACTTAATTGAAGAGTAAACAAGCAAAAATAAAGACAGGAGAGCACTTACTAGGCACCTGTTCATAGTTGGTTGTATAAAGAGCAAAAAGAGCAAAAAGAATGCACCAGCCGGGACTCGAACCCGGGTCCTAACATTGGGAATGTTAGATCTTACCCTTAGACTACTAGTGCGTTGCAGCAGCTCTTACTCAGCAGAGACACAAGAAGAGAAGACACGATGACCAAGTAGGAAAGAGACGAAGTAGCAGAAGGAGAGGAGGAAGTAGATAAAGAAGAGATAAAGAGGAAGAGGACGAAGAAGAAGAAGAAGTATATGGGGCTGGCCTTTGGGTAAGGATGACCAGCTAGAGTAAAGACAGCAATTGACAGCTTGGTCAGGCCTAAGTACGCTAAATACGTAATGTGTTTATAGTCCATTGAGAATACCGTGCTTATCCTATCTGTGGCTCTACAATACGATAGACAATAAGATAGCCAACCTACCACATAGAGGAAGTATTTCTTAGGTCCCCACAACCCCAGGACAATGCCTATCTGCAAGTCGGTTAAGGGGTTATGGGTTATGGGTAGAGAGCCATAGGATATACCACGGGGAACTGCAGCTAAGTAACCGGAGCAGACGGCCTCGTTAATGATGCTTGTCCATTCGCATGCACTCCAGGATTACTGGAAAGAAACCCGGAGTCGACTGGGGAGTGGGGATGGTGCCGCATGGTACCCTATCATGCACAAGTCGGCATTGTCAACTGGCCTGCAGATGACCGTACATGGTGAATGGCCTGATGCTCTACGGGTATAATCCTGGCTGTTGCGTTGCGGGTAGCCATGCATTGGCTGGAAATATACTGATCGCTCTAGGCATCGTATCGGCCAGGTTGGGCAACTTGCAAAGTGGAAGTATGGCCTGGCTACCGCGGTAGCAGTCGTATAATGCCGGCCCACTGATGCATATCTCTCTCTATATATAAAGCCCCTTTTCCCTAGGGCACTCAGTCATGGCTAATAGCCAGCTAGATATAATAGGTAAAAAAGAAAGAAAGAATAAAGAAAGATGGATGGAACTATTATACTTACTGGGGCAACCGGTGGCTTGGGCCAGGAGCTCGCAAAACAGCTCCTCCAGCGCCCTGAGTCGTATACCCTGATCTTCCCCGTCCGCGACCAGAAAACAACACAGGCAGTACACCTTCAACGGCTTATCAATTCGCACGGCAAAGCCAACCACATAGTCAGCGTGCCGGAACTTAATCTCGCCCGTTTTGACGACATCCGTGCTTTCATTTCCAATATCAATGATAAAGTATCGGCTGGCGTCATCCCCCCCATCCGTGCACTGATATTAAACGCAGCCGTGTGCTATGAGTTAAATGGTCTCCGGTTCACACACCAAATGATAGAGACGGAGAAGCAGCCCCCACCATTCGAGATGAACTTCGCCGTCAACTTCCTTGCCAATGTCCTCCTTTCACTCCTGCTCCTCCAGTCCGTAGACAAGCAGCACGGCCGTATCGTGTACACATCCAGCTGCACACATGATCCCAACAGACCGGAGAACGAGTATTACAAGCCAGAAAAGCTCAAGTGGGATATAGCTGATCTGGCACATCCAGACATGGGCAACCTCGACAAGGATATAGCCATGGAGGCAATGAGGCGATACGGTGCCTCAAAGCTCGCCCTCGCTACCTTTATGTGAGTCCAACCTCGTCTTGCTTTGGGTACAATTGGCCAAGTAGGCCAAGTACTGGTATCACTGGGCCCCTAACGCATACGAACGCCCAGGCATGCATTGAGGAAACGCCTTGATAAGACCCCAGGCCTAGAAAGTATAAGCATCGCAGGCGTCGATCCTGGTGCAGTACTACACGCAAACATAGTGAAAAGAGCTTCATGGAAGAACCGAAACTTCGCATTTCCGTTGATGCAGTTGTACACCCGCTGGGTGGCTCAGTACCTCTGGCCTAACGGGCTGTTTCGCACGGCTGAGAAATCCGCACAGGACCTGCTGTCTGCAGCACTGGGATCCAAGGACTCCTGGGCCCATCCTGCAGAAGCATACTTTGATGGACGTGAGCAGGTTGAGGCGGCGGTTGAGGCAAAAGATGAGAGGAAACAAGAGGAGTTGTGGGGGTTGAGTTTGCAGTATGTAGGCCTGGATGCGAGCCAGACAAGTCTTAGTACCCGCGCTTGACTTGAGGCGGGGTAGGATGGATACTTTTTGATCAAACCGGAGACTCGCGGAACGGAACCTCCAGATTTTCTGAAGCAATGTAAATCCATGGGATATTATCCGCAGCTCCGAGTCAAGATTTCGAGATATACTCAAACCCCTCCAGTTCGTAACTCTGTTGGAATCCATCCAGTCTACGAGTTGATGCCCTTCAGGGATCCATATTGTTCCTAGGGTCGACTGTTCTTATGAAGGAAACAGGAGAACGTAGGCACCTCGTAATCATCATGCTTTAAATACACAATGTCCATGCATTGAATACTTCGAGTTTATGTTTTCTTGATGTCAAAAGAACCTTAATAACTTTAACTTAAAGTAATCACGTGACATGGATAAAGTTGGGTAACCGATTTACACGTGATGCTGCTGACATAACCTTAAGGGTTGTCGTATATAAAACGTCATGAATCATTGCAAGCGACGGCACATCCGAGATAAAGACGAAATAGGTGAAGTGAGAGAAAGAAGAATACAAAGAAAAGGTGCAATGAGGGAGAGGGGGAACGGAGAGACGACAAAAGAACAAAAGAAGACGAAATAAAGGGGAAGAAGCAAAGAGCGCGCGCCTATTAATAGATGTTCTCGAAGAACGCCACCACATGGAGAGACCGACAAGGCCAAAACATACTCCGTACTCCGTACGCCGTACAGAGTACAAGGGCATGCACATCCTCTTGCAGATGGGGAGATGCAAGATGCCTGCAGATACGATGAAACAACGAACGGACTTGGTCGCCTCTTCTGCCCACCCGCACGATGCTCATCTTTATCGTGGCCTCCATTGGCCTGCCAGAAGAACGGATCAACCCGTCCGGAGTGGGCACGCGCTCGTATCGGCCATGACCAAAGCCGTCTTGGGAGCTCTCGACCTGGCAAGCTTGCAGCCAGCACGGCGTACAGCTGCAGGGATGCCTTTCAATTCTTCCTGGTTGATACCATATTAATAAGTGCATACTAATACTAAGATAAACCACCAACGGGACGCTCTCCCTCGCTTGTTCCTCCTCCTCCTCGCTTTCTCCCCAAGTCTTCAATGAGTTTCTACACTTCCTCTTTTCCCTGATCGATTGATGCCTATACCTCCTGTTGTCTAAAACGTCTGCTACCACCATGTCCAAGGAGAACGTCGTTGTTGACATCGAGGCGGGTGTGCGAGACGGGGACAGCAGTGACGGTGTCATCCTTGATGTCGCTGCCGCTCGCTCTGGTGCTGCTGACGCCCTCAAGACAGCGCCAGACGGCCATACCATACTCGTTCCCCAGCCTTCAGACTCCTCGGAAGACCCCCTAAATTGGCCGTCAACGAAGAAGTGGATAGTCCTTCTCATCATCTCCTTTGCTGCCTTCTTGCCAGACTATGGCTCTGCTGTTGGCGCTGTTACCCTCCTCCCACAGGCCGAGTATGTCTCTTCATCTCCGTGTTCTGTTCTTTAGTGCTGTTTCTATGCCACGCATTCTTTTTGCTGACGGTAACAGGATATGGAATATGACACCGGATGAGGTCAACCACTCCCAGGCTGGCAATGTCTTCATGCTTGGAGTCGGAGGCCTTGTTACTGTCATTTGCTCGGCCTACTTCGGACGTCTTCCGGTCCTCTTCTGGTTCATGGTCGGTGCAGTGGCTACTGCCATCTGGTGCACAGCTGCCCAAAGCTTTGAGTCCTTCATGGTAAGATTTCTCCAACTACAGATAAGTCACATTTGTCATGGGTGTATACTGATTTACTTACGCAGGCTGCGCGCATCCTCAACGGTTTCTTCTCTACTGTGGCACAGGGAGTAAGTTTGCTCTGATGTATATCCATTCGTGTACGCGCCCAGGCTAATAAAATAGGGCGGTCTCATGTTCATCAACGATATCTTCTTCTTCCATGAACATGCCCGGAAGATCAACATTTGGTCTAGCTTTATTATTGTCTCACCCTATCTCGGCCCCCTGCTTACGGCTTTCATCATCAACACCCAGATATGGCAATGGGCATTCGGCGTCTACTCCATAGAAACCGGACTCTGCTTCATCGCCATCATTCTATTCATGGATGAGACCTACTATGACAGGAAGCTCCCCGTAGACCAACGACCAGCCCGGATCTCCCGCTGGAAACGCCTCATCGGCACTGAACAATGGCAGTCCCGTCACCAGCGCAACAGCTTCAAGGACGCATTCCTACGGCCCTTCATCGTTATTGCGAAACCAGCCATGTTCATCTCCTGCATCGTCTACCTCCTCACTTTTGCTTGGGTCGTCGGCATCAACACCACTCTTGCCATCTTCCTCGTGCCCGTCTATGGCTTTGGTCCAAAACAGATCGGATTTTTCTATTTCACTCCCGTTGTTGCTGCTATTCTAGGCGAGATCGTCGGTCACTGGTTGCATGATCGTGTGGCTAGCCTAGCCGCTTCCCGCAACCAAGGCCGCTTTGAGCCCGAGGCTCGTTACTTGGTTACCTGGATCAGCACCCCTTGCATTTGTGCCGGTCTCATCCTTCTTGGCTTCGCCCTGGAGCGGGAATACCACTATATGCTTGCCTCCTTGGGCTGGGGCCTCTACGTCTTCGGTATCATGATTACTACGGTTGCTACCAGCGCTTACGTTCTAGACAGTTATCCAGAAGCCAGCGGTGAAGTCGCTGCTTGGCTTAACTTTTCCCGCTCCACTGCCGGTTTCATTGTCAGCTACTTTATGGTTCGTTGGGCTGGAGACCAAGGACCCATCCGTCAGTTTGGTGCCATGACAGGCATCTGCGGCTTTGCCTTCGTGATGCTATTGATATTCCAGTTTTTCGGCAAGAGAATCAGACGCTGGGCTGGTCCGGTCAACTTTAAGACGCTCTAATGATTAAAAGTTTTGCTAGTTTCTTTTTCATTCTTTTTCCCCTTCTAGAACTTCATGTCTATAGCGAATTACTGTATGTGTATATAAACCTGGGGCGGGCTGGCGGCTGGTGTCCACATCAAGTAGATTTACTGTACGGAGGTTGTCGTGTTTATCATACGTTACAATTGCACGAGCAGTTATCTTCATTTAATTTCTCTTGACGGGAATGAAAAAAGCAAAGCAAGACTCGCCCCACGCCGGATTTCGTATGCTTATAGAACTGGGGACTGGGTAGTTGAATTAGTCGATATAAACAACCGGCTATTAACAGGGATAGGGGTTCCGCGTTTGACGCCGTAAGGAGTTAGCGGCTCCTGCCCGGGAAGCTCGAGCTGTTCTCCTGCCTCCACCTGTGGATACAGTATGTTTGTCTCTACTCCGTACTTGATACTAGTTTCTTGGGATAAATGTAACTATCATGGGCAATAAATCTGGTGCTCACACTATGGCGTCAAATATTCAGGTCAAGTCCGTATGGAGTTTACACACGCTCAATGGCATAAACGATAATTGTATACCAATATGTAATGCCCTAAAAGGTACATGAGAAACAAAAAGATGAAATCACCTTATCGTCTTAATTTACTGGATCCTTGTTACTCTCAATATGCACCTCTGTTGTCTTCATAATGCCACCAAGTTGTGACCTTCGAGCTTCACAAAAGTCTAGGTCCTCCACACTCTCACGACCATCGCCCCATCTCCTTGACCGCCCCTTATACTCTCGTAGGGGATAACAACAAGATTCGTTCGTAGATAGTAACGAATCTTTTGGTAGAAATGCAGGGTGTTGAACCTGTTCCCCTGAGCTGTGTTTGGACGCATATCTGTTGGAATTAGACTGCTGTGCTGTAGGTGTTTTCCCCATAGCAATCTTCAGGAGCGGGCCGAGGGGAGGTATACAGGCTGCTATTATTATAAGATATTGTTCCGTATTAGTCCAGATAGTCAGCGAGATGGTGTCATAGGTGTAATCGCTTCGTGCAGTTAGACTGGCGAGGAATATTGTCTTAATTATAGCTGCGATCATTGCCCTTGTGGTATTGTTAGTACACATAAGCACTGTATGCTGGGATAAGAGCTTACACTATGCCCAGAGCCAAAACACACCCAAGGCAAGTCTTAGTTCTTTTTGACATTTGCAGTTTCCATATAACAAATATGGGATATATGGCAAGGAGGCCGTCCGAGAAAGCTGAAAAAGCTGAACATGTATTAACTAGTTAGCCATGTAGTTATTTCCTCATGTTAGATTCAAAAAAAAAAAAAGCTGGGAGAGGTGGATATACATACAGCCTTGAAAAAACGCAAAGTCCCTTTGGTGATGCGGCGACCAGCAAGATCCTGATACATTTTGATCCCACAGCCGCGAAGCTGGTGTACACTGGCCGAATATGGTAAAAACGCAAACGGAGTTAATCACCATTAACATGGCCATCAACGTATAGAGGAACACCCTCTGTGACCGAGAGTTCACGACAATCCGTAGCAAAAACAGTATGACGGACACCTTGCCAAAGTTCGTTGACATGACATGGCAACCCTGCGAGATCCAGTTGTATTTATTTGCATTGATGTACTCGGCCCCTGTGAGACTGGCGGCATGCTTACCCAGTCCGTGATGAACACTGGCGGTAAGTAGGGATGTGTTCATGGTAGCCAGCACCTAGATAGAAGATGGTTAATATCAGCTCTTCTACTCCCCTTTGTCCCCTATTTTTTTTTTTCTCACTGCCAGCAAATGGCGAAGGAATACCATCGAAAGACACATGCTCATATCATCCCATCCCCAGCCCGAAATAACCCGAGTCCGAGTGTAGATTCGTGCCGTCAGTATAAGTGCTGCAACGCTGAGCTCAGCCCACATCACCGACAGGAGCCTGGCACCGCCATTTGGCTGTATAGACAGTTGGCCATCCATTGAGAAGTTATGGCCACGACTGGCCGTGATGTGATGATGCTGGGAAATTCGCAAACCCTGGGCTGACCAAGGGCATTATAATTCCTCCTATACGCCCAGGCGGTACAGAGATCGCCGTGCAGCCTCGGGATTTTCAATGTGATGGCGTGTGAATAGGCAATATCAAGCAACAATGAGCCGGGTCGCTGGGAGCAGCCCAGGACTTTGTGATGGAAGAAGGACCTTGTAATGAAGACGAGCAAGCCAGGCGACATATCGACACCTCTTTATCGCAATCCGCGGGCTACCGGCTTGAAGGGCGGGTAGGCTGCTCCCGATCCAGCTGCATTGTTATTATGTGTGAGACGAGACCGTCGCTCATAGGCGGCGCGGGTATAGAGTGACACCGGATTTCATCTCTGGCGGAGCTGTGACAGGGCGCATCACCGCATGTGCGCTCCGTGGACATTCCGGAGTATATTTGGCACCATTCAGGGAGCTGGATGAACGGAACGGTGATGCGTAGAGCAGTTTGCTGTCACTGTGATATTCTTGCTGGATGTTTGGATAGTGGCTAGCTAGTTACCCATGATTGCTTCTGTTAAACATGCCAGGGCTCAGTTCCGGCGCTAAGTTAGCTAAGGTTAGTTGGTGTTGGTTAATTTAGCTAAAGGAGCGTCTGGCAGTTGATATATTTTAGCTGTCAGGTCAGAACAACTAGGTAGACGGACAAATGACAGAAGCATTATCACATTGGTTCATGCTGGCTCAATTCTGCACAGAGAGTCCCAAACAGACCAGAATGAAGACGGCCTGCTAGCTGGATAACTGGTCATCCCGTCGACCGATGCCACGGATCCCTTACTCGCTTCTCCTGCGCGCGCGCCGCATCGATCCTCTACTGCCTCCGCTGCTCCAGGAGTGTCGAGATCTCTGCTCGGCAAAGAACGAGCTGCGTTGGCTCACTGAATATGCACGGAGTCATGGTACAAGCCGTGAAGCCTGGAGCTGGAGGCAGAGGCTGCAATCGCTGGTCTGTCAGAGAGCAGCAGGGAAGCCTCTGCAGTATATACTAGGGGACCAGCCATTCGGGGAATTAACAATTCTCTGCAGAGAGGGAGTGCTGATTCCACGGTTAGTGTTATGCCTGTTGTTTCTTCTCCCCTTGCTGTTGCTATAACTATTCCAAGATGGTGCTGACCCGTGATGAATTCCTTTTAACAGGCTAGATACGGAGTCGTACACCACACGCATAGCACAACGATTGCTGGCTGAGAACCGCCATAATCCTACGAGAAGTCTTCGAATTATCGACATATGCACTGGCACAGGCTGCATACCGCTGCTGCTTCATTCTCTGCTTGCGCCCTCAATCCCCACCCTTTCGATCATTGGGGTTGATATCAGCTCAACAGCCCTCTCCCTTGCGAAGAAGAACCTCGAGTATAATATTGGGAATGGCAGTCTGCTATCTCGTGCGCGAGACGAAGTCCGTTTCGTGCATGCTGATATCCTAGACCCTTGTTCTCTGAAGCCAGATGGCTCGGAGCTAGGGACGTTACTCTCTCGATCAGGACAAGACCACAGCGATAGATTGGACCTGCTGATATCCAACCCACCATATATATCGCCCAGGGAATTCGCAAACGGAACAACAAGACGTAGTGTGCGTCTGTATGAGCCTGCATTGGCATTAGTGCCTCCGCCAATTCGCCATGTTGACATATCGTCAGAATCGGCCAGGGCAGATTCATTCTACCCTCGTCTACTAGACATCTCTGCACAGCTCGATGCTCGTTTCACTGTTTTAGAGTGCGGTGATCCAGCTCAGGCACGAAGGGTTGCTACCATGGTTGATGATAAGGGCCAAAATCCGCCTTTACAATTCCAGGGGGATGTGAAGACGGAAGTCTGGCGTTGCGACTGGGACGCTTATTCTCATAATACATCTGGGAATATTGCTTCCGACGATCAGGGAGAGTCAGCAACTGTGGATGTCACAGCCAAGCCTGATCAAGGGGCTCGAGCGGTTGTGCTTTCGAAATGCTGACCACGAGGTTTATACTGGAACCGATCCTGATATAATTAAACAGAAATGGAGATACAGGCCTTTCAACAATGAGGCATTTAAACTCATTTTCTATTGAAAAGGCGTAGGTCTGTCCCACGGGCGGCCAGATACGTACAAAGACCATTCAATAATCCACTACCTACCGAGCAAAGGAGGGAGATAAGATGAGGGAAAAGAAAAGAAAAGCGGCGTCAGCTTTGAGCCACGATAGACCTGGAAGGCCTTGGTCGAAGCATGGAGTGTATCCGCAGATAAACTCTCTGCAGTGCTACTGTGGCGTTATATCGAACGTCACGATATCACGTTTACATATTCAAAACAAAAGAGACTGGACGGCTTTGATAAGAAGATTATATTCGTAATTTCGAGGTATCTTTAAAATACCACTTATCAACAATAGGTCAGGGCAAACTGACGTCGTGCAAGAGAGCAAGATTATATATGCAATGACGTTGAAAGAAGGGAAGGTAAAAACAGCAGGATGCACTCCGTAGAAAGGGAGATATATGCATGGTGGTCATGAACATCTCTGTTCTATGCAGAGAAGAAGATATAAAACACAAAGGTGGAAAAAAATATACAAAAAAGCTCTAATCACAAGGGCATGAGGGATATCGATATGCAGAAAATGAGTTGAACAAAAAGGTGACAAAGGTCCAAAGCTAATGTGGACTGCGAGATATTACATGGCAGCAAAGAGCATGCCAGCACTAGCCAAACCAACCGCAGCAACGCCTAGGATGAAATCAGGTCTCTTTGGTTGACCTGCGGCCATGGAGCTTGGTTGTTTTGGGACGCCAGTAGGGACTCCAGGAAGGCCGGTAGCCTGGGTTATCTGAGCACTTGTAACGGCATCTGGCACGCCCGTAGCATCAGGCACGCTGTTTTCGCCGGTTCCGATTTCCAGGATGTTTGTCTCGGTGGAATTGAAACGAGTTGGCGCAATGGAGATCTCGTTGTTCACGAGGTCATAGACAAGATAGGCGCTGCGTAGCACAGTATCACCAAGAATGGAGATAGAACTGCCGGCAGGTGCAATACCAAAGACACAGGCCTTTGAACCGTCTTTGAACTTGGCTTCATTGCCATCGGCGTCTGGTCCAAGATCAATGACTAGCTCGTCCATGCCAACTGCGATCTGGGGGGAGGAGAAGGTGAAAACAATTTTTCTGTCGTCGCTGGCCATAGAGCAAGGAACGAATGCAAGGTTGTTGGATGGGTCGAATACGGCGTCAACAGCGTTATAGACCTTGGCTGCGAGAGAATCAGGAAGATAACTCAAACTGCTGCCCGAGTCCATGGCAACGGCGACTGGCTGAGATGCAAATGAGTTGATACTGCCGTCAGAACCAGCCCGGATCCCAACACCCGTCAGGGCTACTACAAGCGAAGTGTAATCGCCCCTGGCGGTATGGAGTACGGGAACGGTTTGGAGTTTGCCTTGAAACTTGCCAGTGTCGATGCCGCCGAAGAGGATCTGGCCACGGCTGGCATCCAGGTCGTTAAGCCAGAGCGAGTAGGCATTAGAGCGAATGTAACCGGCATTGACGAGGGCAGCAGGGAGGTTAGGATATGATTTGTCACCGGACCTGGTAACCTGGGCTTCACCAGCTTCATACCCAATTCCCAAAACACCGACTACGGACGGTTAGCATGGAGCGAATGGTCCCCTTGTGATAAATATGCAGCACTTACGGGGACTGGACGAGGTGTGTCCGATAGCAAACTGGAAGTCCTTCAATTTGATGCCTCCGACGTTTAAGACATCGGTGACATAGTCACCGCTGGCGCCTGATCCGTCGACATAAGAGATGTTGAAATCGTTGTTTACAAGCTGGTAGGAGCTAGAGCTGGATGAGTCGTAAGTTCCGCCCTGGCGGCATGGCGCACGTCTCGAGTTGCAGAACAGCGATTCCGCGGTGTTAACCCATAGATCACTACTGCCGGTGTCGATGTGGGCTCTGATCGTCTGAGGAGGCGTTCCTATGGTGAGGTTGCAGAAGTATAGGTTTTTCTATATAACTGTTAGCATTACATGCTAGTACAAATTCCCTGGACAACCCATGGGCAACCAACATTGCGGTACTTACCTGGTTATCCAGATCCTGGCTGACAGTTTTGGTAGAGGCTCTTTTAGCGATAATTTCTCTGTGGACTGGCTTCGCAGCCTGGAAACGCTCGATGTCAAATCCGAGAACCGACGGATTATCTCGCTTGACAACCTGCAGAGACACAACAGCGGTCGACAGAAACGGTACAACCGTGGCCAGAGACCAGATAACTGAGTCGCCACGCATGTTGAAAGTGTTATTAAAAACGGCGTTGTGTTGTGCTGCGTATGCAAAATAGTCAACAGCCAAAGAAAATACGGGCAGCGTCTCTCTTTTATACGACAGCCAAAGCGACCATGCAAATCACTTTTCTTCTTTTGTTTTTTGCTCCTTGCTCTTTGTTAGACAGGAGTATTCCTTTTTAATAGTCAAAAAGCGAAAACCTGGCCCAGTCGGTTAGTTGATATATAAGTTTTAGTTGTTAGGGAGATGGTGGTTCCCGTACAAGAGGATATATATAGGAGGCGCCGACGATCAATAGTGACAATGGCGACTTTTAATACCACCTTCACAGGAGAGAAGAGAAGAGGAGCAAGAGAGAAAGAGAAGAATGAGTGAATGACGAGGCCGAAGACAAGGACGAGCAACCAACAGCGGCTGAGCCTGCAGGAGCGATTGCCCCCTGACAAAGTTCGATCCTCCGCCCCCCGGGACCCTCCAGCCTCGTTTTGATAGGGCGTAAGAAGGCATGGCAGGCCGGCTAAGGCTTGCCAGAGCGATGGCTGGTAGGTGTACGATGCGAGATGTATCAGCCCAAGCGCTATATTTAGGGTGCGACTTGATACAGAGTACTAGGCGTGGAGAAGCCTAGGGCCTTAAGGGGACCAGCGACTGGTCGATACTGCAACACCGCCACAGAGCCATGCCGACTTTTCACGCGTTGTATATTTTTTTGCGCTGTGTAATCCGTGAGCAGATTAGTCAAGGTTGCTTGTCAAAACATGAACAACTGAGTCAGTCACTTAATTGCTGTCAAGCTTTTTTTGGTTCATATAAGAGATATTAAATATGGACAGCGTTTGTTTAGGGCTGGCTGCCACTTGTCGCTGGTGGCCGGCGGCGTGGCCGGCTGTTGAAAAGACACCCATCCACCCCATAGAATAGCTAACTCGGCAAGTACTCCGTACATCCTCGAAGGAAACAAAAAGAATTAAACAAGAAGATATGTCATTACATCGACGTTCATACACCACCATGTTTACTCGCAATCATGCACAGCGACTAAAGCGACTGGCATGCCGAGCAGAGCCCAGCATAGGCGAGCAAGGATTTATCGCAACTGTGCCATGCTGGGCGCTTGGAGCTGGCGATCACAATCGCTCGGATTGGGCTCCGGGGTGCTGCTGGCCCTCTTCTCATTGGAAGTCCCGATTATGATCTCCTCCTTCAGCTCAGCGTCATGAGACTTGGCCGTCTTCCGGTCAGACGAAACGCTCATCAAACTCGACTCTTTCCGGTCGACCAGGCTATTGTTACCTGTTGGTTGGCTATCTCCTGTTGCTTCGAGATCCGAGATCGTCGGCAACGTCAAGGTCATGTCGTCCATGCCTCGAGCAGTTCGAGTTCGCCGTCGGCGTCGGGACGTTCGCGTCCTAGTGTAGTACGAATATTGACCGGGCCGCTGTTTCAGGTTGAACAGTGATTTGAACGTTGCTAGACAGCATGTTATCACCGCTACGGCTGTTTCCATTGTACTCCAGAACAAAAGCCAGGAAAGCGGTGGCTGGCTCTGGTAGCCGTTGCTCTTGATAATGCGGACCACTGAGATGGTGATGATACTGAACCCCAAAGCGAAGAGGACGACCAAACCCCCTTTTTCGGGGCCGGGGAGGTTGGACCGCACGATTAGGACAATCGGCAGCACCATGACTGTAGCTATCAGTAAGATGGCTTTCTCTATGACTCAAGAGTAATGCAGGGTATGCGATTTAAACTTACTGCACACGTCTGTCACTATGTCCATTGCAGTGTTAAACCGCAAGCTTACCAGGGTGCGGTAGATGCTTCCCCTGTCGATACAGTGGACTGTTATAGGACATATCGTCAGCATTTTCTCCACGAACCTAGGCAAATGGGGGTATAAGCATCATGCTAATGCCGACTTACATGCTTCCAGGGTTGAGCACCCCACGGGGAACAAAGCAGCATTGATGATCAGAGATATCATGCAAAACACTGCCACTGCCCACCAGGCTTTCCGATAGTCGCTCAAGTCCCGAATCAGCCTCCAGTAAAGCGCCAGGAAACTCCCCTTAATGCAGTATAAACTTGCAGTAAATACTACATTATGTGCGTATACCAGGCGGATCATCTTGGTGATTTTTACACCATACTCGGGGGGCGGGCGCTTGCCAGAAAACCCCTCGAGATGTATGTATATCAATGGTGATACAACAGTGACCATCACCATTTGGGCTATCTGTCCAGCGTAGCCAGCTAGGCAAAAAGCATCATCCCAAAATAGTCGTCGCTGAAGCCATATTCTGATAGCTATTCGAAAGATTATGACGACTGTCGTAAGGGCGAAAAACGACCACAGTATTATCTGAATGAAAGCTCACTGTCAGCAAAGCGGATAAGGTCAGACGCTCAACCAGGGTATCAGGAGATCCACTAACAAGTAGAGGAACCCTGGGTATGTGTTTCAGGGCGACGGGACGTTCGTTCCTATCAAGAGGCTCATTTGCGAAGACTTTTCCCATCTTGACCGTTCAACGGCCCTGTATTATATAGGCCTATCAAGTAGATATATAAATCAAAATGGCCTGGGTATCAATGTGCCACCATTCTACACGAATAGAAAAATCAATTAGAAGAATGCTCGAGTTGTCTTGGGTGACAGAACAAATAAACCAGCAATTGCACTGCAAATAACTATGAATTGACAACAGATGTGAGGACTCGTTGCTCGTATTTGGTTGTCTGGTTTTTATCTTGATCGAGGAAGAGAGAGTAAGCAAGTAAGCTGACAGGCACCCTGTACTCCGTCCCTTCTATTAATACCCTGAGCAACCAAAACACACTGACAGGAGAAGTGCTTTTTTCAAGCCCTGTCTGTGTTTATGGTGCAATCCAGAATCCTTTTGGTAACTAAATGAGAATTTATAAAAGCAAATCTTACCGGCAAAAGTAAGAATCGAGAGGGAAAAGAAACGACGAGAGAGAGGTTTGGATGTACGGCTTTTAACTAATGCAGGCCTAAACCACAAGATGCGGCAAATGCATGGGGGTTCCATGATGTCTTGTAAGGAACACACAGGCCGCCTATTTTCGTGTTCAATCACCGACCCATGGGATGTTGCTAGCAAGGATGGCATGGATACCCAGCTCTAGTTAGCGATAGACTTCATGAAAAGACCCATCAGCACCATGCCATGCGTTGAAGTACGGAACATATAGGGTTGGTTTGCGAGCTATCGAAGGACGTGGGAAGCCTGGTGTTGACGGAGCAGCTTTTCGAGAGCGCTCCTTGGGTGCTAAGGCCGCCCCGGGGAAGGCCGAATCTCGAAAATAACTGTCCACCCTTCCCGAATTTTCCATGCTTGCCACTTCAGCTTGTGGCTCTGGAGGAAACATAGAGCGTTGACTAGGCTTTTGCTCTTTCACCCTTCTTCTATGGCGTACAGACTGTCTACTTTCAGCAAGATGAAACATGTCCAAGTAACTAGTAGAACCCTGTAGCGCCACCACCAACGGTCGAAGCCACACCACTCTGGGATACTGGCATGAGGAATGACCCAAAGCCCTTGCGTGGTTTTGACAGAGAAGTCGAGAGTAGTCATGAGTGGTGTTGGCTGATTTGGATTTGATTCTCAGGGTGAGGGACACTGGCCCAATAATCACCCTGGTTGAGCATAGTTACTCTGCTGGCGTGGATACAGGGGAAGCTAGGCTCGTAATGCGAACCTAATAATGGGATTCCCCGGTTCATCATGCAAGCTAACTGATCCTGTGAGCCTCGAATCTACACCATAACTCCTGAGACAACAGGCTTCACCATGGAGCCAACAACGGTGTCAAGAGCCTGATGAAGTCGAGTAGACGCTTTATGGATCCATTTCAAATGCTCATGATACGATCTTTTGACGTCAATCGTGCATCGTGGCCAAGTGGCTGGTTATTATAGTTAAAAGGGGTGAAAAGGTTCCATCCCGTTCTAGCCTTGGTGCTATTTGGACGTTGGCTCGTATAACCACCCAAAGAGGAATGGGACGCTCTGAGCCTAGGGCGAATCGGTGATGATGTCCAAGGTGATTTTCTCCGAGCAAAAGGCTCTCTGTGCCCTTCTCTGCCCACCTCTAGGTTTTGATCCTGGCTGGTGATCATTGCTTTTTCCCTCTGCTGCCCCTTTGACGGGATGACTTCCGCGTCAAGTCAAGTTCAGTTGTATGTCGTTTCGACCGTTCTAGGTACTAATTAGTTACGAAGTTAGTTGTTGTCAGTATATGTAAAGTGCTAGCCTCAAGGAAGAACTCCGTACAGGTAAACAATCAACGGAGTATCGATGTTCGAGCACCTCAAGGAGAATGCTACAGGCCAAGGAAGGTGTGTGTCGTTTTGTTATATAGTATGCACTTCACAACACGAAGCAAATTTCTGGGCCATACGGAGCACTCGGGATGTGCAAGGATTCATTGGTATTCTTGTCTTGTCACAAGGCGTAGTAACATGTATCAAGGGTGACGAAAACCATGGTGGAATCAAGAGCACAGACATGTAGGTCGTCCTTTCAGTACTGTCAGTGCAGCACCATGGCCCGCATATAGACTAACTCTCCCAAGGCCGCTTCTGTGTAGCGAATGCTGACGATGGGGGTATCCTTAAACGGGAGGGAGATTGGTAACTGGGCTAGACCTATCATGCAGGACAAAGTCATAGAATTACTCCGTAGCAACTCCTTCTTACCCATAACTATGTCGCAATTAGAATTTCGAAACTCCAAAAAAGACGGTCCAATTTATGAGTTTGAACTGGTGGTGGAGATTTTGCCCAAGCGCCATTTATCGTCTTGCATTGACATGAGGTTTGTGAAGAGTATGTACTCCGTATTGGAGGAAATTAGAATATGGCCAGCAGCGGGATATGCTTGCCGTCATGCCGGACCCTTCTGATGTAGCACCGTATCCGATCTCCCCCCACGCCTATTTCAGGCTTTAGAGAACATAAATAGCATAGCTGCCCTTGCTTATGCCGCAGAATCTGGCTAGAAGGCTGTGTTCTAGCGAAAAGGAACTCAAAGTGCGACGATATCCTGGAGAAGTACAGTAGTTTCTAGCGAGAAACTGGATGCAGGTTACATATCAAGAATGTAAACCATACTCCGTACCTGGATATTCACCCTTGATCATGCAATGCAAGTCCTGATTAGTCCCTGCAGGAAGACAACACGACTCGAGGTTTCCTTTTTCTTCCTTCAGAATGGTATGGCTAAGTAGTTGTGTATATTTGATTTATTTTGCTGTTAAAAGCGTATCGAGAGATTCCATTCCTCTCCATAGCTGATGGACTTGCTTTTGTTTGTGTATCATACTGCGTACTGATCTTCGACAACGCCTGCTCAAAAGTAAAGGATTCTTGTCACACAGTACATAATTCGCTCGTGGTAGGCGAACACGGATGCTAATCCAGACGCGGCTTCAAATCCAACGCGACTCTAGCCACATTATTGAGAACATGCGAGCCTCACGCGGGATGTTATGGCATTGCCGGATATAATCCGAAAAAGTGAACTCCTGTGAAAAAAATAGATGTACCGGGTATATTTCGGCGTTCATAGTCCTAACTATGCACGAGCTCAGGACGACCATGATTTGTCCTTTCCACCATGTTTGATGGCCGGTCATGGCGGTGGTGTGACGAATAACAGAGGTGCTTTCGAGGTTACCAGTATCAGCCGTACATCAAAAAGCAGTTGATACCATGTATAGGTAGACACCCTTGCACTTCCGCCTGGCTGGCAGCCGTTGTGATCGACGCGGGGAGACTCCACTGGCAGCGCGGAGCCAATCCGCAATAGCTACTGGTTGTCCGAAAAGACACTCCAGCATACGCAAGAACGAAGTATGTAGTTTTATGTAGTTTTATTTCTCAGTGCATCTCCACCTCGGTGGCTCAACTTTAGCCCATCCCAGGCCCACGTGTAGAAGACGGTAAAGAGGCCGAGAAGATGTCAAAGAGCAAGTGTGCTTGGGCGTGAAATTGGAAGCTACCGGTAACCAAGACATAAAATGTACCCGCAGTTTGGTCGCAGGGGTGGCAACGGCATTGCTGTATTGACATTGGTGGAAAGAAATCCTTCAGCCAACCATTTCCATTCGTTAAGCGGAGGCTATCCCAGCCATGAACCACGAACCGGCTGAGGCTGTCAGAGCCTTTGGTTGGTGCCGAAATGGGTGCCGAGATGGACGGGAATTGAGTGCCTGAGCGTTCCAAGGAGGTGGTGGACGAATCAAAGAATACTCTGCACCGATAGACGATTCAAAGAAGGCGTTGAAGACGACCTGACCTCCCACGCGGCAAACAGCCCTGAACTATATGGTTGCTGGCGATATATACTCCGTAGGTAACTTCACATACTATGAATTCTTGACTTTCCGAGATTTGGCCCAGCTGGCGGAGAAAAGATCCCTCCCCCATTTCACTTCGAAGCTGGGCTTAGCGCATGTAAGGAACCGTGGCGCTCGTTAATTCCTGCAGTGTGATGGATGAGACAGATGACCAGCAGGCAAATCTAACTGGCGATCACCCTGAAGGCTATCGTCATCGATACGAGGTTGAGCACGAAGTGCAGTATCCAACCAAACAGCCGTACCAGCCGTAATACGAGCCGATTCACGCAGCTAAGAACGCCTCTGTGCACCAGAGGCTTGGGGGGTAGCCGACTTTCTTTGAAACAACTGAAACAGCCCTGGAGACGGGAAGCTAGCATGTCTGTGTCTGTGAGCACTAATTCCCGCAGGAGCTATGCCATCCAGGCTTCTCTTTTGCCAAAAGTGTGATCCAATTGCTGCTGAGGGTTGAGGTTGAGGTTGAGGTTGAGGTTGTTGTCTTTGTGATAGTTAGTGGACCGAGGCCTATCGTGTGACTACGTAGATATCCGCCACCTGGAGAACTTGAAGAAATGCACTTCTGTCTGGTTCATGCTGTACAAGTAACAATCCCACAATGACAAACATAAAACCGAGAAGACAATACCACTATTTACAGCTCTTTTTGTGTGGAGTTATTGCCCTTAGTTACCTTTCGATACCCAACCTAGCATTTGAGCTAACGCCAGTATGTAGTATCGTTGCCATTAAGGCCGAAAACTATATTTGATAAGCCCCTGGCAGCATATTATGAAGACTTTTTATATAAATATTATGAGCCTAGAGGATATATATATTAATAGAGAACCTGTTTTCTTGTCTACTGGAGGATATAGCTACCTATTAAGTATATTTACTTAAGCCTATAGCTTGAGAATGTTCACCTTACTATAACCTGTAGAGAGGTTTTGTATACTTAGTTACATCCCTTAATGATAAGCTTCCTAGCAAGAATTATCCGATCTGGCTAGGTTCTTCTCGGCATATTCTATATTCATAAGGAGCTACACATTACTCATGGAGATATACAACACCTTTGTGTCTCTTACTAGCCGCATTAAAATAGGTAAGGTGGGATGCTGGATCAGGTATCCTTTATCTGTGACTTGTTACTCACCCCATACCCATTTTCTAGGTGATATTGGGACAAGCATGCCAGACGATGGCAGCGGGCATCAACACGTCATTCAACGCGGCCTCTATGCTTAGTATAAGCCATACTCATCGCCATAAAGCACCGCCAGGCTCCTCGATAACCCGCCGTGGGTGCTGTCATGCAGGGGTTCTCGAGATCGGTTTAATCAACAAACCATGACAAGTGTTTCTAGCCCGGCCGTTAGGACCCAGTAGGCTTTTATTCAGCTGTCAAAGATACTGTTGGCAGAGCGAGCTTGTAATAGCAATCAGCGACTGGTCTCGCATTTCTCCTCCTCTTTGCGCTTCAGAAAATGTTGGGATATTCCACTTTAGCTACGGCTCGCACTCATTACCCAAAGGTATCCTTGGGGCCTTTTTGTCCCTTGTGGTCAAACAGAAAATCACGTGAAAACTAGGCAACCACTGCCTTGATGATGCATCTCCAATGATTCCTATTTGTAGTCTCATCATCTTTGCCCACAATGAAACCCTTAACGCCGTTTACCCCCAAATCCCTGCGAGCTACTCCTCCTGTGTGGGGGTCAGATGCTATTTCCGTCATGCAAGGTCGACGTTACGCGCCCAATGTTTTTGGTACATGAATTACCGCCCTCACCTCAGATTTTGGAACCAAAGCAGCTACAGTCTCAATGCCATATGCCTCATCCAGATACCTTGAGGTCCTCTCGCAAACGACAGGAGTCCGGGGAATATCTCGATCGACATCCGTCGAAAAGGCTGAAGCTCGACCAGCCTGCTTCAGCATATTGGGATAATCTGTCGAAGATTTGGCTAACGAAGGACGCTCTCGAGGAGCTGGATCGACGAAACGGGGTTTCTAGCAGCGTGCCAGAGTCGCCATACTTCTACCACCGGCCATTCACTCGACAGTTACAGACGAGACTTAAGCGTCGTTACAAGACACTTGCCCCCGATCCCACATATAGTTGCAAACCCGAGAGCCTAAGAGAGATTAAAAGACTCTCCAGACGAGGTGGACCTGATCTGTCTGACCTCAGAAATGTATGTAGTCCTTAGGACATGCAGGTGCTCATGCTGAAGCCTCCTCTTAGTTCCCAGAGCCTTGCTACCTGGCAATGAGCACAAACATTTCAGACCGCCGGAAGCGACGTGCAGGGACTCCTCCAGAGAGCAGCAATAGCAACAATAAGACCACAAAGACTACAAGCACTACTGCCTATAACCGGAACTTTGAGCAGAAGTTGATTGATCATGGCATTTACCCCAAAGGCTACGAGTATCCAGATGGTCGAGTGCCTGCAAAGCCAAGTAATTGGGAGGAGATAAAGGAAAGATTGGCCCAACCAAGACGCTCCCTCTCACCTTCTAAATTTTCTGAAAGGGACTTTCAGAAATTTGAACGAGCAGATACCAATGCATCTAAAGAGAAGCCAGTGGCAACTTCTGTTATACCAACTATTGATGGTGATATTAGTGACCGTAAATGTGTTGGAGGAGACTACCCATTTGGGAACCTCGCTCCCCTAACGGATGGCACTTTGGCAAATGCAAAACCAGATCATTTCTTTGGTGCTCGCCCTGAGCAGCTTAGCTCTAACATCCGCGATGAACTTAGCGAGTTTATCATTCCATCGACCCAGACCTCCCTTCCAATGGCTCCAAACTTCTTTCTGGAGACTAAAGGTCCAGATGGATCCCTTGCTGTTGCTACTCGGCAAGCTTGTTACCACGGTGCGCTAGGCGCTCGGGGCATACAGAAGCTTCAATCGTATAAGCAAGATGAGCCTGGCTATGACAATAACGCTTACACAATTACATCAACCTACCACGGCGGTCAACTCAAGCTCTACACAACACACCCCATCGCCCCTCGAGAAAGCAATGAGCACCCTGAATACATTATGACCCAATTGAATGCCTGGAGTATGGTTGGGAATATAGACGGCTTTCGGCAAGGGGCCTCTGCCTACCGGAATGCACGGGATTGGGCAAAAGAACGGAGGGATGGGTTCATCAACTCTGCAAACGAAAGACACACGCAACCTCCATCTGAACCTCTCTTATCTGAACGTGAGCCAACTTCTGAACCAACTGTTGTCCTGGAGGATTCTGATACATCAGCCATATCTGATGAAGCCGAAGTCCACGATGCTGAGTGGAGTTTTGCACATCCAAATGACAGCGCTGGGGATCAGGCTTCGAGCAAACATACAAGAGCCAAGCCAACCAGTAGTACTAGCCGCAAGCCTCTCCAAAATTAAGTTATGCATTTGCGTATATCCTCATGGAACGGGCCGTCCATGCCAAGGCATGCATGCATAACTACATACCTCACATTGGCTAAATCATATCATACATATGGGAATGGAGATCACGAGACACTTTTTATGTTAGTTATAGAAGGATTCAAAAGTCTTCTATTTACTTTAATATATCATTTAAGGATAATGAGAAAATTCTACCTCTCGAAGAATATAGGAACTATTACAACACGTTACATGGTCCTAAAAAGCAATATCTTAGGAGACTCACTCAAACTCAGATATATTCAACCACTCTTCCCTTCACAGGGCTCTATCACGTCAATAACCCAAGGTGGCGCAGCGGAAAAATATCAAAAAAGATATCAAAAACATACGGGACAGTCGGGATTCGCTGGTGGTCACCCACCCAACTACTAACCGACCGGCAAGTGGCTTAAGTACAGCTGAGCGGACGGGAAGCTCTGTTTTCCACTTCCTATGGTCGTATGTACTTGTCTTTCACTATGATGGACCCATATCCACCCCTGGCAGCGACAAGTATCTGCAGGCTTAGTTAACTAATCGAGCTAAAGCGCGTTCTGTAGCTCAGAGCCGGATTGCTGTTCGGATTCCAGTGTTCCGTCCCTGGTCACCGTACTAGAGGGCCACGAGCCTCATCAGCGTATTCATGAGGTAACTGATGTGGATGGAATTTGACATCACAGTTAGTTACTTGCCACGAAATACGAACTTGAATGCTCAGACGGACCGACTTACATTCGCAGTTGCCTTAGATCTATGAGTTATGCATCATAAATCTAATGCCAGAAACACACGGCTGAAAACTTACCGTATATAAAAATGTAATATCTCAGTACACTGGTAGCCTTGATGGTAAGTTGCTATATTATACCATATACGTTTTGCTTCTTAAATATTTGTTTTCCTTAGTTGTGAGTATGAATTGTATCAAACCGGGCCTTTTGCGTCTTGTCAAGCTAAATTTTAGCTCTCCAAACGTGCCATGCATCGCCAAGGACACAAGCTGCAATTATTTGTAGTCCAGTAATAGCGAAATAGTAAAGAGTGCCAGGGCTAGAAACTATCAGTTTTCTCGGGAGCTGGGAGTACGTTGCACATAATAATGTAATTCAAAGAAAAGAAACTTAGACTCGAGAATTTGTAAGAATTCCCGTTTCTTAAAGCAGCTAGCTTTCCCAACTAAGAAAAGCAAGTTGTGCAAACGGGCGTTTAGTTTAGTGGTAAAACACCCCATTCGCATTGGGGAGCTGGGGGTTCGATTCCCCCATCGTCCAAATTTCTCGTTACTTTTTTGCTTCTCATTCTCTCTCTCCCCTTTTTCCTTTTTATTGGTCTTTTTTTTCTTTTGCTCCGTTTCTTACTTTTTCCCCTCTCTAGTAAGGCTGGCTGGTGGTTTTAGACAAGAGTAGGGAACCCTTCGTATGATGTCATTGTCACCCCTATATCGAGTCCACTGGCGGGTGACGGTTAAAACCACATCAACAAATAACATCCGTTTCTCTCCTGTATCATAACCAGCGAGCAACACTCAAGCATTCGACTACTGGGTTGAATATCCAGGCTGCATATTCAAGGCATTGCAGGTCCAACTAACGGCCTTCTAACCAGTAACCGGCAATCACGGATAAACGGAGCAAGCAACCTGATACACTTCGCCCTCACGATGACTGATCTCTCGAGCATCTCTACGCCCTCCCACTGCATTGCTGATGTCTGCATGATTCCTGTATGTGATATACCCATTTCCTGGCTAGTCATGTTTTTTATTTTATTTCATTTTTTTCACCGGTTTTACGCCGGTATATGCTTGGCCTTTCATATCTATCAACCTGCATGTGTGTTGGGGGCGAGATTTGGCCCTCTCGTACATATGTAGTTGGACATGGAAGACCCATGTAGAAGAAGTCCTAAGAGAAGAGCTACTAACGGTGATGAAAAACGTAAAACCGGCTTGCCTATGAAAGATTGGAACGTCCTCGCCTTCCGTTTCCCAGGAGGTAGCCGAAGTACAGTGTCTGATCGAGAAGTCAGGCTTGACATTCCATATGCACTCCGCTGGAACCACGATCGGTAGAGCAGCCACTTTCCTTGACACGCCAACGCCCCTGATGGAGAAAAAGAAACCAGCAAAGCTAACAACCGTGTTTCGGCTGGTTCTGCAGAGGGTCCATGGGACAAAGTCCTAACGTTAATCGGCCAGGCGCATACGGTACTGCACGAAAAGGGCTTGGTGCGGGTCCATTCTGATATCCGCGTTGGATCGAGGTGAGTGTGCACATTCCGTTTCAGATTCCCAAGGAACATGTGGGAAGTGGACAGCCAGTTGGCTAACCTGATCGACAATCTAGAACCGACAAGAGGGAGACGATGGAGAGCAAGGTTGCTTCGGTTCAGAAAGTACTTGCTAAGAACAAGTAGGAGTAACCTTCAAACTAGGCTCAAACGGTTGTGACGTCGGCCTCTCAACTTGGCCCGAAGAAAAGCACTGATAACAAGGAGAAGCTTTTGAAAATGATAAGGTTACCCATGGGAATGACTAGTTTTGTGTTACATATATTTTACAGCTAGATATCATCTCACGCTTCCATAGCTTCTATGTGGCTGCAGTCCAAACGCCTTTGCTGAAGTCAAGAAAGATTGGTTGGTATACAAAACTCCGGAGCACACTGAGTGCATCCTGCCGAGCCACCAAGAAGGCATGGTGGCTGGCTGGGCCAGGAGTGGACTTCCTTAAGCGGCCGCTTGAGTTCAGTAACCGGCATCAAAATTCGGGGTATCATCACCTGTTCATGACCCCATTAAATCTGTCAAATCAACAGTAAACTGCGCATCATGCCACGACCCACGTAATTTTGCAGCCAGTTCAGAGTAGTCTGAACTTTTCTCCGCAATCTGCAAATATTTTAACCCTTCCTCCTTTTTGTTTAGCTGCCGCAGCAACCCAGCCATGACGAGGGCTGCCCGTGTATGACCGCCGGCAACGGCGATCTCGTACCATTCGGCAGCTAGTTGCTGACTATCATCCTTCCCATACCGTGACATAAGTAGCATCTCATCTTTGTTTTGAGCAGGCTCCCCTTCCCCACGACCTCCGTGCATCAGGTGCAGAGTAAGGTATAGGTTTCCGAGTTGGTAACAAGCTGCCACATCGTTGCCCATTGCTACTTTTGTAAGATATTCCTCATACTTGACAAAGTCACCCGACTTTAGGGTTTCCGAGAGTAATAATTTGTAGGCTCGTGGATGGTCGTACACAGTTGCACCTATGGTATAAGCTTCCTTTGCTTCCTCATGTTTCCCTAATGTTGCCATTAATGAACCATAGGCGTCCCAGGGATGACGGACCTTGGTGGGGAACAGAGCATCAAAGCTATGCGGTGCTTCCACAGGCTTTGACAAATCCATTGCTTGCTTGAACCGCTGTGCTGCATGCTCCAAATGTCCATTATCTAGTAGCGTCTGTCCATTGATGACGACCTGAAGAGGGTCTTTTGCATCATCCGGGGAGGGAAGCGGACGCGACGATTCTGACTTGATGTGGGATAAGTAATACAATGATCTCTTGTCCCCTTGTGCAGCCAATTGTGGTAGGAACCAAAATGCTAGCGGTGCAAAATATGGGGATCGAAGAAGGAGGAAAAGAACCTGAGAGATCTTGTCCAGATCTAGTTTTCTTATTAATATATAGTTGAAATGTATATACTGGAGGTGTTGGTTCATCCTACCACATTGTATTGCTTCCAAAACTTGAACTCGCTGTTGTGTAGAATGCAGGCTCTCAGCAAGCTCAATGCATCCCCGCGCAATCCCAGCAGCCTCCCGCACGCTGACTGTCGTCAGCTTCTCCTGATATGCAGATTGAAAAAGCTCCAGCGGTATCCGTCGAACCACGTTGTCTAAATCTCCAGGGCTGAATTGCCCTGGCAGAGGCGACACCGATCGACCTTTATGGGGCGAAGGCGAATGTGCTGGAGGTGGTTCATGTTTTCGAGTGCCTCTCAGCGTTGAAGGTGCTTTCTTAGGGCGAGATGAGGCGGGCCTTACAGTGCCAGCTGCGGCGAGGTTTAATTGGGTGGGTAAGGCTAGGCGTCTGGCTGCAATGAAACGATGCATTTTTGTCGAAAAGCTCACAGGGGGAGCTACAGCATGACGTGAATTATGACGGGAGCTCGTACTGCCAGTATAAACTCGGGATATTGCCGCCCAAATTGCGTAAGTCAACTTCGGCTCGTTGTCTGTGGTGAGATGCCTCGGAGGTGGGCCACACAAGGCTGGCTGAAAAGATATGGTCTCGTTGCGGCTTCCAGGGTCAGACGGGTTGACGGTGGGTGCCAGAAGGCCTCGAAGGTCGCTACCTAGCTACACAGAATGATATTTAGCAGAGAGCCAAGCGAATTTTTTTTTCCTTTTCAGTTATTTTCCGCGTCTACCACGTGGAAAAGCGCAGCACAATAATACAGCAAATGTAGGCGAGCTCCTCGTTCAAGTTTTATTGTCGGGAATCCACCAATATCAGTCAGGGAGAACATGCTGGCAACTTTTCATGGTTTTGATAAGATTGGCGTTATTTCCGGGAAAGCCAGTGAAGATGAGGAACCATGTTGCCTCCAGGACTCAAGTTTAACTTCAGCCCCCTGCGCTTGCTCGTACCAGAGAAACTGATAGATCGCAATATGCTTTTTTTGCAGCAGTTTTTGTTCAGCGTATCCGTGTATGTGGAGGTACACTCGTTACAGACGTCTTCGATGTAACATTTCGAGGCTTAGTGTCATGGAGAGACAAGTGATAGGCGTCGGTTGGAGGGGGACGGAGCGTATTGCAATACAAGGCATATACCTAATGCAATCGCTGGCGGCTTTGGGGAGGTGTGAATGCCACGAGTAAGCGGGATGAAGCTGGCCGATGTGTTAGCGGAAAGGCGTGAGCTATGGATGGCTTCTTCGAACGTGGAATCACAAGCCAGGCGAAAAATGGCTTCTGGTCCCCCCTTTCGCTCCTTCGGGTTCCATTCCTGGCGCAGGAACAAAAGCGGGCCTGAGCGACAGACCCATGGGAATAAAAAACAGTTCTCGTTCCGTAACCGTAAACTGCATAATAAATGCTTGAGAGTGACTTGTTCACTGAGCTGGAGTACAAACGTACCTCGGGCCACTACTTAACTAGCTTCGGATATCTGCAGCATATTCCCTACATACGGAGTACCGACATCCTACTCAGTCCAGCATGCAGAGGGACATGAACCAAGTAATCTCATGTCCACCCCTGCCAGCGAAGGGAGGAAAAGTGCTCCGTAGCAGTAGAAAATTTTTCCAAAACCTTTTGCTCTCTTTGAACGAGCTTTTAGCTGAAAGTTCTATACACACGGAAAGCGGATCTTGGGACGCCCTCGGGCAACGTATCAGACGGCTGTCGCTTAATCCACCAAGTAGCCACTTCTGCAGACAAGCAAAATGCTGGATCCACATTAACTTTTCTTCGCTGGTTCCGCACATGCTAAAAGTAGGGGAGGAGTTACGTGCATGGTGAGTGCCTGGTTGAAAGGGTGGAATACGGCGCCGGGTCGACCCAGAGGAACGATGAACAAGGGCCCTCTTAAAATCTGGTCCTGGTCCTGGTTGAGCTGCCACTAATGCTGGAGAACGGACCTTTCCCCTTCTCTGGCGGCTTTCCCTAGCCATGTACGGAGTAGGCTGGAGATGGCATACGTTTGCTTGCTTCTTCGTGGGGAAAGCAAAATGAGAACCACATTTCGTTTGCTCCGAACGGCATTGAACATGGTTCTGGGGTGATCTCATCCTCCTTTTGGTCCCCTTGCTATCAGGAGTTATAAAATAGTGAAGTCGATCCGACCGCAGGTAACCCTTCGTAAGGCCCGTCGTCCGTTGATCTGCTCGCCCGTTTTAGACCTTTCTGAAGTGTTCCTTTGCTCGCTTTCAAGTGTATATTCTGGGCGGATCATTCATAATCTCTTCACTAATTGTCCGGATTCCCGTTTCTTTTTCTTCAGCTCCTTAAGCCAATTATACGCCTGTCCTACCCAGCTCACAACGGGCTTCTGACGAAGGACGAAGTCGAAGAAGGAAAGTCACGGCTGCTTGACAGAAAGGTCCCTTTTTCCTTTTTAATTCCTTTCATCTTTTCTTTTGCGAACAGTTTTTTTTTAGCTGCCTTCTCATTCTTCTTTATCAATCGGAATCCCAAAGTATCTTGCTTGATTCAAGAACAACTCTCAAGAACAACTCTGGAACTCAGGCTTCATCCCCGAGCACCAACAACCCCTGTGAGCGCCCAGGACCTTTTTAGTGTATGCAGCCAGCACGGAGTAGTTCTGCTCGACTGTGTTTCTTTTACCTGATTGCCCACGCCGCCTGCGGTTTTATGCGCGCTGCCTATTTTGCTGTCATTTGTTATCAGTGTCATTGCACTGCCGTGGGCGGGAGACCTGCGAAAGGAATAGCACATAACTAGCCGGCATCCTTCTTCCTTGCTGTCGCTCGACAGCTTTCGTCATTTCCATTCTCATGCGGAGGCATCGCTCTTCGCTCCAGCCTGATCCCGACCCCCAAGGCAGGTCGCCCTCCTTTAGCCTGTTTCGCTCTCGGCCTTCATCTCGTGGTATGTCAAGAAGCCCACCCTCTTTCTGTGTCTTGCTATTTTAGTGCCTTCAAAGCCCAAACAAGCCACCGGTGGAGCTCTCACCGTATCGGTCAACTTGTTCCATAACGCTGCAGCTAGCCTTTCTCCTGGGTTGCCATTTTGCTTTCTCCTTCAATTCACTGCATTTGGCGCTGCGCCAACATTCTGGTGATCAATAACGACTGACCTGGTTTTCTCTTCCTCCCCTTCCTTTTCTTCTGAATAGCCGATTCTTCAACGCGACCAGGTTCTTCAGGAGGCCACTATCCGTTTAGCCGACTACATAGAACAACCCCTACTACAAATACAGCCAATAAAATCATCAGCAGCCCCAACGCTCCCTCCACCAATCGCTCGGATTCCACCGTCACTTCGCTGTTTAGCAGCTCTGGCGGGGGCACAATGGATGTCGACCGATCCCGGAATCGCAGAGATCGAACTTTTGCTGGCAGCGCATGCGCCGTTTGTGAAGAACCGTTAGAACATACCCTCCGTGGCGAGCGTATTCTGCAGTTCTCCTGCGCTCACGTTGCCCACGAAGCATGCTTTTATGAATTTATTCGGGACGTCGAGCCCCAGTATTGTCCAATCTGCTCGGCGCCTCTCGGATTAGATGCTAGCAGAAGTGGAAATGTTCTCGATCTAGGTAGGTCTTCTGCGCTCTTTGTTCGTTGCGTGAACGCCGGTATTGATGTGTTTGGAACAGAAAAAATAAGTAATCTTGTACGGTCCGTTTCCGTTGCCGAATCGCAGACGAATCGCAGTGGCCATGCACCAGCGGCATCGTGGGATAACGGAAGCAACATAGCTGGTTCTGTGAACCAAGACTATTCTAATCGGTCCTTCAGCAACAGCCGTGATGTTAGGGAACATTCTCGCATTGATAGCAGGGACGCCAGCAGCCAACGTGAGAGACTCGAGAGACTGACTCTGGGCTCGCGAAATGAAATTCTCCGTCATGACACTGGGACGGTTGGCGGCCAAACTACCTCAGACTACCAGCACGATGCTCACCAGTCATCCGTGTCGAGACGCCATGACTACGACGTACAAGCAATGGAGGTCGAGCTCGGCCCTCGCCCAGGCATCAGCAAGAACCTCATTCCGGCACCGATAGTGACAGTCCGCAGTGAATTCCCGTCCCTAAACCGTTCCCGCCAACAGCAGCCCCTCACTTGTTTGGTTACAGTCGAAGTTCCCGGAGAGAAATGGTCGCCGGACCCAGAGCAGATACGCCAGGCGCCTGGTGCTCTCCTTCCCGCAGAAGACGCCCAGTCTTTGGCTGTAAAGGCACAGGGCCTCTCTAGTCCCGATACGCACACGCAAGCGCGGTCCATCAACGAATCCGAAGACATGCTGAGTAGCATTGCAGAGGATCTCCGTCTGCGGGTCGATAATTGGCACGGGTTGGAATTCTCAAGGTATGTGTCGAAGATGTTGACGTTGTCGTAGTTGATTTTCTTTCGATGTCGTTGATATAAGGTCGCGTTTTTCTGCTGTTTCTGACCGCATTCTAGATTCGGCAAGCTGAACCTCTATGGAACAATCCGCGTGGGCAAAGATAAAAACTCATGGCAAGAGCTGGAGTGCTACCTCTTCTCTGACATGCTCATCTGTGTGAAGGAGAAAAAGGGCCGACAGCAGAGCCAGGGCCAGGCAATGTTTGAGGACCCAGTGGCCCAGCGCGCAAGCACGAGATTTACCCTCAAGGGATCGATTCTCATCAAGAAGCACCTTAAGGATCTGGAGACCATCCCTGGTAAGTCTTTTGTGTTGACCTGCATCAAAAAAGATGAAAGAAGCTGATTTGTGTATAGATGAGCTTGTTTTGACTCTAAACTTGTCTGTCAATGAACTACCGAGGTTCCACTTGAGGTTTCCAACCCTTCACCAGCTGGATATCTGGAAACGGGCTTTAGGGGATTTACAGAATGGGGGTGTGGCAACTCGCTCTGTGCATGAGGTGGAAGTTCCTCAATCTGAAGAGGATGACTACCGAATCTCGAAGACACCCAGCAAGCGGGAATCGTCTGGCTATTCGTCTTCATACGGCGCAGGAAAGTCCAGCAATACCGCTATGACGGACTACACTAGTCCAGGGCGCGAGCCTATGCCTATATCCACATTCCATGTGCCGCTCGATATTGTTGTTGTCATACCCGTCTCTTCTTCGATGCAAGGTCTCAAAATCTCCCTGCTTCGTGACACTCTACGTTTTCTTGTCCAGAGCCTTGGCCCACGAGATCGTATGGGTTTGGTTACCTTTGGCTCATCTGGCGGAGGTGTTCCTGTTGTAGGAATGACTTCAAAGACATGGAACGGCTGGGGCAAGATATTTAACTCGATTCGCCCTGTTGGCCAAAAGAGCTTACGCGCGGATGTCGTTGAGGGTGCAAACGTGGCCATGGATTTGCTAATGCAACGTAAATCATTCAATCCCGTGTCCACGATACTACTCATTAGCGATTCGCAAACAACTGATCCAGAAAGCGGTGATTTCGTCGTCTCTCGCGCTGAAGCTGCGAAGTAAGTAATTAACCGTATTATTGAACATGCATAGTCATTAACGGTCTCTCAAACTATAGGGTTGGCATCCACACTTTTGGCCTGGGCCTCACCCATAAGCCGGATGTTATGATTGAACTCTCAAGTCGAACAAAAGCATCTTACACGTACGTCAAGGATTGGATGATGCTACGAGAATGCATTGCTGGATGCCTCGGGGCATTACAATCGACCTCGCATCAAAACGTCAAATTAAAGCTGCGTTTGCCCGAGGGCTCTCCCGCGCGGTTTGTCAAGATTAGCGGTGCAATGCATACCACTAAACGCGCGACGGGAAGAGACGCAGAAGCTGTCCTGGGTGACCTGAGATTTGGAGATAAACGAGGTAAGTGTATAAGCCACCACTGACTGACCTTCACTAGATTCCTTGTTACTAACTTATTCCAACAATTACAGATGTTCTTATTCAGCTTGCAATTACCCCAGACACCTCTGTCCCCGAACATGTTCCTCAAGATCCTTGGGAAAGCATAGTTTCTGGATTAGAGGCACTTGGTGGGCCAATTGATGGTGATGACCAGCGAGTAGCGAGTATAGAAGAAGTGCCCCTGATTCAAGCTGACGTTACATACGGCGACATCTTACGTGAAGGTCACCTAACTCACTCACCAAGACCATCCCTTTTGGCAATCACCATGTTTCCACAACATCAGAAGTCAAAAAATGTTGGACGGCCTATCAGCCCTCCGATTCCCCCCCATCCTTCGATTGTCCAACGTCGTATGGAACTGCTTACATCCGATATGCTGATGAGGTCTCTTACTCTTGTGACTCGTGGTCAGCATGACCGCGCCCATCATCTTCTCACCGAAACTAGGAGTATTCTCAAGGGCCTTGGGAAGGGAGGTTTACCGCCGCTACCACCAGGAGCTATCCCGACCCCAACCCCGCGAGCAACCCTCACCCCCACGCTTACTCCTGCATCCGAGGCACACTCTCCTGGAAATTACTCCCCTCATTTCCCTGACACTCTTGATTGTCGGGCTTCCTCCCACTCACATGAAGCGCCAACCATTACCCCTGTGGCTGCTGTTGATCCTGCAATTATATCAGCATTGGATGCCGATCTTGAGGCAGCTCTGGAATGGATCACCCACCCTGCAGTTTTCAGCCGCGATTCACGCAAGGCAGTTCTCCAGGCTATCGGTGTCATTTCCTCACAACGGGGATACACGTTCCGAACCCCCTCTGAATCACTATGGGCAGAGCGCATTCCAGGAGTGAAGCGCCTAACTGAGAAGTCCCGAGAGTGGCGTGAGGCTGGTGATGAGTCCTTGGCCGAAGAATAGCCAGGTAGCAACTCCCAAACGGCTGCGGAGCACCGTTCTACCGTTGTCACCCTTTAACTTATATACTACACATACACCACCTACTATATAATGCGTAATGTTGCCCTCCGCTCTTTCATTTCTACACCCCAACTCGCCCTATACCACGGGTGTAGTTACATTTATAATTATTTATTATACCCCCATTTATACAACTATATTCTACGACGTCTACTCTGGATATATCTGACGGTGATGCCCCTTGGTTTACGCTTTCTATTTTTGCTGCTTTATTTCTAATGTTGAGAACTGGTTCGTTGTTTTTTTCGGGTTATGAGGTCGAATGTGGTTTTCTGTCTATAGTTCGTTATTGATCGATTATATATTTGCATGGCTCTGGGGTATGCTTATGTGGCGCTGGGTTGCAATCTGCTGATAGAACGAGTCAATACTGATGTTTTATATACTTGGCTCTCCATTTCCACTATTCATTCGGTCGAGCGAAAAGGTCACTTTGGCAGCTAGTATCTATACCAGAAACCCATAATGCAATAATTGAGAATTCTATCGTAGATTATAAAAATTCTTGCCTATATCATATTGTACATAAGAGACTTCGAAACAATCAACTGCCTCTTAACCCTGTCTTAAAACACATGCTTCCCATACCCTACATAACAACGTGGGAAAGCAAAGCAAATAAACCAACACGGTGGGCCTAGTAATACAAGCAGCAAGCCAGCCTGAAACAAAGATATAGGAAACCATCAGCCCTAGTACTTAGTCCATGGTGGCAACAGCGCCCAGAGCCTTCAAAGAAGCAACAATCTTCTCGGCCTCCTCCTTGGGGACGGACTCCTTGATAACTTTGGGAACGCTTTCGACAAACTTCTTACTCTCCACGAGGGAGAGTCCAAGCATGGACTTGACTTCCTTAATAATTTTGGCCTTGGAGGCAGCATCAAAGGACTCAAGTTTGAGGTTGAACAGGGTCTTTTCTTGAGCAGCTGGGGCAGCCTCTTCTTCCTCTGCGGCAGCAGCCGGAGCAGCGGCTCCTCCAGGAGCGGCGGCAGCGAAACCGCCAACGGGCAGGTCGGGAATGTTAAGGCGAGTCTAGTAAAGGGAATCCTTGAATTAGCATTTGAAATTCCGAAGCGTGTGCGGTCGTTGTCCCTTGACCATTTTCCTTCTTGGTACGTAAAAATAGCACTATTGGACCAGAACGACCATATATGATTAAATAATCTCACCTTCAAGCTTGAAACTAAATCGGCGGTCTCGAGGAGTGTCAATTGGCTTATTTGGTCGACGATCTTAGTGATTTTTTCGCTGGTTGGTGCTGCTGGTTCGGCGGTCGTGGACTCATATCTTCTTCGCTGCGAGATGTATGATGTGCTAGCGTTCAATCGGGTGATCTGAGAGGAAGTCCGGACAGGAGCAGATGCTGAGGAGGAGAGGCGGATAGCGCTTCGGCAGCATCGAGTTGCGAAAGACATTTTTGGAGGAGTTTGTCGAAGCTTGAGGAGTGCAATTGAAAAAAATTCTATCGATGGCGGAAGACGGGCGACTGTCCGAAACGGGTGAAAACCAGAGCTTGAGGATGTGTGATTGGGCTCAATAGGCGGACTGGATATGAGCAGAGAGGGCGCGAGAAGGCTGTGTCGCTCAATTGCAAGTTTCCTGAGTCTTCTGGATAGAAAAATATTCCGTCTTGATATAATTTGATGCTGTGAGCGAAAGTCTGTTAGACCATCACGTGACCGTTTTTGAACGCTATGGCAGTTAGACCTAAAAGGGAAACATTGCAACGACAAAACGACCATTCAACCAAGGCATTGAAAGCTCAAGGGGCTTGCAGGTCTTATACCCACAGAGGTAGAGATCCACGGGTTTAAAGCAGGAGGCCTCGTTTTTGCATCACACGAATCTTGGACTTTTATTCGTTAATGGCCAATTAACTACGACATGAAGGCCTGATGATTAATTAAAAGATCTATTGAACGTAAACATTGCCCGCCTTGGGCGAAGATGCTCATTCTATTTTCAACCAACAATACTGAATCATATGCCTCGTATGTCAGTAGTTTAATCTTCATCCCAGTTAGGGTTTTGACCCGGTGGCTTAGGGCCACCCGCCTGTCTGGCGACAATAATTTGGTCGACACTGAGAATTGTTCGTGCAGATTCAGAACCAAGTCTGATGGCCCAGGACTTGGAAACAAGAAGGTCGAGAATTTCCTCCTCCATGGCATCGATGGTTCCGGATGGGGATGAGGCAAGAACATCGACACCGGTGGTCCAAGTGGGATCCTCTTCTTCAGAGCTCTCATCTTCCTCCTCGTCATCATCTTCATCATCATCCTCCGACTCCTTAGCTGTCTCTTGGTGAGCGGTATACAGCCTCGACAGCACTTCGGTGGCGTTGAGACCGGCCGATTCAGCAAGTGTTCGAGGGATGACCTCAAAGGCTTCCGCATACTTTCGAATGGCGTGCTGGGCAAGACCGGGGGTTCTATCAGCAAACTGGGTGAGCCGTTCAATAAGCTGCATCTCGGTGGCTCCGGCACCAGGCACCAGTCGTGGATCCTTGGCCACGGCCTTTACTGCATTCACGCCGTCATCAATGGCGCGCTCAACATCTTCCAGGTAGTTTTGGGTTGCTCCTCGGAGAATGATGGTGGAAGTACGACTAACAGAACCGGCATCTTCTTGTCTGAAAATCGTTACACGGTCACCACCGATCTCCATGGTCTCAACAATATCAACATTTCCCATCTCATCTGGCATAGGGGCACCAAGACGGGCGAGGGGAGTGGCTCCAATAACACGGCATAATCTGCGTAGTTCAAACTTGGACATAACCTTTATCACAAGAATATTGAATCGATTCAGGTAGTGAAGCGCCAGTTCTCCAACGGTGGAGCCAGCAACAACAACGCGGAGGCCTGAATCGTAAAGTTCCTTAATAGCAGCTTCAAGGCGGCTCTCTTCTCCTTTTGTGAAGTCAAGCATCTCCTTTGCATTGTGTAGAAGGACCGTTCCCTTGGTTTCTGTTTGGGATATATCGATCGGGCAGCTGAAGACACCAACTTTCGCCTTCTTGGCCTTCTTAATGGAGCCTTCTGGTTCACGAGCGAAGACCATACCCTTAACAACACGCGATTGCTCCAAGCTTCCTCCCATAATTTTAACCACACGGACGTTGTCGACGTTAAAGTTGGCGGGGTTCTTTGGGAGAACGGCCAAAACGGCCTCGGCCACAAGGGGGGCAAGGATATCTTCAGATCCAGACTGCTTGCTTCCAATAACTGTTTTTAGTGCTTTCCCAAGCTCAGGAGCGGAGCGCATTTCCTTTAATCTATCCACTTCGAGTTCTACAGATTATATTGTTAGCAAACAGGCAGCCACCGCAATCAAAGAAAACGCTTCCAAAGCAGGCAATATCATATAATACTGTAAACAGCAGATGACTATGCTCAAGAGGGAACCCGAAAAATCTTACCATCTAAAGTACTGAGAGCAAAGCCCTGTGCAATCTCGTACCCCTGAACGATATCACTCGTCTTCAACCCCATTCGTAGGAGATCCTCCGCCTTTCGTAGAAGCTCGCCAGCGAGGATAATAACCATATTTGTAGCATCTCCCATCTCAGCCTCTTGTTGCTGACTGGCCATAACTAGGAGTTTGGCAGCAGGGTGAACAACATCCAGCTCTCGGAGGATTGTGGCGGCATCAGATGTAAGAATCATCTTCTGCAGGTGGTTGATAACAATCTTATTACGGCCATGGGGTCCGAGAGAGGTCTGGACAGTTTGAGCAATGGCTCTGCATGCCTCAATGTTGCGAATAACGGCGCCATCTTCAGAGTCGTGGCTGTATAAACAGTTAGTGGGCATGCTACCTAACGCACATATCCAGCCAAAGCTCGCAAACAAAAAATATACAGATAGCTCAGAGATTGAAATGAACGTACCTCTGGTAGCCTTGCTTAAACAGGCCAGCATTGGGCGCCTTGGGAATCGTCAACGACATCGCTCGTGTTTGTCTGCTGAATCTGTGTCAAACCGTGGGTTGTGCTTCGTCTGTCTGCTGCCGCTGCTTCTGGCTGTCTTCCCCCTCGTCCCTCTTTTTGTCGCTTTCACTAGATTATTTCCCTAAGCTTCGTCTAGGGAAGTTTGCACTGTTTGTCAGCCTGATGACATAAGCAGGAAAATGGCCCAACAACTTTCTGCGGCCGAAACAAACTGAACGACCTCAACAAGTCCTTTGCGCTTCTCTCGCTCGACCATCTCCAATCTCCCTGTTGCTGTCTGCTGCTCGTCGATACAGCAATATCTAACCGCCAATTGAGATGTTCTCGAGAATTATCCGGACCCGTGGCGTCGCCCAAGTGGGCAGACAGCCGGCAACACAGCTGTTTCGCCGCTCTGTGACCACGGACGCTGCTTCTGCTCACGCGGAGGATATTCCAGCTGTATGCATATCAGGCCTGCCAATTGAGCGGATATAGACCGGTAGAAAGAGTGCTAACAGATCATTTGCCGGATTGCAGGAAGATGACAAGCCATTCTCCGTCAAACTCTCCGACGAGAGCTTCGAGACTTACGAACTCGACCCTCCACCATACACCTTGAAGACGACCAAGAAAGAGCTCAAGCAGATGTACTATGACATGGTATCGATAAGGTAAATATGCATCGGCTCCTTTTGGCACGCGATATATGGGGCATGTCTAACGTTTAATTTCTTTGCCCAGACGTATGGAGATGGCTGCGGATCGACTTTACAAGGAGAAGAAGATTCGAGGATTCTGCCACTTGTCGACTGGCCAGGAAGCCGTTGCTACTGGTATCGAACACGCCATTACCCCAGACGACAAGCTCATTACTGCCTACCGATGCCACGGATTTGCCATGATGCGTGGTGGTACCGTTCGCTCGATCATCGGCGAGCTGCTCGGTCGCCGTGAGGGAATTGCCTACGGAAAGGGAGGATCTATGCATATGTTTGCTAAGAACTTCTTTGGTGGTAACGGAATTGTCGGCGCTCAGGTGCCCGTCGGTGCTGGTCTTGCCTTTGCTCAGCAGTACAATGGCGAGGCAAACACCACCGTCTGTCTGTACGGTGATGGAGCATCTAACCAGGGCCAAGTTTTTGAGGCCTTTAACATGGCTAAGCTATGGAACCTCCCTGTCATGTTTGGCTGTGAGAGTACGTTTGAGACCGCGTTTTATTTATCGTTTAGTATGCCATGTTGTGACCGTACTGACACTTTTGACATCTAGACAACAAATACGGAATGGGAACCGCTGCCAACCGCTCTTCCGCTCTAACCGACTACTACAAGCGAGGACAGTATATCCCTGGTATCAAGGTCAACGGAATGGACGTTCTTGCTATCAAGGCTGCTGTCCAGTATGGCCGTGAGTACACCGTCAGCGGCCAAGGCCCTCTAGTCTTCGAGTACGTCACCTACAGATACGGTGGCCACTCCATGTCCGACCCCGGCACTACCTACCGTACCCGTGAAGAAATCCAGCGTATGCGCAGCACCAACGACCCCATTGCGGGACTCAAGCAGAAGCTTCTTGACTGGAACATCACCTCCGAAGAGGAGCTCAAGGCCATTGACAAGGACGCCAGGTCGATGGTTGACGAGGAAGTTGCCATTGCTGAGAAGATGCCTGTTCCAGACGCTACTTCGCGTATCTTGTTCGAAGACATCTACGTCCGTGGCAGCGAGCCCAAATGGATGCGTGGCCGCACCGCCGACGAGACCTTCTACTACTAAATTACGCACCTTCGCGCCCACACACGCACACTCTTCTTCCGCTTCCTTTCCTATTCCCTTCCCAACCTTCTCTCCCTACACATTGGGTTGTTGTGGTTCATCCAGTCTTCCCTCTGTGCTGTACCACTGATTCCTTTCTTTACGTGTGTAATTTAGATTCAAAATAAGCGTCCTACGAACCCTTTTCCATTTCCTTCATCGCTCTCCGACTACCTCTTTCTTTTTCCCATTTCCCCTTTTTCTATGCCCCCTTTAACATCTTTCACCTCCATGATATATACACCTATCTCATTACCCTTGTACTTTTTGATTCTTGATTACCACATAGCTACTCAGATGGGGATTAGATCGGGAACAAATGCTGAATCAGATCCTTCTTGATCGCTCTTCATATCTATTTAAATCCTAGTCCTAGCCCTATACCATCCAGACCAACCAACCAACCAACCAAGCCGCTCACTAACAATTAACTAAATGTTTCGACAAACAACAAGAGGGCCAAGGAGAGAGGTAAAGAGAGAAGAAATGAGAGTAGAATTGGGCCCGTCGTGCTGTAATTTTTTTTTTTTGGTGTCAGGCCCAATCTACTCCATCTGAGCCCATTCCGATTCCAGTCCCAATATATCAAAAAGGAAAACAAGGAAAAAAAGGTGAACATGGAAATCAGCAAGGAAAAGAAATGTCTAATATCGTTCCCCCATTTTTTGCACACGATCACAATCACAATCGTGGGAAAGCAGTGGTGTGTGTGTAGTTTTATAGGTACAGTTATCCATCATGGTTTTTCATGGCGTTAGAATGAAAAAACAAGTATGGAAGCGCAGAGGAAAACAGACGCTAGAAGAACAACGCAAAGCAATTTGACCATAAAGAATCAAACGAGGTGCGGAAGGACGGGGGAAGAAGGGCGAAGAAGATGAAAAGTAAAGGTGAGAGTGAAATTCGAGATAAAACCGAGGTCCTTCCAGAGAAATGTAAGCCATACCCTTGAAACACAGTAAATGGAATAAGCCGGCAAAATGAGTAGCCCCTTTAATGTGAATAGTAGAGACAGAGAGAAGTTCCCGATAGACAAATGGCGTATGGATGCAAGGGTAAGTAAGATGTGAAAAGCGTAGGATAAGGGGTAAGGAGCTGAGGATGGAGTATAGCAGCAAGGGCAAAAGGGAAAAGGCCCGGCCCAGCAGTAAATAAAACCCTATTTTTTGAGGTATAAGAGCAGGAAAAGCCACATTCCAAAATGCAAAGGATAACGTGATAGATAGGCGGATATCAAATATCGCCAGGTAACCAAAATAAAAAATGACGACGATAATATAAAAAGTAGACAGATAGGGGAGAACTCAGTCAAATCATTTCATGAAACGCTGGTCATTCAGCAAGCTGAGGATCATTTCTTGAGTTCGTTGCACGGCAGTAATTTTCTCCTCAAGCTGTAGACGGTCCTTCTCCAACTGCTCACGAAACTCGGCCCGTAGCTCGGAGCGGATCTGGTCTATGGTTGAGACAGATATGGACTGAGCAACGGCGGATGCGGCAGCAGAGACATCGGCCATATAAACATCTGTTAGGTTGCCGTTGGCTGTAGGGGCTCCGCTGACACCAGTGACGGGTACGCCGGCGTTAGCTGGGTTGGAGCCACGAGGACCGGGGCCGCCTTGATGAGGGTGATGTTGTTGGTGAGTATCTGGTATGGAGACGGAGACGGGGATGGAAGGAGAGTTGAAAGGGCGGCGAGCAGAGGAGTTTTCGGCAGCGGACATTAACATGGCGGTGGAAGGGGAGAGGTTTGGATGTCGGGATATAGCTGCTTTGGGAGTATTATTGAGACGCGAGATAGCTTTGAGAGTTGCTGCGGAGACATTGTTTGGATCCGTTTGTGGAGAGGAAGAAGAGGGATTGCTAGCTGTTGGGGCGATGAGGTCCGGGGTAGCTGTGTTAACCGGGTGGGCGTGGGGATGTTCCGCACCATTGTTGGTAGGGGTGCCGTTGAACATGGTTCCAAATCCCATGGGAAGCTGTATTTCGGCTTGTTGCTGCTGAGGAGTATGTTGCTGTGACTGTTGCTGGGTTGCAGGAGGTGGTTGAGGCGTAGGAGTTTGGTGGTTGGGAGTCTCTAGACTTGCACCGTCGACTGCCATAGATTTCCTCTTTCGACCTCTCTTGCCTTGCTTTGCACTTATTCGCTCCGTCTCTTGCTGTTGGAACCGCTTCCAGACTGGAACCCAAGCGTCCACGGCCGCACTCCAAGCTGCGTCTGCCTGGTCATCCCCCCGTTTCCCGCCCATACCGCTTAGAAACTTGATGCGTTGCTGTGTGACGAATTCGACTTTTCGGCGGACACTGTGCCATGAATACGGATGGCCCTCTATCCGGTTGAATTCCAAGGTTATGGCCATCCACCATTCACAGAGCTTGTTACGCTCGCCAAAGGTCTCTGCGTGACGATTACATATTTCGAATAACGCGGTTTCTTCGCGAGTTGTAAGCCGTTTGCCATGTTTCCGCGGTGCATTGCCTTCAAGGGCTGCTATTTCGGCGTCGTTTTCTTCTTGTGGAACAGTTGCGGGTACTGGAACCGGTACAGAACGCTCCCAAGCCGGCTGGGAGGCTGAAGACTGTTGTGACGGTTGTTGCGCTTGTTGTTGCTGTTGCTGCTGCTGCTGCTGCTGCTGAACTTGTTGTTGCTGCTGTTGTTGCTGCGCTGCCGCTGCTGCCGCCGCTACCTGTTGTTGCTGCTGCTGAGGTTGGGGAGCGGGTGTTTGGGTATGCCTTTGTTGCTGTTGATGTTTTCGTTTTTGATTCTGGTGCTGCGCCTGCGCATGTACATGTTGCTGTAAGCTGTGTTGTTGCTGAGCTTGCTGCTGGTCTTGGTGGTGTTTTTGCTGGGGAGTAGGTTGTGCCTGCGGTGTTTGGTGGTGTTGTTGTTGTTGCTGCTGCTGTTGCTGCTGGGCCTGTTGTTGCTGCTGCTGCTGAACTTGTTGCTGCTGATGCCTCTGCCGTTGATGATGGTTTTGAAGATGCTGTTGGTGTTGGAGGTGTTGTTGCGGTAATTGGTGAGGATGTTGCTGAGGCTGAGGCTGTGGATGCTGTTGCTGGGAGAGAGAATGAGTCAACTGGTGTGAATGCTGCCGAGATATGGCCTGCTGCTGTTGTTGATGGTGATGTTGCTGTTGTTGTTGCTGCTGCTGCTGTTGTTGCTGCTGCTGCTGCTGAGCTTGCGAGTGAGGCTGATGATGTTGTTTCTGCTGTGAGATATGATGCTGTTGTTGTTGCTGTTGCTGCTGCCGCCGTCGAGCAGCAGCCTGATGCTGTCCATGTCCATCATGCGGCCCCCGAACACCCGATAAATGCAATTCCTGCCCGTGCAGCACGACCTTCCCGTCCGCGTCCTGATCCGTAAACGGGTTCTCCCTTAGGCTGGGGCTTTCCGACGCCGTCACGTCTCCACCACCGTGCTGCTGCGGCTGCTGCTGTTGCTGCTGGTGGTGGTGCTGGCCCGGATGATGATGTTGCTGCGGCTGCTGCTGCGGCTGTTGCTGTTGCGGCTGCGGCGTCGGTACCGGCTCGTGGTGCGGCGTAGGAATGGGATAGTTAACTGTAGCAGGCTGGCGGAGGGTCGAGATGGGCGGGAGAGGAAGCGCGCTGCTCAGCGGCCTCCCAGGCGCCGCGTTCAGCCATTGATTGTGGCCCTGCTGCTGCTGCTGCTGTTGCTGCTGCTGCTGATGGTGCTGCTGACGGGACGAGAGAGTAGGACCTGGCGGGGCGGTAGGGTCGACAGCCCAATTGAACATGTATAGAGCCGTGGACGGGACGAGCGAAAGCGACGAGACGCCAGCGGCGAAGGCAAAGACGGGCAAAGAACAACAACAACCACAAACCGTAGCAGGGGAAAAGGCAAAAAGAAAGAAGAAAGTCCCAGCAGGGGAGAGAGAACGGGAAACGAAGGAAAAGAAACAAACGAGGGAAGACAAACGGACGAGGAAAGGCAAGAGGAAGAGAGAATCACTCGGGGGCTGCTGGCGTTCGGTCTCTTCTCTGCGTTTGGCCCTGGAGAACTTTTTCCGTCACTTTTTCCCGTCTCGTCTTGTCGTGGTCTGGATGAGTTGAAACTTCGCGATGTTCGTCTTTCTTTTTTCCTTTTTTTTTTTGGCGGCAAAAAAGTGTCAAGGTAAGGTTATTATTAAAGATATGGAGTCTGGCTCGTCCCTTTCGTCTTTTCGTTCTTCCTCCTCGTCTTGCTTCTTCCCTCTGCCTTTGCGTCCGCTCGGTTTTCTCCTGGGGTTGCCTTAATTCCTCTTTCTTTTCTTTTTTCCCTCCCTGGCTCGGTTCTGCTTGGGTCGGCGGTTCGTTCCTCTCTCGTTTTATAAGGCGTCTTCGTCTCAGGCGCGACAGGGGAAGGTCATGAAGGGCCAGCGAGAGAGGAGAGAGCGGCGTGTTGCACTCGAGGACGGCGATGATAGCGATGGATAAAAGAGAATCCTCTCTCTGGGCTGCTTCTTCTTCTTCGTCTTCTTCCTTTTTTTTGCTTCCGTCTTTTGCTTTTTTGCGCGACGGTGGGATTATTTGCTTTTGCGAAGGAGAATAGGGCCCCTGGTAGGCAAGGCGAGAACCGTTGAGCTTCGGTCGGCTCGTCTGTCTGTCTGTGTGTCTGTGTGGCTGTCTGGATGCCTGGCCTGGCCTGACTTTGACTATCTGACTCTGTCTCTGGCCGTCTGCTCGTGTCTGGCGTTGAAGGACGCGGTGGTGATGTCGGTGTTGTTGACGCTTGACGTTGTTGACAGTCAGAGGTTAGATGTTGTTGTTAGATGTTGTTGTGGTCGAAGTTCGCTGGCGCCGCCGAAAAAAAGTCGGTTTTTCCCTTGATGCTCAGCCCGAAAAAGCGACGGGCGACAGTAAGCGGGAAGAGGGAAAGGTCGCTGGCTGCTACGAGCTGAGCCACCGCGACACAGTAGACGGACGCAGCAGGTCCTGCGAGCCCTTAATAGGCGGGAGGCAGACTGGCCGGTGGGAGAAAGGGGAGGGCTACAGACGGCGGACTGGAAGCAGGAGAAGGTAGATGAAGGTAGGAAGAAGCTATGGTACATGTCCTCGTTCTGTCTAGAATGAATAGATCTATATATGATAGTATTATTACAGGCAGCGTTGAACCCTCAGCGCCGGCGGAGGTACCACGCAAAGGCAGCACGGCCAATGGTTTCGTTGTAAGGGGTTGGCACCTCTGCCATGCCAGGGCGAGCCACGGGATGCCGCAGGTAGACGGCCGCGCAGATGTTGTGGTTGACCTCCAGGTAGCGTGGCACAAAGGCAAAGGGGCTCATGTAGTCGCGAGGCCGCCAGGGAGTGGCATATGGCTTCGTGCTGTCGATGGGGTTTTCGTGGATCTCCTCTAGGGCGCGCTTGAGGGCCTTCAGGTCACTGGCAGAGTAGTCTGCCAGCTCGACGTCGGACAGGGACGCGGCGAGATCATCGACCTGGTTGGAGGCAGTGCTGTCGTTGTTTTTGGCAGTGTTCGTTGTGGTGGTGGTAGTGGTGGTGGTGTTGTTATTAGTGGCAGTCGTAGAGGTGGCATCAGCATTAGGGGTAGATGAAGGAGAGGGAGTAGTGGATGTTGATTCAGTGGCAGCGGCCTGTTCTGCCTTTTTAGCTGCGGCCTTTTGCGCAGCCTCAGCCGCCCGCTTAGTGTCCTCGTCTATCAGGTTCTTCAGGGCGAGGAACTGGGCCTCCAGGTTGTCTGTCATGGTCGTGGTCGTGGATGACCGGGAGAGCACCTGCTTGATGGACCGCTGGAAAGCACGGATGGCTTGTCTTCTCTTGGCCGGGAGCAGGTCCTTTGACGACGCCATGATCCCCTTGGCTCCAGAGAGCATCTCCTTCAGCATCTGCCGTGGGTCTTCGTCCTCCTTGCTCTCCTCCTTCTTCTGCTTGTCATTGCTTTTGGCCTCCTCTGCCTCCCCTTCTTTCTCCTCCTCCTTCGACTTGGCACCCATTCGTCGTCTTAGGCGACCTGCACGACGCAGGCTCTTGTCCTTGGGTGCTCCGGTTGCATACATCACTCGCTCGGGGTCAACCTGGAACATGTCTCCGGGGTTCAACAGGTATCCTGGATATTGCATCTACCACACGTTAGATCCTCAAGTTACGTTACTTGGAAAGACCGTTTTCTAAGAGAAACGGTCCAATATGGCATCAATAGACCAACCTTCTTGCCATTGACCGTCACGCCTCCGTGGATGACAAACTGCCTTGCCTGTCTGGTACTGCTAGCAAACATAGCACGGAATATAGCAACATCCAGTCTCCGCTCCAGTGGTGCAAATGTCATCAGCATGTACGGTGTCTCTGGAACCTGACGGGTTTTGCCGCGCTCCACAAGCCCTGAACCACGGCCAGCAGCCTGTGCTGCGCCATCATTGCGAGAAAGGTCTGCGGGCTCCATGGGCACAACTGCTCGTAGCCGGCGAGAGAACATGCGCTCCCATTGACTCTCCCGGACCTGTTCACCGTGGTATGCGCGGGCAAGTGACTTGGCTGACCATTTCTGCTGGAAGAAGGTCCTTGACTTTGTGTACGGCGCGCGGACTTGGGTGATGTTGAACAGATTGTACTTGCTCCAGGACTGGCGGATTTTCTACCAAGAAAATGTAATATTAGCAGCCATCCATTGCAAGCTCCCGGTGGGTATAGCTATGAAGAACAAACCGGTTTCCGGAGGTAGCTCGTCGCCTTATTCCTCATCTTGACGTCTCTCTGTATGTGAATGTGTGTGTGTGTGTCTGCGTCTGTCTTCCTGTCCTGCGCCTGGTATCTTCAGCGTCGTCTTTTTGATTTCCTCTTTTAGCTCCATCCATCTTTTTTTCGGTAGTCACGTGCATCTCAATCACGTGAATATATCGGCATAACGATTTTCCTTAATTACTAATAACCCCCACTTTCTTTCGCTCTCAGCCAATCACCATTAGCAACTCAAACCTCGCTTAGCATTAGTCATCTATCACGTGCTACCTTTGTCTATATAAACACCTTCCGCCCGCCCAACTTCTTCGAAATTTTTTCTTCTTTTCTCTTTCTTTCTTCATACTTACCTTGTTTGGGCTGGCGCGATCAAAAAGGCGCTTCGCCGTGGAAAGGCTCCTACATTGCACAGCGTGGAGAGCCTTGCCACTCAACATCCTTCGGGGTTTTGACAGGCATATTCTTTGGCACCTTCCTGGACTCAGGTCCTACCATCTTTTCATTGTCTCTGCGCTTTACGTGCTGTTTCAAAGAAGAGTTTGACGTCTTGCGTAGTTATATGTAGTCTGGTAATATGCTCTTAATTGGCCAAGTTTTGCTGCCCAAGTACCTATCTCACCATGCATCAACTAGGACGGCAGTTTGTGCGGTGCTACTCTTCTGCCTCTGCTTCGAGAGTGCCTTTAGCCTACACGCTGCACAAACCGCGAGGCAGGACACACCATGTCAGCCGTCCACCCATCGTCTTCATGCATGGCCTTTTTGGCTGCAGGAAGAATAACAGAAGCATGAGCAAGTCGGTCTCTCCTTCATGGCTTATGGCGGTCGAATACCACTGCTGACCAGCTGCTTGTAGAGTCCTGGCTTCCGATCTGGGAACATCAGTCTACGCTGTTGTATGTCTTAGCTGCCCAGACAGTTATTGAGTCGTCCCTTTGCTAACTGTGAAAAGGACCTTCGTAACCATGGAGACTCCCTTCATCATCCGAAGCATGATTACACCGAGCTCGCCCTTGATGTGGAGCAATTCATTCACGAACACAGCCTGCGTGATGCCATCCTCATCGGCCACTCCATGTATGCTCTAAACTAGCTGCTAAAATTCTATCTCATGACACAGAATTAACAAAATTAACGAAAAATATATAACTTACTTAGGGGCGCCAAAACAGCCTTGACTCTTGCTCTACGCTCTCCCTCCTTAGTGTCGAGCGTCGTTGCTATAGATAACGGGCCAATTCGTTTGCCTTTAACTGACGACTTTCCACGCTACATCAGGGGCATGAGACATATTCAGTCACAGGCTACTCCCGTCTCCTCCTTGTCCCAGGCTGACTCGCTCCTCTCACAATATGAGCCGGACCCTGCCATCCGTCTCTTCCTTCTGACGAACCTAGCAAAGAAAGCTGGCCAGGACCACCTGCACTTCCGGGTGCCGCTAGATATACTCTCGTCATCGTTGGATGCTCTGGGGGATTTCCCGTACATCGACCCTCAGGAAACTCAGTTTGAGAAGCCAGCTTTAATCGTCAGAGCAACCAGGAGTCATTACCTGCCGGACCACTCTAAAGAACTCATGCATAAATTCTTTCCAGACCTTAAGTTGGTAGATTTTGACTGCGGGCATTGGGTCATTACTGAGAAACCGCATGAGTTTAGACAGGGTATGTTTTTATCCTTTGTTTTAACGGTTGTATATAGTTCGATACTAACACAAATGGCCTTCTTTTAGTTGCCGTTGACTTTATACGGGACTCTGTATTGTCTACGCCATAGTTGATCTTCATGAAGTTTGGAGATTATTGTACATTAACCATATAGAATACAACCATATAGAATACATAGACACATCACCTCACATCAAAGCGCCATAATCTATCAGCATTCTCAGGCGTCATCCCTTCCGCCTCCCCCAATTCCTTTGCAGACTCCATCCACTCTGCATACGCTGCCCTGTTCACCTCTCGAGCAGCATCCCATATCTCATTCGGCATCCACCCTTCAGATCCACAATTCAGCTGTATCTTAAACCACGTTTTCAGTTTCTGCCTCGCTTCAAAGTCCTCACACTGCCTTGCATGTCTGTGCAGCTTTTCCTCATCGGGCACATACGGACAGTTTCCTGGCAGCCCCATCTCTGACCATAATGATTGCGGGTCCAAGAACTCCTGTCTGATAGCAGGTAGGTTGTGAAAGAGCAGTGAAATGATCGGAAAAGGTCGGGTTAAGGCGCATTGCTGCTCGCATTTTGGGTATCTTGCCTTTCATGATGATGTCGTATGTTTGAAGACATAACTGACACTGGGAATTAGGTTGAGTGCGTAACCTTAATCTTATGAGTCACGTGTAACCTAGTTAACGTTAATTTTGGCTAAGCTCAGGAACTAGCGCGTGTTGCCGGCGGCTAACTCACCTTGGCGCGCAAGTTAATCTTTCGGGAAGCCGCTTGGTTCGGGGACAGATACGAATATCTGGAGGCTGATTTACAATTACGGATACCAAAATAGATAGCAGATAGCCTAAAACTCACAGAGGCTCATTCGCTACATTCTAGTCACATCAACCCTAGTTAAAGCCTGCTCTTGCATTTCTTGATGTGTGGGTGCCACTCCCGAAGAAGACAAAGGCTAACCACTCTGCACTCTTCCAAGGTTGTTTGTTACCTACATGCCTAGGTTCAGCTTATTCCTAGGTTTTGGCTTTCGATTTATCCCTGTGACTGCTCATTGTTTTTAGCTATTACATACTGTGAGCTGCTCTACTCACACATACGTTTGCCTAGGGGGAACGTTAGCAAAAGAGAGCGAACAGCGGCGTACATTCTCAATTTAGAGTTTAATAGGATATTGCATAGTATCATTATAAAACGTAAAGTAGTATCATAATCAATATTAGAAGTATAATCTGCTAGCAAAAAGAAAGCTGCTCTAGCCTCTCGCATCCTATGTTCCTCCGAACGTACTTATTTGAACAATCGAGGAACCACATATTAAATTTCTTGGAAGCTCATTATGGTTGAAAGGGTATGATACAAAAGATATATCTCCATGAAGTAGGCATAAAGAGCAGAAATCCCCGAAAACAATCATCCCACATTAAAATTCTATCCACACGTAATCATTGCTGGGATTTTGCCCAGAATTTCCACCACCCTCCTCCAAGTTTAAACTTCCCATCTCGCTGATGTATTCGCCAGTAATATACAGGAACTCCAACAATCCAAAAACCAATAACGGTAAGTGCTTGCAATGGTTCAACAAAGACCGCTCGACTGAGCAGGAATAAGCTCACGCAACAGAAAATTATGGGAGTCGATATCAATGTTTTATAGGGCCTCTCCAATCGAGGCTCACGAATTCGGAGCACGATAAGCCCCAAGACCGTGAGAAAGTAAAACGAATACCCGGCTACTCCATAAAAGGTGACCAAGGTCTTGAATTCACCAACAAGGATATAGCACATGCAAAGCGCCATATTGAAAGACATCGCATATATTGGGGTAAATCCAATTCCGATGTCATCACCAAAAATGCGGGTAATTGTCCTTTTAACAAAAGAACGACGTTGTAAGCGCCCTGCCGGAGGGTTTGATGATCCGCTAAGCCCAACCCTACAAAATATAGATGGAAGGTAACCCTCTTTACCAGCAGCATATATTAGTCTGCCACTGGTAAAAACCGAGGCATTTAAGGCTCCGATGCAGCTTCCAGATACAACAAGGGCAAGGGCGGCGGCGCCAATGGGACCAAACACTTTTGCTCCAAAATGCACGGCAATAGTATTGGTGCCCGAGATTGTAGATGCCGGTAGGACCAGAACGTAGGAAATATTTGCTAGCACGTAGCATATTATCATAAGCGGCATAGCAGTGTGAATTACTCGCGGCAGGTCGCGACCCGGATTTTTGAACTCTCCGGTTACGTAGTTTGTCTATTCTTTCGTCAGCTCAAACTCAAGATGACAAAGAACTTGTAGAAGAAACGTACATTTTCCCATCCGTCAAATGCCCATAGACCAGAGTATAAGGCTACAGCCCAGCTGGAAACACTTGTACTAGTCCCATCAAACCAATTTTTCGTTTTCCATTCCTTGTTAGGATTTCCGTCATAAGAAAAGCCTGTGACTGCAGCAACAATTCCGATAATCGTAACCGCAAGCAGTGCAATGAACTTGAAGAACATGAATAGGTTTCCGATGCGGGTTCCCAGTTTTGTTGATATGCAATTGAGCATGGTGACGGACATAATGCCCGCCAGTGCGACACCTTTGGAGATCCAAGGGTTAACGGAATCTACCTTTGTGCCGACAATCGCTTCAACAATATATTCGCCGAATATAATTGATATTATAGCGTTGGACCCTGGCTTCAGAACAAAAACTGCTGTCCATGTGAAAAGGAACCCAGCCAGTTCACCAAATATCTTTGAAAGATAGACTTGCGCACCGCCATTAAGTGGAATAGCTCCGCCCAGTTCTGCATAGCTCGAGGCTCCTGTCCAGGCGAGCAAACCAGCAACAACCCATACAATGAGTGAAGCACCAGGAGACCCTGCGTTGCTGTTTACCTGGCCTGGTGATGAGAAGATTCCGGATCCGATTATTAGTCCAATAATCAGGGACAGTCCGTTTAGATACGTCAATGTTTTGTGCCTCTCCAGCGAGCCGTCCCTTATACCAACATTATGTTCCAAAGATACTGCCGAAGGCGCACCTAGCGGCGCATACCCTCCAACTGTCTGGGATAGAGGGAAGAGAGTGGTGCCGAAATCGAAGGCAGAAGAGACAGAATATGATCGACCGTGACCAGGACGTGTGGATTCGTATAATTCGCCTGATATAGGATCATCATTCTCTAAGGACGCTCGGCGTGATGAACCGACCCCGGATTCTGACGAGGATTGTGCCAGGCCGTCATCCGATGAGGCGAGTGATGCTAGTTCGAGAGAGTCCCTCATTGTGTTTCCTCAGCGGCGCATACAACAAGGGAGTAGAAGGTAGTTTGGCCGAAGAATCGTATAAGAAAAGACCGCAATGGATGATCGCGGTTTTTCTAGTAGTAAAGGGGGTGTGGAGAGCTTGCGGCCATAGTGAGAATAGAAAGAACCGGAGTAAAAGGCAGTGTTATACTGGCCTGCTAGAAAGGGTAAGAGCTGCGTTAATTCATCAACTTTGCTGGCAAGTAAAAGAAGATGATATCTCGCGTGAAAAAACCTGGCAGTTGAAAAGGAGATGTGCAGGCGTTAGCAAACAAACCTGGAGTTGAAGATCTGATCAAGCAGATTTCCCCTTCCAGTGATTGATATATTGCTTATCGGGGATTAAGCCAATCAGAAGTTTGCTAATTTACTGACTAAGCAGCTCTAGCTCCAGACACGTGACGCAACTTCAAATGCCCGGCAAAAGGAAGTTTTGGAAGAAAACAAAGTGTTGAAGCGAAAAGATATCAGGAGATTTTGTTTATTTATTTTCTGTAGCTGTTGTGTTATTCCCTTTCATGTTTCCTCGACCAGTTCGTTTGTGCCGGCTTCCCTCTGCTCCCCGACGATGTAAGGTTACCTCTCAACTTTTGTCACCGAACCGGCTCCAACGTTCTCGGAACTCGTCCACAACACCCCAACAGCCGCCAAAGGGTCCGTCCAGCAAGCTATGGCTTACTGCCGCCATTGTAGCTATTGCAGCTGGTGGAGCTGGCATATACACCCGGTCGCAGGGAGACATATCTAGCACTACCCTAGACCCGGTTACGTTCACGAACTACGAGCTTATTTCGAAGACTCCGGTGTCATCAACCTGCAGTATCTTTAATTTGCGGCCGAAAAGGGAGGGAGGAATAAATGCAGAGGTCTATCAGGATGCTTTTGAAACTGGGATTTGGAGTGTGCAGTTTAAACAACCTCAGCTGCAGGTTGGCCGAGACTACACCCCTTTACCTCCTTCAATGCAGTTTTCCTCCCTAGACAAAGGAAACGACACGTCCCTTCAGTTCCTTATCCGAAAAGACGGCGAGGTTTCGAGCTACCTACATGATCTTCAACCTGGCAGTATTGTGGAAATGCGCGGACCTCAGCTGGGACTCGAGCTCACCCCAGATGTTCAAGAGGTGCTGTTCATTGTGGGTGGGACTGGCATAGCACCAGCTCTACAGGCCGCTCACACGATACTCAAATGCATGCGACCAAGGGATGAAACAAAAATACATATCTTATGGGCAAACCGACGGAGAGAGGATTGCCTTGGGGGTCGTAGTGATACAGTTGGCTCACAATGGAGTTGGTGGTCAAAGCTATACCCTAACACCAAGGCAGAACACACTGCCAGAGACGACATGGGAGGACGGAGGAACTACGTTGTGGAGCAACTGGACGAGCTCAAACGCCTCTACCCCAAGAAATTTACAGTTGACTACTTTGTCGATGAAGAGAAATCGCTCATTGGGAAAGATTCTATTATGAAATATATAAACTCAAGAGCACAGCACCCGCTTGTGGGCCAACGGAAGAAGAAACTGATAATTATATCAGGTCCTGACGGGTTTGTCAGCTACCTTGCTGGCCCCAAGATGTGGCATAACGGTCGAGAGGTCCAAGGACCACTGCAGGGAATTCTGCGAGAGTTGAATATCTCAGGCTGGTCAGTTTGGAAACTCTGAAAAGAGTGTTGTACGACATTTGCATATATGCCCATCAACCTTGGGATCAAATGTTCGGCTAGCTATATCTTAGTGAGCCACTATGCGCTGGCAAAGTCGTTCAGATACTGAACCAACTTTTCCACATTTTCAAGTGAAACAGCGTTGTAATTGCTAGCTCGCATACCGCCAACGCTTCTGTGGCCCTTCAGCCCTTGGAGGAGGCGTTTCTCCGCGCCGGCAATGAATTCTTTCTCCTTCTCGGCGTCACCTCCATAGACTCGGAAGCAAACATTCATTCTGCTGCGAACGCTCTTGTCTGGGACGACCTGATACACCTGAGGATACTTGTCAAGTGCACCATATATGAGAGCCGTCTTCTTATTTACGACATCCTCCTGGCCTGCCACTCGCGCCTCGCCGTGAGTTTGGACAAGGCCGGCAATAACTTGACCGGCAATCCAGAGGGTGAATATTGGCAGCGTGTTGTATAGCGAGTTGTTTTTGGCGGTGATGGCATAGTCGAAAACGATTGGCCCCGGTAGCCCACCTATGCTAAGCTGACGGAGCAAAGCTGGCGCAGGCGTGGCTGTATGAGGGGGTAAAAGGTCCTTTCGGACAATGATCAAAGCGATACCCGTAACACCAATATTTTTCTGAGCTCCTCCCTTTAGACGGATCGTTGTATCTTAGCATTGGTGCACACTTCTTGTACATTTAGACAATAGAGAGAGATATGGCCACTTACAAATATAACGGCATATTTTTTCACATCTATCTTTCGGCTGAGGAAGTTAGAGCTCATATCAGCCACTACAAGGCGCTCGTCTTCCTCGCTCACATCTGGCGGGTTCTCCAGCACTTTTGGGAAGGTAGGGAACTCGACCCCATCCACTGTCTCGTTATCACAGAAGTAAACGAATGCAGGCGCACTTTTTCCTCCCTCCTTCTTCGTCTTGGTGAGCTTCCATGCCTCCTCAGCTGGTATCTTTCCAAATTTCCCTCCATTCGCTTCTTTGGCATCGACAGCAACATTAACAAATTTCTCCCCGACCAATCTCTTTCCTTCCTGTGCTGCCTTTGAAGACCAAGATCCAGTGACAATGTAGTCCAGTTTCAGTTCTTCATCAACCTGCCTCTTCAACTCGGCGATAATCTTGGCCTCATCATCACCAAACTGAGCCGCAAGCTTGCGTCTCCGTCTTTCAACCCAGACGCTGACCAAGTTTTGAACAATTGCGCTGAACTCGCCAGTCCCGCCACCTTGGAGGAACAGTATTTCGTAATTCTCTGGTATGTCGAGCAGGGTGGTTAGATTGGCTTTAGTATCCGCAAGGATTTGGTTGGCAGCGGAGGATCGATGGGAGATTTCTCCTAGACCCAACCCGCTGTCATTGTAGTTGACGAAGGCTTTAGCGCCGGCCTCAACAACCACAGTGGGCAGAGGAGCAGGGCCGGCACCAAAGTAGGCGATTTCTGATCGAGAAGGCATTTCGGGGGCGCTTGTTACTGTTATGAAGTGGTTGTGGGAAAGATGACTCGAGAGGCTTTTTATACGCAAGAGTGGGATGATGCAATCAATCATAAAATAATCTAATCACGGCCGTTAACTAACTGCCTGGCGGGGCTTTTATAACTACCCAAGGTATTTATACGAATAATTATATGATTCACACTTAACGATGGCCGCAAGGCTGATTGGTTATGACAGCTGAGTCTTGGTAGCAAGCCGGAAGTGGTCACCACGGCCTTTTCTTTTCTACAGTTCACTATCTACTCCGTACAGTTCCTCCAAGGTCCTTCTTCATATGCAAGTGACACGGCTTTTGCAAATGTTTCTCTCCCATCAGCTAGTTGTTGACTTCGACACTTATGCTTCTGACCAAGAAAAACTGCAAACTGGGCACTGTACAGTTAAAAAAAACAAGGTCCTTGTCTCACGGGTGGTGAATAAATGTTATTCAATGCTCGCAATAACCCTCCATTTCGTACCGGCATTCGAGCGTAGAGCTAGCTAGGATGTTGCGCAGGGGTCTGCTATTTCTCCGATTTGACGATCGTCCCAGCGTTGGTACTGTAGCACCCGTCCACATATGGTAGAGGATTTCTATTCGCCTCATGGCCTCCTTATGTGAAGAGGTAGGAAATTATCAAGCAGCGAGATCACTTTTTTGCTCTTCGTTTGCCAAAAAAGTAGAGAAATTCGGCTGATTACATAAGGCCGGGTTCGGCAGAAAAAGTTGCCTTAAAAAGCTTGTTTGTTAAGTTTGCATCTTTGAGCCTCGGATTTCAATTTGCTGCTTTTTCATTCGATAAGAAACTTGCAGCGACAGCGCGACAGCGAGCGACAGAGGGAGCAAGCAGAGCGGCCAGAGAGGGATCCCAGACGGAGGAGCTCTGTTAAACGAAGAAACTGCTTTATAATGGCTGGCATGATATCGCGAAGAGCCATGGCGAACGCCGGCAGGGCGTTCGCGTTCCCAATTGTGAGAGCGCAGAGTCACCGGCTGCCGTGCTATACCAGACCATTATTAGCATACAGGCAATTCTCTGTGTCAACCAGGCTCTCCTCGGCCGATGTATTCCATTCGCAATTGCAAGACCCTTCCTATGCCGCAATTCACTCTGCGATCAAATCGAATACCCTCGTCCCCCAAACCTTGACCGAGAAGATTGTCCAGAAATATTCAGTTGGCCTGGCAGAGGGTAAATTCGTCCGGTCAGGGGACTATGTTACCATATCGCCACACCGAATTATGACCCACGATAACAGCTGGCCTGTTGCATTGAAGTTCATGTCCATTGGAGCATCCACGTTGAAAGACTCGAACCAGATTGTTATGACTTTGGACCACGATGTGCAGAACAAGTCAGAAAAAAACCTACAGAAATACGAGCAGATTGAGAAGTTCGCAAAAAAACATGGTGTTGATTTCTACCCTGCTGGAAGAGGCATTGGGCACCAGATTATGGTTGAGGAAGGCTATGCTTGGCCAGGGACCTTGGTGGTGGCTTCTGACAGCCATTCAAACATGTACGGAGGAGTAGGATGTTTGGGAACACCAGTGGTTAGGACCGATGCAGCCAGTATCTGGGCCACCGGAAAGACCTGGTGGCAGGTGCCTCCTGTTGCGAGAGTGAACTTCACTGGAGTCTTACCCAAGGGCGTTACTGGAAAGGATGTCATCGTGGCACTCTGTGGGTTGTTCAACAATGACGAAGTTCTCAACCATGCCATTGAATTTACTGGATCAGAGGAGACCATGCGCAGCTTGGAGATCGATGATCGCCTAACGATAGCAAACATGACCACGGAGTTCGGAGCTCTTAGCGGTAAGCCCTATCCTTTCTAAGAGAGCACAATTGAACATACAACTGACTAAATCCATACAGGTCTCTTCCCAGTTGATTCTATGCTAAAAGGATGGCTACGAGCAAAGGCTACCACCGCAGCAATGTGGGGATCGACTGTTCCTGACCTTCCCAGCACAGCTGCCACAAGGTTTAATCATGAGCTCCTAGAAGAGATGTTCGAGCAACCTTTAGTCGCAGATAAGGGAGCTAAATACGCCAAGCAGCTACATCTCGATCTGTCCACTCTTACCCCGTATGTCTCTGGGCCCAACTCCGTCAAGGTAGCAACACCCTTAGATGAACTCGAGGCTCAAGATATCAAAGTCGACAAGGCCTATCTGGTATCCTGTACAAACTCGAGAGCTTCGGATATTGCCGCTGCTGCGAAGGTGTTCAAGGAAGCTGCCGAGAAGAACGACGGTAAAATCCCAAAGATTGCAGATGGTGTTAGGTTTTACATCGCAGCTGCATCGATCCCGGAACAACGCGCGGCGGAAGAGGCCGGTGACTGGCAGACTCTTCTCGAAGCTGGTGCCGAACCCTTGCCTGCTGGCTGTGGTCCATGCATTGGCCTTGGGACCGGCTTGTTGGAGCCCGGGGAAGTCGGCATTAGTGCATCTAACCGTAACTTCAAGGGCCGAATGGGTAGCACAGAGGCAAGAGCCTACCTTGGTAGCCCTGAGGTTGTTGCAGCCAGTGCCCTGAAGGGAAAGTTAAGTGGCCCAGGATGGTACGAGAAACCTGAAGGCTGGAATGGAGTTGTCCGTGGAGAGGGTGAGGGTATTAAGGACGACGATCTCTTGACGGCGGAACAGGCTCTTGAAAAGGTTATCGGACAACTAGACGATCTGCTTCTTGATGCTGAGAAGTCATTTGGTGTTGAAGAGCCACAGACACAGCCAGAGGAATCATCCACTGGCCTGACCGAGGTATACCCTGGTTTCCCTGAACGTGTCTCGGGGGAAATTATCTTCTGCGACAGCGACAATATCAACACGGACGGTATTTACCCTGGGAAATACACATATCAAGACAACGTTCCGGTTGAGCAGATGGGCGAGTACTGCATGTCCAACTATGATACCGAGTTCTCCAAGGTATCAAAGGCAGGAGATGTCCTCGTAACAGGGTATAACTTTGGCTGTGGAAGTTCTCGCGAGCAAGCTGCCACTGCTATTCTAGCTAGAAATATCCCGCTTGTGGTTGCAGGCAGCTTCGGTAATATCTTCTCGAGGAACAGCATCAACAACGCTCTCATGGGATTAGAAGTTCCTCGCCTCGTCAGCAGGCTACGTGAGACCTTTGCAGGACAAGGCAAACAGGCAACTCGACGAACCGGCTGGACTTTGACGTGGGACGTACGACGAAGCCAAATTGAAGTCCAAGAAGGCCCTGATGGACAGAAATGGACACAGAAGGTTGGAGAACTGCCACCGAACGTACAAGAGATCATAGCCCTTGGAGGTTTGGAAAAATGGGTCAAGAACTCCATCTCAACCTCTTCTTAGGCTGCGCTTTGGCATAGTGCTCTTTTTCACCCCCCATATTTGTTTGTATAGTACTGTATACTAGGATACAGTTTCTCTCTTTTTTTTTTTGGGTTATATAAAAAAGATGTGAGCACTGTTACGTTGGCGCTTGTCATTTGAATTTTAGATCCCTTCGATTATGAGCTTAGTTAGGTAAATGATTTTAATTCCTTGGTAATAGCTATATATATTACTTACTACTATCATCTTGCCTTGTGATGGGGAGGAATAATTAATCAGGCATGGTGTTAAAAATAATACTATATGTGGAAAAAATATGAGGAGTTGAGAGGAGTATAAGAAAAAAAATTAAATTTTCTAGCATGTCTTGGTTTCGATCCAAGGTCCTCCGGGTTATGAGCCCGGCGCGCTTCCGCTGCGCCAACATGCTTGATTTGATATGGTGGGACAAGCGTTAGTGTTAGTTAACCCTTAATGACAAGGTTTCCCTTGATCTGGAATAGTGTGACCCACTTCGGCGCTTCACCTGGAGCGAGCTAAAATTCCATTTTATATCAAGTCGTAATAACGTACAAAGTAAAGGCGATAGATAGTCATCTAAGAGAATTCTCATAAGATGTGCTCAATATTAATGGCATCTAACAACAGTAGAATAATTATTCTAGTTCTATATTAATCTCTCCATTTAACAAAGACTTCGTCTGTCCTAAATCTTTGTGTACATGTGGACTCTTCTAACCGTGTACGGAAGCCTGTCTTGTAAGCTAGGAGCCCAGCCTGAGCAATCATGATTCCATTGTCAATGCAAAATCGCTCGTCGGTCGCATGTACGTTTCCACCTCTATCGCGAGCCATGATTCCCATCATCTCTTGAAGGCGTTCATTGCATCCAACACCGCCAACTATCAATACCTCCTTTGAGCCTACATGTGCCATTGCACGCTCTGTGATTTCCACCAGCATAGCATACACGGTCTCTTGAAGGGAAAAGCACAAATCTGCGCGAGTGACTACCCCATAATCGTCCTCGAGCGAGTCGATGGCTTCGACTTTTGCGCGGCGAGCCACTTCGTCGGCATCCTTCTTTGCTTGTTCCTCACCGCCGAGTCCGTACGAGGCAGCCAAAGCGTCAACTGTAGCCAATATACCCGAGAAAGAGCAATCCATTCCTTTGACGGCGTAGGGTATCTCAACTAGCCGTTTACCTTTCTTGGCCAGCTGTTCAATATTATATCCTGGAGCGGGGTCATTGGAGATGTGTAACGTTCGAGCGAACCGATCAAGACAATTTCCCACAGCAATGTCTAAAGTTTCACCAAATATTCTATATCGTTGTGAACTGTAAGCAATAACTTGGGTATTTCCTCCAGAGACATATAGAACAATAGGATTTGTTGCGCCGGTTATGTAGCGACCCATTTCAATATCTGCAATTTGAATGTTAGCACCCGCTGCCCCATTTCAAACAAATGCGCGTGACAGTGAAAAAGGGAACAGAAGATTAGTAGTACGTACGCCCAACACAATGATTAACACCTACGAGCTCCTTCTCCCATAGTAGACTTAACATCCTCGCGGCCAATGCAACGCATTGCAAAGGAGCGCCCATCCCTGGGCCTTTGGTATAGCATATGCAATCAACATCGGCCACACCAATTTTAGCATCTTTCAGAGCTTTTTTGACCAGGCTTACAACCCACTGGCGATGATGCCTAGCGGTATCCTTTGGTAAAAACCCTTCGCCTGGTGGAGATACATATGTATGCCGAACATTAGAGAGAACCTGTGGAGCGCTCCCATCGTTCGGATGCAGTATGACCCCGACACCCAGCTTGTTTGCCGATCCTTCTAAGCCGATAGCAATCATGGTAGGCCCGTCTAAATCTATACCTGTTGAGCAGCAATCAAATACCCTGCTCCCCTTCCAAAGTACACCCTTTTCCGGTAAAAGATGAAGAAGCGAACTTATCGATAGGCAGGCGGGGATTCACGTGACTCGTATAAAGTTTCATTAGTCATAAAACGGCATCCGATGGGGGGAAGTTTATCCGGAAGTTTATCCGCCAAGCACAGACATATTGATCACACACCCACCATCTTTCTGGACGACAAACAGACTGACATCCAGGCTTGTGTTGAGACGCTGCCTCCTTCTCAGGATACAGGAGAAGGGTGGTGAAGTCATTGTTTGGTTCTTACCTGTTTCCACCTTGTCCAGCCTGCCCTTTGCAGCATGTCTAGCCCGATGGACTTGTCAGGCAATGACCAGTTCAACCAGCTGTCAGATGACTTCTTGCTCTGGCTGAAGCGGAGCAGCCTTCATTTCAAAATGCATCCTGGCATATATATCGCCGATTTGAGGTCTATCGGGGCTGGGAGAGGTATCTGTAAGTGACCTAACTCACAGTGTGCTCAGGTATTGCCGCACAAGGCCAGAGGACGCATTTGTTTTGCTGACGTCTGGCGAGTAGGCGCCTCGCGAGATATAACCGAAGACGAGGAACTCTTTGTTATCCCCGAAGACTTGATACTCAGCGTACAAAACTCGGAGGCAAGGACAGTCTTGGGCCTGGATGACAAGCAACTTGGGCCGTGGTTGTCGTTGATCATTGCTATGATATACGAATACTACCAAGGCGAGCAATCCAAGTGGTATCCTTACTTTGGTGTTCTTCCCTCGAGTTTTGACACGTTGATGTTCTGGACAGATGAACAACTGTCTGAGCTGCAAGGTAGCGCAGTCGTTGGCAAGATTGGCAAGGCTGCGGCGGATGACACAATCCTGCAGAAAGTGGTTCCTCTGATACAGGCCAACTCTCTTCATTTCCCGCCCAGGTCTGATATGCCTCCACTCAACTCACCTGATAGCCAGAGTGCTTTGCTTTCTCTTGCCCATCGTATGGCTAGTCTTATTATGGCATATGCCTTTGACATCGAGAAGGCTGAAGAGGCAGATGAGGACACAGCTGAAGACGGCTACATGACAGATGACGAGGATGAACCAGCCAAGGGCATGGTGCCTCTGGCAGATATATTCAACGCGGATGCACAGAGAAACAATGTAAGTACAAGTATCTCACCTCACTTTCTCCCGTTTGTTCTAGGCTAATCGTTCCCTTATTCAATTATAGGCACGTCTCTTCCAAGAAGAAGGCTCGTTTGTCATGAAGGCTGTCAGGAATATACACTCAGGAGAAGAGATCTTTAATGACTACGGTGAACTCCCAAGAGCAGACCTTCTTCGGCGATACGGTTATGTTACCGACAATTATACCCAATATGATGTCGTTGAATTTTCTTTGGATAGCATTTGCAAAGTTGCTGGTCTGCCAGACAGCCAGCCAAGCCCGTCTAACCCCCAAGTATGTGCCCAAACCTAAATATTATCTCTATTGTTTGCTGACATTTTTGTAGCTTGAGCTCCTTGACGATCTGGACATGCTTGAAGATGGATACAGTATACCCAGGATACCACAGAATGGAGCATTGAAGGACGCAATACCGGAAGATTTCCTTGTTCTGCTTCGGGCCTTGACCCTGCCTATAGAGGATCTAAATCGACTTAGAGCAAGAAGCAAGGCCCCAAAACCTGAATTTTCAATTTCAGAAGCATCCCTCTTGCGGTCTCTAGTGACCTATCGACAAAGCGAATACCCAACGTCGGCCCATGATGACGAACGTATCCTTCAGTGTCTTGCGCAAGGAAACGGAAATATCATTGATCCAATTATTCGACGCAAGAAAATGGCAGTCCAGGTAAGGAAGGGAGAAAAGGAGATTCTCGCTCAAATTTTGAGTTTACTGGATGCCCATTCGATGCAATCAGACCAGAACGGATCCGCGAAGCGCTCAATGATAGGCACTGAGAAGTACCCAAAGAGACAAAGACAACTTTGAGCGAATTACCTAGGTACATCACTTTATACACGCCGTCGAGATTCGTATGTGGAAATTCAAAGTATGAAGTTTTCGAATTTTTTTTTTTTGGTTCTTGGTTTATTTGGTTTTCTCACTGATATGATAGCTTGCCTCCCAGAGTTTCCTATATGTACACAACGAACAAAGAGTATGATGTCCAGTTCAACCTGGTCTGTGGCAAAGCTCTTAAAATCAAGAGGCGGTGTGGTGTGATGATGGGGGAATAGAGACATCTGTGTATGAATCACGGAGCGTGTAGGAGTGTGGATAGGGGATATAAGACTCTGATATGACAAAAAGGGGGTTATAAAGGTGAGCGGGCAATTAAGACACAGTCTGTTTAACCTTTCTGTGCTATATTTGATGAGTTGGGATTGACATTATTATGGCCAGGGGTAGGAGGCGCCCCAGGTAGCCGCCGACCATTGGGAACTTGCTGACCGTGGGCCTGTGCTTGGGCTTGCAGCTGAGCTTGGGTTATGGCTTGATCCCTCGCTTTGGCCGACAGATACGCGCGATGTTGCATGATTTGAATATCGAACTCGTCCTTCTCATAGACGATATCCATGTCATCATCGTCACGATCATACTTAAACCTATCAAGTTTCAAAGGATCCACACCATCCTTGTTACGGAGTGCAAGGTTTCTTCGGTCAATGAGAACACGGCCGCCACGGCCTACCCGCCGCCGGAACGATGGCGTGGGCCTACTCGAATCATCTTCTGATGGACTAGACTGCCGAAGCGCTGACCACTGGGTTTCTAACGGCGGACTAGTGTGAACGTCCCGCATGCGCTCGGAGGTCTCAGAAGTGGGAGGTGTAGGCAGGTACTCGTGCGTTATTGCCGGCCTGAATTCAGCCTCGAATCCTTGTGGTGTTGTTGGGGTAAGTGGTGCTCGAGTGATGTCTACATAACCTTCGTTCCATTTGGCATGTTTTGCAACGTTCTGCTTAATTTCTCGCAGAATGTCATTTTCCTTATCTGCTTGAACATCTTCAAGCATTTGCAAATCCTCGCCAAGCTGGCCAGTAGTGCGTGAAGGCACACGCAGCTGTGGAACGCTTGGCCTCTGGATAACAGGAACCTCTGTGGGCTTCTTCTTTGGCTGAACATTCGAGTCAGTTACTATGAAACACGAGCTGGGCTTTTCAGCTGTGGGCTTTACCTTCTGATTGATGAGATCCTCGTCATCATCTTTGATACCAAGTTTCCGTTTCATTTCCTTTACCTCACAACGCTGCATGAACAGCTGCCTTTCAGCTGCGAACGCTTCCTTTCGCCCCAGTTCGCGCTGTTGGACCATGGCTATCAGAGTCCGGGCATCTTCTAGCTCTTTTCTTAAGCGTCTAAGCTTTTCAGCGCTCTGTGCATCACGGCCTCGCGTTTTTCGAGCGAGCCGGACCTCTCTACGGCGGAAGCAAACATATGGATCACCATCATCAGTGTCTTGCCCGGTCTCAAACTGCAAAGGGATGTCAGCATATATTTCACAATATGGTTGAACGGGACAACTTACCTTTAGTGTTGGTTGCAAGGGCCGATTCCCTGATGCTGTCCGCCGCGACTTCCAACTCTCATATATTTCTCTTACAAAGGGCCTTAACTTTTCATGTATCATTCCGTCGAAACACTCCTCCATTTCCGGATATGATACTACAGGAGGATTATCGACAGCAGCAAAAGGCTGTTTTGCTTGTGCTGTCTCTTCGAAGAAGCTCATCACTTCCTCGAACTGGTCTTCTGTGCATTGTGTTGAGGCGTCCCGCTTCTGGTTCATTATCTTTAAAGCGACATCATCCTCCTCAACAAGGTTATATCCGCACCCACTGCAGTCTTCTACGGTCGACGAGAACCGAATATACGTCGCCGGCTGTGAAAATATGGGCCGGTAGAGCGTGTCATATTGGACTGCGCTCTGGACTGTTTCCGGTGTCGGGATATGTGTTTGCGCTGCATTTCCAAACGCAGTGGCATTTATCGCAGCTTGCAAGTGGAATTCCTAACCATGCAACCTAGGTTAGCCGGGCTTCTTTTGATGTGTTTGACTCTCGTGTTATAGAGTATAGGTGGTTGTTTGCCCCTATATAATCACGTGACGTCTCCCAGGCAACCCCTTGAAAATTTTGATCACAAGGAGACTTACAGTTTCTTCAGCTTTCTCAACGCCCGTTTCGATAGACTGTAGTGTAGTTTGTGGATCATCTTCGGTAAGATCGATCTGATCCTCTCGAAATATCGGTATCGGCTGCTTGGGGGTGAGTTTTTTCGGACGCGTAGCCCTCATCATCCCCCCAAGCCGTGACATGACTCTCGGATAGCGAAAATCGGCCCTCTCATGGGCATGTGGTGGCCTAAAAAGGTATCAAACGATAGACCTATTCATGAGCAGTAAAACGAGCGTACTTTTGTGTAAATCGAGCGTCGTAGGGTCGAGATAATGCTGTCGGGAATATGGTGGCAAGGCGGTGTTTTGATGAGTTGACGTTGTCCATGACGCTACAAATCGGGCTGTTTGGGCGCGGTTTGGTAGTCTGGGCCAGCGCATGGGCCTCCAGTGCTTCCTAATGCGGCTAGTGCGACCTATCCCAATATCAAAATCCTCAGTGACGCTGGCTTACCAGATATGGACTAGCGCCACCGCCCGAAATCGCCAAAACAGAGAAAAACGTCACTTGTCGCAGGCACGTCCAACTTCGCTGCCAACCACCACCACCACAGCCGCCGTCGTCGCGTCCATCGCTCCCTCCACCCAGACGATATAACTACATCATCCGACCGCCCTAGCATTTGACGGTGCATTGACACTCCGGCTTCTTCGAGACAAAGCTGCCAGTTCGCCGCAGGTTGGCCGTTCGAAGCGGAGGAAACTTTGTTTTTGCTCTTGGATCACCTCCTCACTTCGAGCTTCTCACTGTCATTATGGCTTCCGAGAACCCAGCTTCTGAGCCTGTAATGGATTCATCGGGCACTCAGGTCTTGGACAAGATCGTGTCCGCGTCCAACTGTATGTCCATGTGCCTCATAAGTTACGGGGTAATTGCAACCAACCGCTAACCAGCACCGGGCAGTTAATCGGGATGAGGTTGATAGATTGCGGAAGCGTTTTATGAAACTGGATAAAGTGAGTTATGGGCCAGGACTACACGTATGCTCTGTGTCAGGAGTAACTATCCTCACTGGTGCTATATGTGTGGTTTCAGCATTGCAAACTCCTACCTAACATTATTTTCGTTTGATCTCTCCATAGGATAATTCTGGTACGATTGAAAGGGACGAATTTCTTTCTCTGCCTCAAGTGTCTTCTAACCCATTGGCTACTCGGTATGAACCCATGGCTCACAACATATGCCTATTCCCCTTACTAAAGAGTGTTATCCCCCACCCACATATATGCTCTCCGAACAAATGGGCTAATTGGTTTTGCAACCGTTACGGCGAGAAATTAGAATGATCGCAATTTTCGACGAAGATGGTGGCGGTGATGTAGACTTCCAAGAATTCGTTTCCGGGTTATCAGCCTTCAGTTCGAAGGGTAACAAAGAGGAGAAGCTTCGATTTGCTTTTAAAGTATATGATATCGACCGTGACGGGTATATATCAAATGGGGAGCTGTTTATTGTTCTGAAAATGATGGTTGGCAGCAATTTGAAGGACAATCAGTTACAGCAGATAGTGGATAAGACCATTATGGAAGCTGATCAGGATGGGGATGGAAAAATAAGCTTTGAAGAATTTACCAGGATGGTTGAGAACACTGACATCAGTATGAGCATGACTTTGGGTATGTTTATACTTTCCCTTCCTTTCCTTTATCAACTGACTATAGTCCAATGCTGGTATCAACTAACTGATTCGTAGATCAATTTTAACTATTCGATTATTCGTATCTTTTGTTTGTTGGCATTCATTTACGACAATCCCTCAAGAGCTTGGGCGGTACCACTCTGCTCCTCATCAAGCAGTGTTTTGATATAATCTGCTCTCACTCACGTCACGATATGATGACTACGATACCAACCACCTCCATAGATGTTTTATTGCGTCTCTAGAACCCTGGCAATCATCCGGAACCTCAGTGACATGATGACCAGCGCCCACTTTAACTCAGGCAGTGGCATTGTACTTAAGGGTTTCAATATCAATAACTGGACTACACGGCCTTACTTTTCATGGAAAGAAAGAATGTTGCCAGAAAACATGCATGTTAATTATTGCCTATTCTTAAATGGGCACTTCAACGCCGTACCATCCGCTATGGGTCTTACCTGTTGCATAGCGTAACTGGTGAGTATTCTTCTATTGTTTCGTTATAGGTTGCTCCTTAGCCTGTGACTCTTAAGACAATTTTATTTACCACGAGCTTGGTTAAGTTCTGTCTCTCCACAACCTTATCTTGATCTCTTGGTATCTCATGCTCACGGGGATTTTTTCTGCTCGTTCACCAACACCGAACAGTTAACGTATCACAAAGGGCAACCCCTTGAGGAAAACAGCTATAGTTCGGTTCCGCCTGGTAACGCTCCCAAATATTCCTGTCTCGGTATGCAGATACTACCAATATTACCGCTATGTTATACACATTGTACCCACTAAAGCGCACAGGGAACAGATTGCTGTTGGACGAATGAGGTACGCAAAAGCCCTCGTGCAAGGCCCGGGATTTGGCCAGCCCAATATTGCGGTAAGGTCCAGCTTAGATATTCAGGACCTGGACATCCTCGGTTCGAAGACTGGTTTCTTCTAAGTATACTCCGTATACCACAACAATCAAAAGTTTCCTCCCCACCCAACCGTTTCGCCAGCGGACCCTAGCTTTCTGACTCGGTGGTGGCGGGGATGCATTTTTGTCGTTTGCATGTTTGCATGGCTAAAACTTCCCTACACCGCTGAAAATGTCATGTCAAAATGATACTAGACGATACCCATGACCATAACACTGAGCATGCAGCGTTGATAAACAAGATTAAAATGCACGATTCCATCAGCCAAACGGCGCATGTTCCATTCCCGCGCCCGAGATTACACTTTTCTTATGCAAACTAATGCCCTTACTTGCATGGCAGTGGGGATCGAGCGGCTTAAAGAGCTTCCTTGCCTTTCGACACTCGCTTATACAACAAACATCAAGCTGCCAAACATGGTCCCGTCAGATATACTCCAGCTTCCCGAACCACTCCTTGCAGCGACATCTACCTGTTTTTTTTTTTTAACATTTAAAGCCAAAGGCAATGGCCCAAATTTCGATCGTAAGTTTTTCATACTTCTTCGAGCAGTGCAATTTCCAGCAGATCCTTTCCGGGCCTATCAGAGCTTTGGACTAGGATACACCACGAAGAAAGGACATGGACATGGTTGTTAATATTGACCAACTCACTTGTCAGGGTGGCAAACTTGAGCGCAGCACGGAACATAAAAGCCGCCCTTATCGACAGTCCAGCTCGTCCCCGCCATGCTCCATACTCCTCCATGATACATAAATTTTCAAAGCTTGACGGGGGGGAACACGGTTAGCCATCAGTCCCTCAAGATGAAAGAGGAATTTGCTTCTCTTTTTTTCATTTCTAAATTCATGCTACCCAGCTGTCGTTTAGACTCTGCCCCTGAAACATGAGAGGGAGGTTGTCACTCCAGGACCACGTATGATCCTAAAAAGCCTAACGCTGGAAAACCTAGAGCCAAGCATCGCTTCCATCTCGAAAATGCCTCAGACTGATTAATGATACATTTATATACACCCAGGAACCGTCCCGGAAACGCTTCCGTGCAACATGGATACAGCACACTGGCACGAAGATCCGGGGATTCCCTCTATTTACTAGCAGCCTTGGACGGGAGTGTGATAACTTCAGGCTCGAAATCATATATGAATTTAAGGTGGAGATGGGATTTTGGTATTCCTATCATCTCGACGTTAGCTTCTTGTCTCACTTCAGGTTATTTAATTCCCAACAAGCAACAAAATAGCTGGGAATTTTTGCATCACTGAATACGAAGGAGGTTGGAAATCAAGATCAGATAAAATTAAATAAAGCAAACTTGCATAAACTTGACAGCCGGGAACTGGAATTAAATTGGACGGGTGAGGAGACCTATTAAATATGTGGCTAGGTGGCGTTGAAAACAAGGCCAACGTTTCAAAGCACGCATGTACAATCAGAGAGAAGAAACAGGAGCACGAGGAGAAAAGAAATTATAAATGATATCTATTATTTGAATCGCAGGAACCGGAGATACAAGAAGGCCGAGTAACCAGGACCAGAAAACGAGAATCTTAGTTTCATCATGCAGTAGTCTTCCGGAGAAAAAGAGAAGCAGCAAGAACTCAACGTCTGCAGGGAGACACAGAGCGAGAACGGCCTTTAGAGAGGGAGAAACAACGCCCTGTTGTGCAACATTATAACTGAGAGAAGCAACGCTTCGCCCATACCATAGCCCGGTTGTAAGCGTTAAGGGATATAAATACACTCTCCTTTGCTGCGAAATATGAACAACCGTTTGGCCATTCTGGCCCAGTATTATTCCCTGAGTTCTCCCAGCCGTGCACATATACTCTGTACATACGCACAAAAAAGCTTTCGAGTCCGTCCCACTCCGGCCATCCGATAATACCACTAAACTCCAGTAAGGAGTAATGTACATGAAATGCAAGGAGGGAGAGAATGTAACCCCAATCTAATAAATTTGAAAGAAAAGCAAATTGGGTATCTTTATATCACTGCAAGTAAACCGTAACAATACCCCGGGTCAAGAAGACAAACGGTGAAAACTGAAAACAAGGCAGTAGGTGTCACGATAAATTGAAAGATAGGAAAAGAGAAGCGTCAATTGAGGAAAGAAAAAGAATAATGCAAGCAAGACATCCAAAAAAAAACGCATAAAAGAGATCCCGCAGTAACCGGCAAACGCGCAAAGGGGTTGGTAAAAAAAGACGAAGAACCAAGAAATATTGCACAGCAAACTGGAGGAATGCTGACGTCGATGCTGCTCCACTGCATGAAAAGGAATGCAAACCCCACCGCAGGCATGTCCGAAAACTGATCCTTGAAAGCATTGGTGCCGTACGGAAGAGTTCAACGTGTTCGGCGAGACAGGTCACATAGTAAGTGGTTGAGGGCGTGTGTTGTTGAACCAAGGAAGAAGATATTAACGAAATAACAAGACGAAAAAAGAATCCAAACATCCAAATGCACCAATCCGTTGACCACTCTATTTCCCTCTAAAATCTAGGACGTTGAATGGCTAATTCTTTCCTCTTGAGGGCTAGAATGTCAAAAATCAAAGCAATAAAATAAACTGGAGAGGGCGGCCGTCACACATGACTGTCGTAGGATTAGAAAATGTGTGCGATATCGAGACAAAAGAATGAAACGCTAGGTCTTTTTCGGGCCTGAGTCAACTGCTGAAGATATGGTGGATTGAAGTTTTGGCCAGGGGGAGGATGACGGGTATGAATTTCATGCAGGCTGCATAATCTGGGCGGAAAGAGTCAAGTCGGGAGGACTCCGGACTGCGTTAACTAACAAAGCTTGGTGAAACAACTTGTGTTGACGTGCAAGCTTCAAATCACATCGCTCCATCTCTCATATTACGTGGTCCAATCGCGTCGAGACAATGGTCAATGCAGGCCGAAAGGGAAACCAACTCAATGATCAGCCGCTGGAAGTCTGTTCCTGTTGTTTGGTGCACTAGTTTCTTCACGTCCCTCAAGGAGATCGAGACATTGTCCTAGTACTATATTGCACGGAATCAGATTATGATAACCGAATGATACATGGAGAAACATATTAACTCACCACATAATATCTCTTCTTCCCAGACTCCCATTTGATAATCAACTAAGCCGTACTGCTCCATTTTGTCACAAAGTCGGACCAATTCCCTGCCTAGTTTTTGCAAAGCAACTTCGCTTAAAAGCTCAGCAGGACGAACTCCTGTATCGAACATCTCCAGCGTTGTATCTTTTTGCTTTTGACAAATGGCGAGCCAGCACGTATTAAAGTTATTCCACATGTCAATTCGATCAGCATGAAGGTCTTCTTGGTCGCGAACCAGTCCTAGAATCAGTTATTAGCCCAAAAATATTAGTGCACTCATGCCTTGCGTGGGACTCAGAGCGCACGACATGGCTGATGAGAAGTCATATGCTTACCCAGTTCCACCGCATTTCCAAGTAACCACTCTGACATCTCAAGCATTGATTCACTGGCGTTTGCAAGACGACCGGCTTTAATATCATAAAACGCTTGCTTTAAAGTTTGCTGATAGCGGCTGTACGCTTCATCAAGTCCAGAAGATCTTTGCTGAGTAGTTTCTGGTCTTTCTTGAGGCTCTGGTCCAGAAGTAGAATTGAATCCGGACATGCTCTCAGCAAATGATGCCGCCACACCAGGCCGGCTCACTGGAGGAAGTTGAGGAAACCCAGGTGACTGGTCTTGTGGACTTAAATATTGTGCTGAAGGTCCCGCGCCTGCCGAAGATTCATCAGGAGGAAAATATTGTGGAACTCCAAACTGGGTTGCTAAAACTTCGATGGCTGCGGACTGCCGTGGCTGGTAGTACGAAGATGGTGTCTGGTCATGAGGGTTAATGTTATAGACAATATTGTGGTCATATTGTTGTAGCCGCTGCTGCTGCTCCTGCGGCGTAGATTGTTGCGATGGTTGGGAGGCGTTCCGTGAGTTGTGGAAGCCTGGCGGATACTGTAGCGAACCACTTTGTAGTTGTGAAGTATTGTATGGCGCTGATTCAGAGTATTCAAATCCGCCGTAAGGGGGAAGAGGCGCGGCCCCATCTTGAGGAGTAACACTTGTGTCTAGCGTCGTCCTCCTAACAGGGCCTGATTGTTGCGGCTGTCGAAATCGATCAGAGGATGTACCAGGTGCCTCGCGAACTACCCGACCCGATATATAGGAAGTGTCATACTTCTTCTGATGACTGTCGCCGCCATCCATCCCCCTAAACTGGCCTGAAGCGTTCCCACCCCACGACGGCTCGAGATTTGACGGTCGACGCGTCGGAGGTGAGATTGGGGGGCTGGCGTAATATTCCACGTTTCTGGTTCGCGTCGCCAGTTCTGCGATATCTCTGTAAGGCTGCTCGTGTATGGATTGGGATAATACTATCCCGAGACTGCGGCGGAAAACAAGAGTGGAAGCGGTCTGCCGGTATTTTGATTTAATTCAACGGCCCTTTCAGTTCGGGAAGTGCAGGGAGCGAATAGATTCCAATCAGCCAAAATGTGAGGGTGACTTAATATTCTGCTGCTGCATTCCAGGACAAAGAGAGTGGACAGAAATCAATAATCGGATTCCAAGGGGAGGTCGGCGCCAACTTTAAGACACGGAAGAGAGGTTTCTGGTCCTATTGTTGCCAAAGGAAGCAAATATCATGCAATTGGTGGTAGTATGGTCGGAAAAAGAGTAAAGAGTCATAAGCTTTTCTCGGGTCATAAACGTTCGAATCCTGGGTGAATCGTGAAGTGAATTATATCAGGCTTGAGTTTTATATGTATATATAAAAAACGACACAATTCAGGTAATATAACAGCCGAAAACTGTTCAACAACGGGGAAACGAGCGTGGGCTTGGTTTATATTACCAAGTAATGGCTGGGAACAGTGTGCAGATCGAGGAGGCAGGAATTTTAGCGGACACAGCTGTCGGGAAAGGTCGTTAGCTAACAGCGGCTATGAGGCTAGATATCTCCTTCACAGCAGATTCTGTAGAGGCGGGGTATATACATCGGCTGAAATGATTATTTTTCAAAAGTCTGGAGGTGGCGTAATAATATATGAACCGCCTGGGATTGCTTTTTACCCAACTTCGGAACTGGTGGACTTGTTGATGTGGAGATGCCCTGAGCCTTATGAAACTTAGTTTCAACCAGCCGAATGCCCCTATTTCGCATACTTGTTGCGTGGAACGAATAATGCGAGGCTGGTTGGAAGTATAAGGAGGTGAAGATGCAAGCTGGGTGGTCCATTGAGCGCTTATAATGCAAATCACGGTACGGAGTAGCCCAAACTCTAACTTATAGGCAAACAAAAGCCCCTTAGCACGTTATATACAACCGGATGTAAGTCCATTATCCCCATCGATGGATTTTTGTAGATGCCGTATATGGTGCGGCTGGATGGCCTGGATTAATCAGTTCACCTCCAGACTGATTCTGATCATTTTCCTTTTGGGCAATGGATCTGCTCCGACCCAGACTTTCGGCCTGCATATCAGTCTAACATGAAATATGCTGGAAGATAGGACGTACGCGAAGGAGGGTTCGCCCAGGAGTTTAGCGGTCAACATTGATCCAGTATGGAAGCGGTATCAACGCCACAGGGAAAAAAAGAACAAAAGGTTCCGATTTGGCAGGGTATGAATGAGCAAGATATCATTGACGATTTTGCAAGTATAGCTTAAACGGTGATTGGTTGATATTAATGGCTTTCACGGCGATCATTCCTCGATTCAATCCTTGCCAGACTGAGCAACCAATTTTGCTTTCTGTGCAATTTGCAGGCTAATTTAAAGGTCCTTCTGGAATGTGAGAGCCATGGAGGATGGGAGGTCAGCTGATCAGGAACTGAGACAGTAGCAGCGTTGACATCGGGATACCGGCAGAGGTTAGCAAAGAGACAAATTAGGCATTTCTCCATTTTCTTCAGCTAATTTGAATTTGGAACCACACCAGGCACGTCGTGGGATCCGGCCTAGGCAGGCAGAGAGCGAAAAAGAGCAACAAACACGGGGTGTATTTTTCTTTTGCACACTGAAAGGGATCGGAGCAGGCATCGAAAGGAGACATCAGGAACATGTCATAGTGGAGAATCGAATCTGGTCTGATCGCCTGACGTTAGCGCATCGTGAATTTGGGGGTTTCGAAAGCAAAAGGAAAAAGAAGATGAAAAGGCAAAAAAGAAAGAAACGAAGAATGAAAGGAAAAGCAAAAGCCAGCAAATTCCACCAAGCGAAACAGGCGCTGTACCTCCATACGGGAGGATTGGGGTTACCTAAGTGAGTGGGCCCCTGAAGACATGAAGCTGAGTGGAGCGTCTTTTTATTTTGTTTTTCTTTTTGCAAACTTGACAGCCTATGAAGAAACGGTCGACAAGTTTCAGGTACCAGCTTCTTTTTCGTGGAAGGGACCTGGGCTCAATCCATTGCCTGACAAAATATCAAGGCAAAATACCTCAGGCGGCCTTTCGACTGCCACCCTCACGTTGCTGTCAATGCGAGATGCTCCGAAGCAGGTCAATCCCTGCTTTAAATTTCTATATACAGAGTATGGCCATCAAGCTGCTTCTGGAGAGTTGATACTCCGTATATATGACGGATTCCCGAGGTAAAAGCCAGCTTCTTCCTGCTGCCAAGGGCCCGTTGAGCTAGCCGAACCGTTTCTTTTGAGCGTGGTAGTTATGATCCACATCCGGCTCGTTGCCAGGCGAGATTTGTCACGACAATCTCGGGTCGAGATAGTTTTGCTTCCTGATAGCGTTTGTTAGAACATGCAGGTAGAAGGCACGTGGATAGGGATTCTCTTCGTTATTATTACCCTTCTTTAATATTTCTCGTTATTATTATTCTGCTTGTTATATTTTGCCTTTTGATCCGTTTCTTTTTCTTGTCCCCTTTTTTCAGCGTCAGTTCAGAACTCACCATAGTTCAGACCCAAGTCGATCGAGGTATCAGAATGTATTTTTCTTCTTGGAAGAGAAACACCGGCGACTTAGCCCTTGATACGCGGCATGGGCATCGAGCACTAGTTAGTCTCTCACTCCCCTGCGGTAACTGCGATAACGTGTATGCTGCGAATGGATGAGAGCAAGCTTGGCTGGTTGAGCTGTGAGTCCCGCGAAACAGAGTCCACCCGCTCCTGCTGAGACTCTGATGTGCCTTGTGTAAAGAGTACGGAACACTCCGTATATCCTGCTGAAACTGGAGGCGCAGCTGGTGATGTTGATGTTGAGAAAACATGCGGAGGCGGAGTGAGGCTCTTGGGAGCGGTCGTCTCTTTTGCCCAGTTGGGAAATGTGATGTTCCCAGCTCCACCCGCGATCTTTCTTTTATTCCAACGTCAACTGTTTATTTCCTCTCGAGCATCCAACAGCCAACAGCACCAACAAACGCTGCCGCTCCAGGTTTTTCCCTGCACCGAGAGTGCCCTGCGATGCATTTATCTCTGCAAGCTCGGATGCCGCGAAATCCACCTTGTTATTTCAGAGCTCACCCCTGGCTTCGATCTCAGTGGGTCGGATACACTCTTAGTAACAGAGTCCTCCACACCGGGGATGTCCCCGGGCGCCAACACAGGAGGAGATGAAACATGGGTTGATGGCTATCAGTCTTAGCAAAAGCATCACCCTAAGACATGCTATCCCTTTCTGGCAACAGGCGTTTCTGTCACTCAGAGTGTTGAGGTGTCAGGTCCCCGATCTACAGCAGCTGTTTATACCCTGTCCAGCTGCATCTCAAGATGAAAACTACAGAATATGAATCGCACAGAAAGGCGAACGGACCGTTTCACCCAACAACTGTCCATATAATTCAGAAGTCAGTCAGCCCACGCGCCTGGCTGGCGGCTTACTGTTTAATTATATATGTTTTGGTGGCAGCCCGTATTTATTCAAAGGCAACAGTCCTCTTCGTATTTAGGAAAAGAAAAAAAAAAGGAAAGAAAGAAATCAGGTTGCCTACAGATTTCAAGCAGTGACATCCAGCTTTTCGATCTACAACCTTCCAACGTACCCGTGATGTATGGAGGAGTATGGGGTACGATTCACTCTGTTCATAACCTTGTGAGGAAACTCTTACCACAGCCAAAGCCCATCATCATAGCCCGAGGACCCACTGTACTTTAGCGAAACCATGAGCACGTCATAACCAACCCCCTCGGTAGAAGCGAATAATAACATTCAAAATTCCTGGGCCAGGAGTTACTCCGAAGTAGTTTCTCCTTCGATCGGTAAAACGGCGGTTTGGAAAGCTAAATGTCCGTCCATAGAATGGTCTACATATATGACCAACTGATAACACAGGAGTCTAAGCTGTGTCTGCAAGTGTAAAGGCGAATACTTACATGCAGCTACTGTCCTCTATGGACCCTGGCATAAGATTTAACGGCACCATGACGAAATTATGTTCTATGAGAAACTATTCACGTTCATAACTACGTACATAGCACTGTGTACTCCGTATGAAGTTCCCTCAGGTGAAATATCGTTCCCCCGACACACTTTTATCCACGGCAAACACTGTCCCTAGGTCTTTGTTCAGCCGGGAGATTAGGTCTCGTCAAAAGTTGCAGATCATCCTTGTCCGCCAGATCTAGAATTTCGAGAACAATTCTCGAAAATGTCCTAAATGGAACAACAATCAACTGCCAACTTCCAAGCGCACCAAGCCCGCCCACTCGTCAACCTCTGTACAACCCTCTCATGTTACGAACACCAATCTTCTATGCATACGTTCAGCCAAAGTCGAGCTTTTACCACACAGTTAGCGTTAATTTGACTTGTCCATATTACCGCCACGGTATGCGCGCTGAAGCTCTTCCTTCGCTCACTAGTAGTGACATTCTCCCCCTTTTCCAACTACCAGTCCTCATTATAGGCTTATCTCTTCCCTGGGTGGCTGATGCATACACGAGCAACGCTTGTAATTGAAGAAGCTTCCTTCGGCAGTCCAATAACGATATTCGACGGCAACTCCGAAAATTCTTACGTACAGTTCAAGTGCAGGAAGTTAGCCTCCTCGTACCTGCGTGGAGCTGAGCCCTCAATATCCTACTGGCCAGGATGGTGATTGTACCAAGCCACTACTTAACTTAACGACGCTTTTCCCTCTCAGCCAAATAATCCTAGGAATCGATTCATTTCCTGAATTTGGAGATCTCCACTGCTGGGTTCCCGATTAGCTTCCTGACTCTTTTCCTTTTTGGCTGGTAAACTCTCTTCGACGCTTGATCTTATAAGCCAAGCATTAGCCCGTACTCCGGACATCCGTGTGGAGAAACACTCTATTTCCTCCATTCAGACGCTGATCTTGTTATCTCCTGGCCAGAGTATAACCAACTCTTCACACGAATTAGACCCTTGTAAGGAGAATTGACAAGAAAGTTACAAAGAAGCTCGCTCAATCAAGACAAAAGCATCACGAATCAGCCCTTGCTCCCTCTTTCCGCTACTTATATTTCCAGCAATAAGGTTATCAAGCAAGGCAGCTCAATGAGTGATGGCTAGCAAAATCTTGATTTTCCCTTTCTATTCGAATTCATTCAACTTGATGTTAATATTTTGATGACCCGAAATAGTATGCAGAATATCCCTGCATTTGTTACGTTGTCGGAGGGGGTGATGCGAGTCACAGAAATCAAGGTCCTGCAGCTCAAGCAGGCCTTGCTTATACTAGGCCTTGCTCACTAGGCCTTACCAAGGCGAGCAGGCTCCAACAGCCACTCTGATCACAGGTGATGTAGGGGAGGTCTACAAGCCAATCTGCGACGTTAAGCGGAACCCCTTCTAAACAAAACTTTGACTTACCAAATCCTCTTTTTCTTTGTGACCCCATCCAGCATGAGTGATGGCTGCGATAACGTCGAGGCGAGAGCTGATCAGGAGAATTGACAAGGGCATTTTTATGGCACGCGCCCTTTACAAGATTGATCTCAGTGGAGGTTTGAGAGCATGGGTCCTTGAACCGGAAATATGCTCCGCGGTCGAAAGCACCATCAAGGTGATAACACTTAGCATTGCAGCTTTCTTTTTACGCGTTTTTCTTGCTTCTTTTGCAATTACTCAATTCCCAAGGCCGCTGGATATCTTTGGGCTTGACATGGGGTTCACGCCACATATCAGGTCGATACGAGGGTGCTGCGTTGCAAGTGACACAAGCCTGTGGTTGGGATCAACTTGCTGCATGGCTGATCCAGCCATGGACAGCTGCCATCTTTCGCTTTCGGGAAATATTAAACGCGGCAATTGTGACCTCAGAACCATAGCTTCGTATTATTAGGCACACACTTATGTACATGTCCTTACCAGCCAGTGAGGCTGTTCCTCATATGGTGCAAGATACCTAGATACAGAAATTCAACCGCCGCCGGGAAGAATATCGAACACCACCTAAAGCATACCTGATCTCTCTGGGCTAAGGAGACAATTCTCTTTCTCGTTCTCCTTCACATTTAGACAGAGAGGGGTCTTGTTATCCTTCTCCTTTACACTGAAGACAGGCGGATGAACTCAATTTTGCCGATAAGTACAATGTAGTCAAGAGAGGCTCACTCAGGTTTTCTGGCTAGTTGTTGACAAACAGTGTATGTTCCCCTGGGCTTTCCTGCATAGTCACCGGCGTCTTGTGAAGAAATTGGCTCAAATGTTGCAGCAATCTAGGTCATGCTCTCCATGCATATACGATGCACAAGGTTATTCCCGAGAATTTGGATATGGGCTCAAAATGCGGGCGCAAGTTGGATCTAAAATCTATGAGATTTATTGTGTGCATTTCAATGGTGCTGGCTGGAGCCAGTTTCTTAATACGCCCACTCCATAGCGCTGATCTTATGGGATCAGATAGGCGAGCGCAGCCGCACTTGCTACCTCTCACATATCGAGGTGTAATGCAGCATCTCGATAGTTCGGGGGATGAGTTTAAATATCCTAGAAGAATGCTCTTTAATAGAATCACATATAGCTCGGCCATGATACGGCTTGACCTACGGGGTAATTTGAATAAATTCCACATAGAACTATTCACCAGGTGTGTGCCATCTATGGAGTACACATTTCCAGAGTTAATTGCATAGATACATCGTCCCATTCTAGCTAGCTGCAACTATTCCTCTAATGGATACTGGCCGACGGCTTGGAGGATGGGACAAGGCGAGAATCGATTCTGGAGGGATTTACTGAATAGGCGTAGACTATGTAGTATTTTCTAGAAGCAGTCATATGAAAAATCAAATAACACCATTCATCAGACAAATATAGAGAGGCTGCCATAAACATTTCATGCGGATAATGCATAAAAGCTATTTTCATACAAGAATGAAGAGGTACCGTAGCGGGATCCTTTTTCTATAAAAGGCAGTTAGTCAGGGGAGCGATGTACCACGTCAATAACCAATAAAAGTGAAAAAAAAAATCCTATTACCCGGTGCACGTTTAAAGTATACATGATAGATAAAGTACAGTTGTAAGCGACTAAAGGTGAAAAAGGCCAAATAGCCACATAGGGGGAACCAGAAGCAAGACCAGCGTGGATATCATCGTTTGACCCAGGCAGGCATCTTCCTTGCCTTGAGCTTTCCAGGCTTCTTTCTCTCGACTTGACGGGGATCGGTTCTGACAACGCCGGCTATTGAGACAGACATTAGTATGAGTATGTTAAATATAACAATATGAGAGTTCTTACCTCTTCTCAGGGCGGATTTGAGACCAGGTTCATGAACAAGAAGTGACTTTGCAACGGCAAGAGTGACTGCCTCCGCCTGGCCGGTGACGCCGCCTCCACGAGCAACAACAAACACATTATACTTGTGTAGTCGGTTTGTTGCCTTCAATGCCCACATGGCACTCTCTCTGTCGTGGATCCTAGGGAATACCTCCGAGATAGTCTTCCCGTTGATGATAATCTGGCCGTCTCCTTCAACGAGATAAGCGGTTGCATGTGCAGTCTTCCGTCTCCCTATACCCCGAGATCGTCCGTCCTCATCAGGTTTCCTTGGATTTAGTTCCCACTGGTAAAGATTTTTGGGCCTCGAGAATTCTCCAATGAATTTCGAGACTTCTTCCGGCATAACTTCTTCCCTGATCTTGTTCAGCACCTTCAAGCTTTTCAGCAGTCTCGCATATCGCGAAACGGATATGTCTTCGTTGACCTTTGCCAAAAATTGGCCCCTCACTAGCCATGCTACTCGAGGCGCTTCCCTGGGGCCGTAACTAGGCAAGTCCATGTACTTGGCCCTGAGGTATTCAAGCTTTAATTCGTAGTCCGTGAATTTAGGCGTTCCCGTAAAGTATGACCGCGAAACGGGAAGTATACGGGCTGGCTGGTTGAGTAATGCGTTGATATCAAGCGGAGGAGCAGCATTGGGGGCGTCGTCAACGGGAGCAGGAGAAGGGGCGGTCGAAAATTGTTGGTGTCGAACGGCCTCAAATTGGGTCAAGCATCGTGGAAGCCGGAACGCCCGAGCTGCGAGAACCGGCCTCTGCCAGGCCATGATGATGACTGGGGGGCCGCAAATGTCGTGGTATTTGGTCAATTGGCGCTGTTGTCAGCTCTTTTTACTCTCCCTCTCTCTCTCCGCCGTTCTCTTCATTCCTCGATAAAAAAAAGTCCATAATGAAAATCCGATATCACATGACCTGCGGGGATCAACGATGTTCCGCTAACCGGAGAAACTTTCCTAAAGCGAACTAAACAACAAACCGAGTTTTTCTTCTTTTTCTTTCCTTTTCTTCACCCCGCCAGAAAAAGTTCTTCTCTTCTCTTCTTCTTCTTCTTCATCATCACCTCCAGCAAGCAAGCAATTGGAAGCAGAACGACTTCTCTCGAGTCCGCCCAGCATGTCTTTTGGAAAGATCTACGGTGTCATTGTATGCTCAATGCCTGCTTCATCCTCGCTGTCGTTGCTATTGCTATTGCTGCCGTCGTTCGTTGTTTCGAGTGTTGTAACTCACTGCTAACATCAAGACCTCTTTCAGGACAACCCACGCGTTTCCGCGTGCCGAATTGTAGCAAAGGCCAACGACCTTGACCTTGAGCTCGTTGAGGCTATCCCTGGCGCTACCACTGCTGAGTTCCAGAAGATCAACCCTCTCGCTAAGGTCCCTGTCTTTGTTGGTGCCAATGGCTTCCTCTTGACTGAGTCCACAGCTATTGCTGTCTTCCGTAAGTACTCGAGAAAAAATTCCCACTGCTTTTACTACTCTTCTGGGTGATATCTCCCGTTGGTTTTCTTATGATGAGAAGTTCAATACTATTTTCAGTTATCCCTGGCTTAATCATGCTGTGTTGACTACCTTAACTCTGATGTTTTTCGATTCAAACAATCTCAACCCTGTTCATTTGAGACATGAAGAACCTTCATTTTGGTGTACTTGTCCACTAACAGCTTGTAGTTGCTTCCCAGAACGAGAAGACCACCCTTCTCGGAAAGACCAAGCAGGACTATGCCTCCATCCTTCGCTGGATGTGCTTTGCCAACTCCGAAATTGTTCCAAATGTCGGTTCTTGGTTCCGTCCAATCCTTGGCAAGGAACCCTACAACAAGAAGGCTGTTGAGGATGTTTCTGTCCGTGCCTTGAAGGCCTTCGATGTCCTTGAGAAGCACCTTACCAACAACACCTTCCTTGTTGGCGAGCGTATCACTCTTGCTGATCTCTTCACTGCCAGTCTCTGCTACCGCGGATTCCAGTACGTCCTCGGCAAGGAATGGCGTCTTTCCAACCCCGCTACCACTAGATGGTACGAGACCATTGTCAACCAGCCTGTTTTCAAGGCTGTTGTGCCAAACCCTCCCTTCGTTGAGGAGCCATTGAAGAATGTCCCACCAAAGAAGGAGGAGGCTGCCAAGCCAGCCCCTGCCCCCAAGGCTGCCCCTGCCGCTGCCGCCCCTGCTGAGGAGGAGGAGAAGCCTGCCCCCAAGGCCAAGCACCCTCTTGAGGCTCTCCCCAAGCCATCAATGATCCTTGATGACTGGAAGCGCAAGTACTCTAACGAGGACACCCGCTCCGTTGCCATGCCATGGTTCTGGGAGAACTACAACCCCGAGGATTACTCCCTGTGGAAGGTTGACTACAAGTACAACGAGGAGTTGAAGATGACTTTCATGTCCAACAACTTGATCGGTAAGCATTCTCTATAGTAACTCCGTTTTTAGGGTATCGTGAAGCTAATTTTTTTTGATCCCTAGGTGGTTTCTTCAACCGTCTTGAGGGCTCCCGCAAGTACATCTTCGGTGCTGCCTCCGTCTATGGCAAGACCAACGACTCCATCATTCAGGGAGCCTTCGTCATCCGTGGTCAGGACCACGTTCCTGCCTTTGATGTTGCCCCTGATATCGACAGCTACACCTTCACCAAGCTTGATGCTAGCAAGCCTGAGGACAAAGCCTTCGTCGAGGACCAGTGGGCCCAGGACAAGCCTATTACCGTCGACGGTAAGGAATATGAGTGCACTGAGGGCAAAGTTTGCAAGTAAACTGCCCCTCTGACGTTTTACGGCTCCTCAAATATAAAAAAAGAAACAAAATGATACCAGGTAAAGGGAAAAAGCAATTAGGTGCATATTCATGACTTTATGTGTTTCGACGACGAACTTGAACATTGCCAAACAGTAACGTTCCTATGTATGGCTGTTGTTAGTCTGTTGTCCTCAATGTGAAATGAATTTCCTAAGTTACCCATAGATCAAATACCCATTGGTTCAGTGCATCAGCGGTTCGTAGTGTCTTTTCGTGATCTACATAGTTTTTTCAGACTCATGAAATCGCCTTTCAATTACTGAGAGTAGGCAACAAAACACCACCACTTATCGAGGTACTCGATACTGAGTCAGTGTCCCTGTCCCGTTTGTTTGTACTATCAACGGGGTCAGGTTTCTTAGACCCGGCTTTCTTGAGCTTCGCTGCCCTTCTTGCTGCAGCCCGCTTTTGGTTCTTGGTCAGTCTTGGCTTTCCGTCGTCAAGGCGCTTGGGTTCCTCGCCAGCTGCTTCTTTCTTTGTAGCATTGCCCTTCTGTTGTTTATTTGTTGCGTGTGATTTTTTCGCCGCATTGATCAGTTGCTCTATTGTGAGGGATGGGGGTACCTCAGGGTCCTTCGCTGTCTTGGTAGTATTACTAGTAACCGTCTTTTCCTGGAACGTGACCGACTCAAGTGTATTTAGGTCCAAAGAGGAGTGTACCAGCTCTTTCTTCCAGAAAGCATCTACCTCAATGCTGTCACTGTCTCCATCCGGCCGTCCCTGATTCCACTCCCTTAGCTTGCGGCTAACGTCCTTCTGGCGGGATAGTATATCTAGCTGACGTATGACAGTGTTTAAGTTCTTGATTTCATCCACTTGACTGTCGTTGGTGAATTCGGGTATCTCAATAATATTATGGGGTTGGGCAGCAGCTTTTAATTTGCTGTCGTCGATGAGGATGGTATTAGTCTGGTCCCAAACCTGGGCATCATTTCCAAGAATCTGTGGAAGCTTCACTCTATTTTTCTTCTTCCGCGGTTTGATATTCTGTGCGGCGACATTAGGGTATTGGGACTGGATATGTGCATCTCCCCATACTTTATCAAGACGCTTATATACTTGAACTCTCTCATTGTACTGTTTAGAGGTCAAGTCGAGGTCTTTGCGTGACCATACTCCAACCAACTGTTTTTCCATTGCGGGAGGTAGCAGTTTACCCAGAATCTCATTGACTGTACGTGGCTGTGAGCTAGTCCAAATCATGACTTTGAAGTTGTCAAACAGATACCGGAGAAATGTATCGAGGCCGGGACGCTTTGTAAACTGGGGTGGGAATGTACGACGTCTCCGGTATATTAGGGTACCATTCATATCAAGGACAACAAGCAGGGGCTGTTGTGTTTGCGACGATTCGGTTTGGAGCTCAGCCTGGGCTATGTAGTCTTCTTTCGGGGTGGGCGCAACCGGCTGTATGTTCGGCGTTGGAGATCGCTGTGCTCTAGTTGAATACGGTTGAGAGCCAATAGACGTAGGATTTTTTGCAGAGACTTGTCCGGTATGGAGCATGTTTATTGGTGTGGATTGCATGCGGCTGCTATAGGCAGAAAAGGAATTATATGAAAAGCCATTGTAGGGCTGAGGAGGATATGATGGTGGCTGATGAAAGTATCTATATAAAAGTTGAGTCACTGAGATTCAAATTGAAACAAAGCCAAAAGCAGCACTCACGAGGTGTCATTATTATTGGTGTAGAAAGTTCTTGGAAGTAATTCTTGAAATGGATCGCTTGATGTTTGCGCATAAGGCTGATAGAAATTTCCTTTTGATTGATTTAGGTGTTGGGGTATCTGGGGTGAATGATCGTAAGGACTGCGTTTGGAGGTGCCCGAGTTTGCACCTGGTTCGTTCGACGTTTCCACGTCCGGCTGCAATTGCGCATGCTCGTCCACCGACTGGCTCGACTGTTCTATCTCAGACTGTGACATGGTATGCGGCAGTGTAGTGAAAATCTCTTTAGAGCTGTCAGACTGAGAGCAAACTTGTGCCTGTTGAGTTTCTTCTTATTAGTAAATGGCAGGTTACTTATATCCAGAAGTGATGATACTGACTTGATAATTTGAGTATCTGAAAAGAGAGAACCCCGGATATTGTAAATGATAGTTAAATCTAGCATCCCGAACCGGGCGCCAATTTGATAACGAAGGAACTAATCCATACCGACCCTTCAGCATGGTCGCAGGCTTGCGGATAACAAAAAATGAGATTGAAAAAGGTGAAATTGTCTTTTAACTTTTGAAACTGTTTGAACCACGTGCTGATAAGGTAACTAATAGATCAGATAAGATGTCCACCGCCCTGGGCTTGGCGCGGCAGAAAAGCGGCATAAACTTTACTTTTTTGCGACGTCTACGATAACATTCGCGGGTTTTATATCAAAATTGAAATATGAAGAAGGCGAGATAGTAACAAGAAGGAGGTCATACGGCGGACATATTATACTCGCTGCTGCTTAATATCTATAGCTAGAAAGCAATGGCTCTTTCAGGCGTGCTGGGGAAGAGGGTTACAGCACACAGGGAAGATGAGGACGACCTGGAAGATGATTTTTCAAGTTCTGAAGAATTGAACTCCCCGAGTGATGAAGATGACGAGGGCGAAGATGGCGAGTCCGAAGATGAAGAAATAGTATGTTCACAGTGTTTTTTTTTGGCTTTCTATGTTAAACAATTGTTGAAAATAGCTGACCTTAGATCTATTGAAACAGTCAGACGACACCTCTTCTGAAGCCAATGGAAATAATGATATAAAATCCTCGCTATCACAAATATCCTTTGGAGCTCTCGCAAAAGCTCAGCAATCTCTAGGACCTCTGAAAAAAGGAGCAAAAAGGAAGCACGGAGATGAAGACGAAGAAGAAGACGACAACGGAAATACCAAGTCTAAGAAATCCAAGTCAGACGCCCTGAATGAACTCCGCGAGCGAATCCGAAGAGCGAAAGAGGAAAAAGCTTCCAAGTCAAGCGAAGCGCACCAGGGAGAACCGTCGGACAAAAAACAAAAGGAAGCTCGCTCTTCCAAGCATGCGCCTGCCGTCCAATCGAGCAAATACGCTGTCAGTCGTCGACGAGTAGTTGTTGATGGAGAAAATGTTGCACAAGTCAAATCGAGAGATCCACGGTTCGACAGCGCAGTTCAAAGTTACAGCCACAGCACCAAATCGTCATCTCACTCGACATCTCATTCTGACCTAGCAGCGGTCAAGAATTATGCATTCCTGAACGAGTATCGGGACGCGGAGCTAAAGGAGCTTGAGGACAAACTACGTCGTAGTAAGAATGAAGATGAAAAGGTACGGCTGAAAAAGACGATCACGTCTATGAAAGATAGGAAGAGAGCATTGGAGCATCGGGAGAGGGAGAGGCAGGTGCTATCTAAACATCGGAAGAAGGAGAGAGAGTTGATCAAGGAAGGGAAGAAGGAGAAGGCGTGGTTCTTGAAGAAAGCAGATCTGAAGAAAGAGGCTCTAAAAGAGAAATATGAATCGATGGGAGCCAAGGAGAGGCAGAGAGGCATTGAGAGGCGGAGGAAGAAAGTTGCTTCTAAGGAAAAAAGGGAGATGCCTAGGAGTAGAAGGGTGGTTGAGTGAGGAGGATACTGGTACTCAGTACAGGTATTCTATAACCTTTGGTGTCTCTTATTGCATGTGCAAGCATATTACACTATGTTAGGTACCCGGTATGGCCTTCAAGATGGTATAAAATACTCGGCTGGAAGCCACAAATCAAGCTTAACATCGCTGTAGATTATTATTATGTGGGTCGATTACATATGCTGCAAGATTGATCTATGCAAACAATGATTATGAGAGATATGAGGGGGGAAAACGATTTCTCTGAAGGAAAATTTTTGAATATGTTTGTTGGCTCGTCCGTTGTTGATTCAGAGCAGGCACATGGTATTGTCGGTTCATATGAGAGGCGCGCGATAATAGGGAAGAGGAGCCTAAGTGGCAGGAGGCAGGAAGGGGGTAGGTGTAAGAAAATAGATATATAAAACAGCATTAATCCAACCCAGCATCCATCCCAATCATGAATACCCAATATTATGCCACACTAAATGATTGCAAGGAAAAAGAAAAGGGCTGCGTCAGGAAAGTAGGGCAAGGAAGGGAGATGTTGAGATGTAAATGTCAAGATAGTATGATAAAGTGTAGTGGGAAGAGATGAAGAGAGCGAGAGAGATAAGAATATAGAAGAAATGGCTGCTAGAAAAAAAAATCAAGGATAGAAGAGAAATTTGAAGGAGAAAGAAGAAAGGCCGTCAGACACATCCACAGTAACCAGCCCGTGAATGGGCATTGGCGCAAAGAAGAAGAACAAGGTTATAGAGTAAAAAGCTAGAAGGGCAAAAGAAGAAAATGGTAGGAGACGGAGTGGGCAGTGAGCGCATGGAAAAACAGTACCAAAGAGGACGTGCTCCGTAAAGAATGGGGACATGGTAGTGATACCGAGTAAGTAGAGTCACATAAAAAATTAACGAGTGCAAGCTGAAGAGCGGAGATAGAAAAAGAAGATAAGACAGCACTATGAATGGAACAAGTCCCATGCACGAGCACATAAGCTTAAGAACTCTTCCTTCTTTCTTCTCTGGGTATCAGGCGAGTCTCGTCCAGCTCCGAACGGTCCGTGTGAAGTTGGAGGAGGCCTATATCTATGCTCCGGCCCGTTTCCAAGAGGTGGGCTGCCGTGATCTTGCTCATACTCGTTTCTAGTGCGTCGCCGAGCGCCTGAACCAGGGAACCCAAGTGATGATTGGTTAGGGAATTGGCTACTGGGTGGTCCGCCACTGGTATGTGACTGGTGGTGCTGTGGGTGGGAGGAGTGGCCCTCTCCGTTTCCGTTATGGGACCCTGGAGGGGATCGTGGGCTGTTGGCCCTGTTTCCGCTATAATGAACGATTCGGGGGAGGAGTTCCTCGCGACCACCGGCGAGTTCATGAACTGCTTCCTCGGCAGAACGGTACTCCCGTGGTCGTTTGGTAGATACCGCACTATTAGGTTGATTGGTGGCGAGGCTGGGTGAAGGGAGGGGCCCATGGTTGTTAGACTGTGGGCCAAAACCGTTTCGGGAGTTTGCATCGCGGTCTCTGTCTCTGTCTCTTGGACCTAGAGCATCGGCGCCAAAGACATCTGATATTGGTGGCAGACGGTTGTTGGTCTGGTTGGCTGGGTTATGATTTACCTGGGGAGAGGCGGTAAAATCTGGAGGGTTGCCAAAACGGCGAGTTAGAGGCGGCGGCTGATGGCGGCCAGTGAATGTCTGATTGAGTGGTGCAGATTGAATGACTCGTTCATCGGCAAAAGTGGCAGCAGATGGAGCAACAATGGACAGCCCTGGGGGTGGTCGTTTCCTGCTGGACTTTGGCGCAGCCGAGCCAAAGAGATTTGATTCTGAGGGCTTGACGGCGTCTGGGCCGTCGCCCTTGGCGGATTTCTGTAGGCGAGACTCAATTATGGAGCGTTGCTGGTCTCTGACAGAGATACTTCTCTGAAGCTGTTCTCTCATGTTGGGGTCGTGAGTTTGGAATCCAGGAGATAGGCACGCAAGGCCGACGTCGTGCATGACCAGCCCGTCTCGAGCTGTCAGCGGTCCTCTGGCGGTGGCCGGGCCCTGGCCGCCTGCTACGGACGACAGGTCTAGTTTCTGTGGGCGGTGCCGGCTTGGTCCCGCTTGCATGTTAGGGGACGGCGGGGATTCCTTTTTGATAGATATTTTGGGGGCTGGCCCCCCGCTCTTCCGAGACCTGATATCAACAGTTAGTTAATCTATGGGAAACAGAAACAGACAATTTTGTATATGCGCAAACTCCAGCTGCGCTATGTTTGTGTATATATAGATAAACGGGAGATAGAGGGAGGGAGAACGGGAGTGGCAGCGGAAGGGATACGGGGCCAGACTCACGAGTTGGGTGACCGCTTGTCATCTGGAGTCGTCTTTTCTCCTGCATAATCGTGGGCAGGAGGACCCCTCGGTGTCGAAATTGAAGGCCGCGAAGTCGATAGAGGCGCGAGGGCCGGATATGACTTGGGGCTGAGGTCTCTGTCTCGGTCAACCATTGGGGGCAACGGTGCTGCTGTTGGGGGTGCAACAGCAGTGGACATGTTCACGAACGGGAACAGGTAGAAGGTAGTTCAACGACCAGGGAATTCGATAGCGGCGATGGTAAGACAAAGAGCTTGCGCACAACTGGTCTGGAGTAACGACGAGAGGGCGCCTTCGTGTGTCTCTCTTGTCTCTCCGGAGTAGAGTACTCGAGTGTATAGAATTCGTGTTGGTCGAGGTGTTGCTGGTTTGATATCAGACGAAAGCCGCAAAGAGGAGGCTCAGATCTCGGGCGAGGAATCTCCGGTTGAAAGTAAAAAGAGAGATAAGAGAAGCAAGCGAGTGCAAGAGCTGTCTGTCTATATGTATGATGGTGATCCTGTCTTCCTGTCTTCATGCGCGATCGCACTATTAGCCGCCGTGACCAGGAGAAGAAGAAGCAGAAGAAGCAGACGCTGTGAGACAAAAAAGAAAGACGAAGAGAAGATGCAGAGAAGAAGAAGACGAGCTGCCAGCCACAGGAGCAAGAAGCTAATCAACCCCAAGCAGCGGGCAGGGTCAAGACAGGAATGAAGAGAAGCAGGAGAGACAGAGATCGCATCGACCTGGAGCCCACTCGCGGTCCCTTAATCCCCCTGGCATACGAGGTTTTGAATACCGTGGCGGGCGGGAAGAAGAGAAGCGATACAAGGGACGAGGGGGCCGTCAAAAGCAATAAAAACCTGGTATCAGGGGGCTCGCTCGGCCTGAGATTCTCTGACAGACCGACAGACAGGCAAGACAGCGCAGACAGACGCCTGGTCGGACAGACGGAGAGCTGCTGTCTGCTGTCGGCTGCGCTGGTTGCTGTGGATGTGTACTGAGTATATGGACGGCGGTTGGTTCACTCACCCAGAAGACGGACTGCGGACACACGGTAGACGGCAAGAAGAAGATACTCACTCAGCACAGCGCGGCAAGCGACATACAGATGCCGAGTCGACGCTGGCAAAGGGACGAGAAAGGCGCACACAGCGAAAGGAAGAGAGAAAGAAGACGAGAGCGAGAGAGGCTGTCGAAAGAATGCGAGAATCCGCGGCGGCTAGCTGCAACAGCCTCACGAATCACACACTCACAACGCACTCGGATCCCCCCCTGGTATACTTATAAGCAGGTGTATACGGACTTTATCCAGCAGGCAAAAGCGTCCAGCGTAGCGGATGGACTGGGCTGCCTCTCGCTGCCTTCTGGCCCAGCAATATAAAGAGCGAGGGGGATAGGGGACAATCGGGGCTTTGTCGAAAGCTGAAACAGGAGCCCATCCGTGGAGGCGACTTCTGCGCATCTCCTCTGACACGCTGAGCTACAGGAAGGAGACCCTCTAGGGCCTTTTTTACTCGATACTGGGCCCTGAACTTACGATTTGACCGGAGTCTGGCCGTCGCTAGGTCGAAAGGTACCAGGCTGGAAGACAGACGGGCAGACCACGCCTACGGAGGTCACTTCGCTTGCGTCTCTCTCATGCATATACTTACATATAACAGCAGCATTAACACAAGGCAACTATCAGAATGGAGACCTTCTTTGGCCTGTCCCGGAGTGTATAAAAAGGTACGGGTAACAGGGGCGGTCGTACTCGGGACAGGCTAGGCCTCACGACTTGCTGCTTCTGTTTCACCAGTGTTTCTCCACGGCCAACCCCCCCTAGCTGCATCGACATGCTCGATGCCCATCATCAGCTTGTGACGGAGCAGTTGGCCGAGTGGATAGCAAGCAGATATATCAAAAAATAGAACCGACAGAACCGGATAGAGGCCGTGACAGAACTCGAGTTGGCTCTCTGCCAGGCATTTTACGGATGACTCCCTCCTTCCCTTCCCTCTCGCCCTCTCTAGGGAGTACTTAGAGAGATCCCTCCGTGATAACAAGGAATCTGAGACTCGACATCCATCTATGTGCAGGGTTTGCGCATGCCATCCCCGCCGAACTATTGGATTCCAGAAGAGCTAAACTCCCCTGGTTTGCAGAGGGGCCAAATCCACCGCCTGCCTGGTCGTCTGGAGATGCATTCCTCGCTGCTCGCTGCAGGCAGGAGAGTGGCCGTCGACCTTGGTGACTTGCCTAACTCTTACTCGACAGCTCTGCTGGTTTGCATCTGCACATACCTCACGCTATCGGCGGAGTCTTTCTTTGCTTAAAGGGAAAATTCAAAAAAAGAGAAGCAAAAAAGCAAATGAGAGAGAAAAAAAAGAAAAGGTACCTTGTTTTTGGTGCTACGGCCGTTATCTATTGGCCGCTGTCTGTGGCGGCTTCATGGTCTTTCTCTTCGACCTGTCTGATCCCTGGCGGCCATGATTGGAGAGACGGGCTCTTCGTCCCTCCCCTTTCCCCCCCAGTCCCCGGTCCCTTTGAGATGCAGATGCAGATGCAGCCTGTGCCCGCCGCTGTTCCGTTGGGTTGCTCCGGGGCTAGATCGAAGCAGCCAACCAAGAGCTCTCCGCCGTTTAGAGCATCTTCTTCTGTCTCAGTGAAGGCCCGCGGCAACAGCAGAAGGGAAGGCCAACAACCCTAAAAATATGGCATCGAAACCTAACACACGGACCATTCTTGGGCTCGCCGAAATATCGAGATTCGATTGCGTTGTCTCAATATTAAGCTCCTCAGGCTAGCTCTTTTTACGCACGGGGATACGCAAGTATAATTTACTACGTATGAACGAATGCGTGTATATTCCGGCAGGGCGCAATCTAAGACACTTGCTGTCCCCCTCCTCCTATTCATCTTCCTATTATCGTCCTCCATCTTGCTCCCCTTGGATGTAGTTATATGGAGCTGGTAGGAGGGCGAGAAATACGAGAGCGTAGAAAGAGCCAGCTCTGAGTAAGCGAGGGATGCTTGATCGACAGGCCAAAAACATAAAAAGTATCAGGCAGACGGATTCTCGTCCACTCGCTCGTCTCATCAAACACTCAATACATCCACAGCTAGTTACTTACATCCGTTCAAAAGCAAAAAAGCCGGTGCCATAACTAGAGCAGAGTGGCTGAGATGGACAAGCTCTTCCCGCACTCAGAGTACCCTGAGGATCAACCCGCATTCCAAGACAATATTAACTATCCACGTCCTCCGGCAGCGGCCTAACTGCCGG